TCATGTACTAAATCCACAAGTACGCTAAATCCACAGAAATAGTATTTATTCTGATTTTGGGATAAAGATTTTAGTTAAATTTTGTGATTTTTTTAAAAAAAAAGAATAGTGAGAGTCCTGAACACAAAAAGGGGGGGGAGGGATCGTTGTCATTTCATTTGGCTTCTCTCAAAAGGCAATCCATCCAATAAGCCACTAAATACAACTACAAATGTACTAGGACACATACAAATGAAGCTGTATAAAACCATTCACTAGAGATTCAAATGCTATTGAATAAGCCTATATAAATCGGGTCTATAACATCTGAGCAGATAGCTCTGTCAAAATCAATCTGTCCTGTTTCTTTAGCTGACTAAGCGGCAAACTTCTAAATGCAGAAAGAAAACTGACTAGGTCCTGCACCGTCTTTCTTTTTGCTTCAATGTTTTATGTGGAACTCATTGGGATTGTGAGCTTTTGAATGAGAAGCAATATGGGGCTCCAAAAAACATGATCTGTTACTCCTTCTGTCAGAATTCAGGATATTTATATAAGAACAATTATTTTGATGTAAAACATATGACAAAGGAGAAGCGAGTGAGTTACAAGGCTGGGGTGGGCAATAGCCAACATAGTGCTTTCAGCTGTTAGGCTCTAACTTCCATCAGGCCCAGCAAGCATAGTCAGGGATAATGGGAGTGGTCCTTTCCCTTGGGTAAGATCTGAACCTAAATTGGGGTGGGAGTGTGTGATGCAATCCTTCAAAGTGAGTTGTAAAACATGTTGTTTTAATGACTTGGAGCTCCTATCTACAACTTACGTTACTGCTACACACAAAAGGAAGTTCCGATGAACCCCCTCAAGCATTCAAAGAACTAAATGCTCCTTTCTTTGGCTTAGGCTTCTATGCAATTCCACATTGCCCGGCCTACTAGGGCAAAGATGACACTATGAGTGTTGTTCTGGCTGAAAGACAGAGTGACGCAAATCCAGAAGACACAAATCATTTGGACCTGTTGGTGCTGCTAGGTTCTCCTCCCCATCTGAGGAAACAGCTAAGAGTTAAGGGTGTATTTTAAGCTGAACCCATATAGCTGAGAATTCACAGGTCTCTGTGAACATTCCACAACTGAAAAAGGCCCTTCCTGTAAAGTAAAGCCACTCAATGTATGCTATTTCAGACTGTTCATTTCTTATAAGAAGATTAAGCAAATTCATATGGGATAGGTCTACCATTGGCTGTTGTTATGACACCTAAACATTCAAAGGCCACAAAATACCAGGTACTTGAATGTAGGGTGAAAAAGAGATGTTGCCTTCATGCTACTAAGCGTTCTTGATCACTGTGGGAAACTGGATGCTGAACTAGAGAGACTTTTGATGCATAGTTGGTGGGAACATGAGAGAAAGTCTTCTTGGAGGTTGCTTCCAACCTCTGGAACTCCCCAAGTCACTTATATGATGAGCTCCTACTGGCAGGCAAATACTGTTTTATTCAGACAGATTGTTGGCCCCATATGCTGCATATATGATGGAATTTGCTCAACTGGGTGTTTTTATCAGTTCTGATGATGTGCTTTTTAATTTGTGGCTGTATTAAGCACCATTTGGTGGAAAGACGGGTTACAGGTTAGCAAACAAATAAAAAAGACATATTGGTCTGTTCCAGCAACTTTAATCTTCTCATTGCAATGTGATAAAAATAAAATTATAAAGCATCTATCATTGCCCAAGTTTCAGAATCATTTCATCTCTGAAACACCATGGTAATTTGAAGCAAATTAGCTAATTTGAGCTCTGTCCCATTAGGCAAAATCATGGTCTCAACTGAGATTTTACACTCTGTTTCAAAAGATCCCCTTTGAACCAAAATTTCACTGTTTGGTCACATCCCTCCATTTAAAACGTTTCACCCCTCCAAATCCAATATGACTTTAAATTCTTCTTTGGTGTCCCCTATACTCTATTTTATTGAATCTTGGATCTATTTCCTCTATGAAGAAGACTGTAATTTTAATGTTTTAAAATCTGTCTTGCTTTTCTTAACTCTTATACTAATATTAGCTTTAGTTAAATTTTAATGAATCCACTTTTATAGAAACCAGCTGCAGAAAATGGCTATAGTACTGTAGAAAACACAATTTGCCACCAAGTAAGTCAATTTTAGTAGATCCCTGTTGTGTCTTATACTAACTGAGTTATGATCCCTATCTGAGCCTAGCAATATTCTTTCAAGTAATAACGGTAGTATTTTAACTTCCTTTTTGTGAACATTTTATTAATTTCTTTGCAGAATTTTTATTGTGTTGTTATCACTGTTCTACTTCAGCTAGCCCATGAAACACAGAGGCTGCACAATATTTTCTCACTGCCTTTCAGATTCCTAGTCTTCTATAGCATAAGCTCAAAAATATATCTTTTAAGCATTTGTTGGGAGAGTATCCCTATTATCACGGTGCTCAACAAGGAAAGAATGGGAAAAAGTTTTGAACTGCTTACTGAAGGTTGATGCATATGTTACCAGAAAAGCCATGAATGGTAACTTAGTCATGCCAGTGACACTCCTGGCAGCATTAGAAGGAAACTAATGATGTGGGTGGGTCTGGTATCGTGGGCAGAGCAGAGCAATACTGGCATCGGAAATAACTACATTGCCAGATAACAGGCTCCCTTGAAGCACTGCTCAGAGCAATATATAAACAGACAAGTCACAGCAGTTCTTACAACCCCTGCTACTGATATATGAACTAGTTCTGAATGTGATCTGAAGGGACACAGGAAGTATAAATTACTTTGTGCTTCCTGTTTTCCACACTTATTTATAATGTGCTATCTGTTACTCATGACATTTCTAGTCACATATAAAAGGACGCACGTGGTGCTGTGGTCTAAACCACTGAGCCTCTTAGGCTTGCTGATCAGAAGGTTGGCAGTTCGAATCCACGTGAGCTCCTGGTGCTCTGTCACAGCTCCTGCTAACCTAACAGTTCAAGAGAACACCAGTGCAAGTAAGTAAATAGGTACCGCTGCAGTGGAAAGGTAAACAGCATTTATGTGCGCTCTGGCACTCATCATGGCCCTCCTTGTGCCAGTAGCGGTTTAGTCATGCTGGCCACATGACCCGGAAAGCTGTCTGCAGACAAACGCCAGCTCCCTCGGCCTGAAAAGCAAGATAAACACTGCACCCCATAGTCGCCTTTGACTGGACTTAACCGTCTGGGGTCCTTTACCTTTAGTCACATATAAAGGAATGAATTTGGCATAACTAGACCCCAATATGGAAACAAATCAAGATACAAACATTTTACAATGGAGGTATTACATTCCTAAGTAAGGTAGGTAGCAAGCAAGATCAAGGCAATGTCAATAGTAGGTGAATTTCAATCTTCAACCAACGTTCTTCAGGAACACGGTCCATTCTCAAGAGTTCTATAGTTTAAACCCTGAGTTAAGTATTTCCTTGGTATGTGTAGTTTGAAACTGAGTACAGAATGTATAATCCAATTCCTACTGAAATTTTAACATGAGTTGCGTTGATTGTAATAGGAAATATATGACCGATTGCTGTTTTACTTGGAATTTTGTTACAGCACAATGTCATTCACATTTACTCAGAACTAAACATCATTGAGTTAATGGGATTTACTCCAAGGTAAGGCTGTACATTATTTTGGAAATGTCAAGCAGCATTGACAATATGCTTACATCGCATTGTTAGGCTCATAGTTTACAGGAGACTATGATCCTAAAAGACACCATCCATCTATGATTTATTTCCTTTTCAATTAGTTTGTCAGTTTAAAGAAAAATATTTTCTTTTCCTTTGTACTGCACATTTTAAAAACTGCATTAAACTGTTTAAAAAGACATGATAGCCTGCTTTAGTTTCAGTTACTGGTGGCACTGCCACTACTGGGTTTTTATTATGTAAATTGCTGCAATCTGGTTAGTTCCTTCCTCTTTTTTCTGTATCAAAAGGGGGCTGCAAGTGCTAATCAAAGTGTTGCAATTTCCATATTAATGATGTTTTCATAATGACACTTACTTGATATGCAATGTGAATGGAGTGGTGACTTTTTATTCTTCTTCAAAGAGACAATAATAAAATGTTAATTTTTATGAAATAAAGCATGTTTGTTTTGAAACTAGTAACAATTGTCCGGTACTATTGTTCCCCTACCAGTAATGTGTAATAAAGCATTTCTAATTTAAACACAGCAACAAGCTATAGAGTGCTCTTGTTAACACACACTATGACCCAGTCTGTACTATTCTCAAACCATGGCTTATTGAACAAACTAACCAAATCACCCTGCTGAGATCCTGAGGGCCCTGCTGCTGCCTCTCTCCACCTGGCTGGCCCAGGGTGGGCTGCTTCATAAGAACTTCTTCTGCTGCCCAGCAGAGAGGTCCTCTTCTTCTAAATTGCTTTTTTATATCCTTTTATTTATTTTTTAGTGTATTAATTGTTTTTAATTGAGTTGTAAGGGCATTTGTGGGATATGCCTGGGAGGAGAGGAGCAAGGGAGAGCAAGGAGAGGTCCAGTTATGGTGGTTCTGGGTAGGGGGAGGTATGGCGTGGGAGGTGGGGCAGGCCAGGTAAGGGGCACATGGCACAGGCAGTTAGTGGCTGTGCCGTGGGCCAACCCCTCTTCCAACCTGGGGAATTGTTGTTGTCATATCAGTCAGCCCTCGGGTCTGTGACTGCTGCTGTTCAATGCCGGGATCTTCCGCCTGATACCAGCTACTGGCCAAGGGAACTGCTGCTGTTGGGAACACTGCTTATCTCCTCTTTTATACATGGAAGTTTGCTGCAACTACCTGTTGCTTTCAGTCTACAAACTCAGAGCAAAGTATCACAGTTTTGGGCCAGAGGAAGGGGCTGCTGTTAGGCTTTTAATTTATACACAATTTCAATATCACTAGCACTTTAAAATACTAAGATTCACTATTTCAGCTTTTCCAAACACCTCCAGAATTTTAATGAAAGAGTTTATACTGGATAGCCTTTCCATAAGATGACAATCATCTCCCTGCAAAAAGAGCTGGCAAGCATAGTTTGAGTTCCAGCTTGTGCATATGTTAAAGCATTTAATCTTATATCTACTGTGAGCAAAAGTTGCATTGTGGTTTAGCCTGGTCATGTGAATCCACATCCATACTTTGTACAACATGCTTTTGGAAAATTCAGCCATAATATCCTTCATTGTGGTAGGCAGTTTCTCCAGGTCATCTGTTCAGTATATCAAGGATCATGGAATGTTTGTCTGCAGCGCTGCCTTTACCTAACATTTCAAATAAAAGACTGCAGTCAGCCGTTTCTAAGGAAAACAAATTCACTGAATCACACTATTTGTTACTTATTATTGAGCATCGAATAGCTCACCAAAGTTCTTTGTCGAAATACCTGAAACAGGCCATCAGAGTCAAAATGATATAGAGTCCTGCAATGCTGTGTTACAGTTTTTCTATTTTCATGAAGCAATTGTGGCTCTGAAAGAAAAGAATAAAACTACAGCCAGGTTATTTGTACCTGGTGGATTCGTTCAGCTTTCAACAAAATCAGCAAAAGAACTGGAGGAAAAACAGAAGGTTACAAAGCATCCCAGGAATTTATGAAGTGAAAAGGGAAATAATGACTTTCTAGCAAATAATGCCCTGTATTCTTTTATCATTTCCACTGCTTGGGTTACAGTAACAAGAAGGCGGCCAGCTTTTTTGTGATAGCCACCTTACCTACTGTTCTTTGAAAACTCCAAGTGATGTAATTTGACTAAATTTGGGAGAGTCAGGGATTAAGATTGCCCTACCTTTTCCTTCATAATTCAAATTCATATAATTTCCACAAATTGACTACAATCCCCCCCAAAAAAAATTCTATGGGGGGGATTTATCTAGAGTGAAGAGATTGAATGCTGAACCAGTGCCAAAGTTTGACCTGAAGTTTAGTGGGAATCTCCTTTCTTCTAACTTGAAGCTATCAGTTCAAGACCTAGCCTCCAATGTAGGCCAAAACAAGCTTGCTCATCTTTCATGTGACAGCACTTTTCCTAATCCCTCAAATGTTCCTCATAAAGCTTGGTCACCCTCCTCTGCATACGTTCTTCTAAAATTGTGGGGCCCAGAACTGGACACAGTACTCCAGGTGGGATCTGAACAAGGCAGAATAAATTAGTACTATTACTTCCCTTGATCAGGACACTATACCTCTGCTGATGCAGCCTAGAATGGCATTAACTTTTTTTTTTATTGATGCATCACACTGTTGACTCACATAAAGTTTGGGATCTAAGTGCCCTACATCCGTTTTACATGTACTACTGGTAAGCCAGGTGCCCCCATCTCATAACTGTGCAGCTAGTTCTTCCTGCCTAGGGATTTGAGAGCAGGCTTCCCTGGTCATATTCCTACATTCCAACCACTGTGCCACACTGGCTTTCTGTAAAAGTAAGCAATAGCTTTTTTATGTGCTAATGAGTGCTCACAAATTACACAGATCACTTGGTGCTAACTTGGAAATAATACTCTTGAAAAGAAGACATTTCACACATTCATTGAGTGAACAAGAAGATCATGATAGGTCAAGTGAAGCACATGTATGTGTGAGCTGGTTCCAATTCTAAGGATAAAATGATGGATGATGGCCTGAACATATTTAGAAAAAATATTCAGTAGAGTGCAGGTGTAACAGTGAAAGATACTGGATCATTTGCAGACATTGTAATAAATCTTCATTTCAATCCAGTCTTGCTGAAGATTTGTTCAAAGGATCGATCAATAGACCATATAGTTTTAATTAATGAATCCTGAAGACTGAATAGGATGAACTGACCACTCTTGCAGACTAATGTGGGCACTGAAATTAATATTGGTATCCAATTCCAGCCCTGGTCCATCAGCAATTCAATGAAAAAAAGCATATCTTGTTCATCCAAAAGTTTAAAATGCTGCTGCTGGTGGTCCGTTGTGCGTCATTCTATGGCTTGTTTATTAATAGAACAGAAAGTGTTCTATTAAATTAAGAAAACACAGTTCAGCATGTTGTGTTATGGAGTTTTCCATGTTGACTCAAGTTCCAGAATGCTGGGAAATTGCAGGTGTTAATGACAGCAATATGAATGTAGTATGGAATCTTGTGTTCAAGCCTAACCTCTACCTTGGCAGAATGGTGGACCCAACTCTCAGATTTGTATGTTTACAGTGGTACCTCGGGTTACATATGCTTCAGGTTACAGACTCTGCTAACCCAGAAATAGTACCTTGGGTTAAGAACTTTGCTTCAGGATGAGAACAGAAATCGTGCAGCGGTGGCGCGGCGGCAGCAGCAGCAGCAGCAGCAGCAGGCCCCATTAGCTAAAGTGATGCTTCAGGTTAAGAACAGTTTCAGGTTAAGAACGGACCTCCGGGACGAATTAAGTACGTAACCAGAGGTACCACTGTACTGGAACAGATTTGGAAAGGATTTGTCTTTTCACTGGAATAGGCACATGGAGTCCATGCAACTGAAGCTAATATCTTATACCTATTAAGTGGTTAATTTATTAAGTGAAAAATAAAGAGCCAAAACTCTTATGAGAATATCAAAGGGAATTTTATCTGAAAACGTCCATGTGTCTTCTGCTGTTTTGGAATTCTCCCTCATCTCACAGAAAGCATAATTTAGTTTGAGAGGTGTGGAATGGGAAAAATATAAAATATTCTACTGGTGCATCCCGCCCCCCAATACTTAGTACCTAGTTATACTAAGTACATAGTTAAGAATTTCTGCCTGATGCATGCATAAAATGCACTATGTTCACCAATAATTTCTCTGTGATGCATCCTTAAAATACAAAGTGCTCCCTCATCACTAAAATGTGTAACAAATGTCCAGGCAGAAATTATACATTCACATCTTCCCAAATGCTTGCTGCAAACACATACAATTAATTTCTTGCTTTTAAAGCACTTCGGTTAACACAGCCCAATCAAATGTTTGCTCTGTAGAGGATAACATGTATTAATTGGTTTGATCTGCCTAGCCATTTAATGGTTAAATACAAGTTTATGGGATCATCAGCCCCAGGATTGCTTGTTCTTAGTTTTCAAAATAAACAGAACTTCACTTGCTTTTTCTTTGTATATGTTTTCATATCAGTTGGGCTATCTTCACATTTAACATTAGATCTATGCATTGTTCCCCTTGCAATATTCAGGTCCACATGCATGAAATACAAGCAAAATGCCTTTTTCACTAGTTTCCTTGTTATTTTGTTTCTTTCTTTCATTTATTGAGAAAAGAGAAAATATTGTTAACAACTTAGAACTCTTTCTCTCGCTAAAAAAAGTTGTTTTTCTTCATAATAGTATGATACTGAAAATACAGAAATATCTTAAACTTTCAAATGATGTGGAAAAGAAAATGTGATAAAATTAGCCACAAGTTTCATATGTGGAAGGAAGAGAAAAAAGACCCACATGGGGGGGCGGGGGGAGTGAGCTGACAGCCTTAAAAATTGCCCTAATTGAGAATGGGAATATGAGACACATCTAGCCACTTCCAGGGCCTTGAAAGGATTGGCATTCCATCTTCTGGTTCTGTATTACGAACAAACCTGGAATCTTTTTGACCTTGTGAATTCAGCTTGAGCCAAGCTGAGTTGAAAACCTTAAATCAAGATCCTGTCAGAATGTGATGATTCTTGAAAGAATGATAACCTGCAGATAAGGCAAAATGAAATTTAGTTGGCTCTTGTAATGGCTTGGACCTACTCTAGGAATGGAAATGTCAATCATGTGGCCTCCTTCCAAGGTTAAATGGGAAGTTGTGCTTGACTTCATAGATGGAGTCCTTTGGCTATTGCTTCCCTTCACATTTGGCACAAAAGAGGACAGAAGAAAGGTATGTTAAAAGGAAAGGATAAATGACCAGGTAACATGAAATACGGGTTTTTTTTGGGGGGGGGTGTCTTGAATGGACCATATTTGAGAGATGTGGCCAAAACTGATAGGAGGAAGAACAGTTTGCAAACCAAGACATTTGCTAACATCTCAAAAACCTGCTCTTTTTATATACAGACTGGGGCTAAAGGGACATTACTTTCACACTGAAATATGCTTTTAGCAATTCTAGCAATGCAGGGTATATTTTTTTAATGCCGTCCTGCTTGAATGTTTTCATGTTTTGAATAATGCTGTTTCAAGAATCAATCATATTATTCCCTAGGTTTGTAGGATGGTCACTGTCATTTTGAATTAAACAGGTAATTCAGAAATTACCAGAAATTCAAAAACTTGGGCAGAGTGTATTTGAGGGAGCAACATAAATGCTTCCTTGGGTGTCCTAATGCTCTGTGGGGTGCTGCTGTTACTGCGGACAATACACCACCACTAATGCAAGGAGGTTTTGGTAGTAAAAGTCTTCTCATATCCAATTGTAGAAATTTGGATGACTATTTACATTGCTCATGAGAAGGTGCTCAGGCAGGTTGGACCTACCAAGGTGTCCTTGGTACTTATGATGAAATCTCCCAATACCACATCTGGGGGGTTTTCCAACAGAACTTCTGAAATTTCTTCTCTGAGCTGGCAGAAGCAGACTGCTGAGCAGTGAAGTGGATGGAACACTAAAAGAACACTCACTCTGACTCTCTGGCCCAACACCAGGTACAAGCTTCACTCTTGGTCCCCAGGAAGTCTGGTTGCCTGACAGAAGCAGTGGAATTCCAATGCATTATGGCAGCCCAAATAACCTGATTCTCCTGTCTCTGCTGGTGCTGAACCAAGTACACTGGGGACATAGCTAATTGAGATCAGGTGATCTACAAAGGTCATGATAATATATGCCAGGTCAGTCCCCTCAATTAAATTATGGATGAGTGATGCATTCACCAACATTACTGCTAGTATGGAGTGCTGGTTAGAACGACAACACAGCTGCTGAAGGAGGTGGCAGATTACAGTATCTAACAGTAATTAGGGCTCCCTGCCACCTATCTCTTAAATTCAACACAAACAATGCTACATTTTTTGTCACAGGGTTGCTGAAACATTTGGTTTGCTTTTGTTATGAGCAACAGACTTAAAAGAAAGGGATTATAGTATTAAATTTTTTAGGGTGCTGTCCTTCAACCTCTCAATTTTCATCAGCAGACTGATGCCTTTCAATGCAAATAAAGTTGAAATAAAGCTCAAAGTTCCTGATATGGCATTGTATATTGTTTTATATAGATACATCACCTGCCCTTCCAAACTTTTTTGTAAAGTTTTTGTCTTATGAAATGGAGCTTCCAGAATTTAACTTGAAGAGAGAGAGGCTTAAGCCCATTTACCCACTAAAAACTGTATGCCCAACTGTATCCCAATTTGGGGATTTACTCCCCAAATGGGAAACATACAAGGCACCTTCTTTCCGTACACCCATGTTCAGCCCACGTCTTCAGTGCCTGCATGGTCTGGGTGACGGGAGCACCTTCCGATCACAGGAACAGCAGCACAGCATTCCCAAGGAATAGGTCCTAGTGCTGTGGACTCACATTTGTTCATGTGAGCACCTCAAATGCAGCAGAGTAACGGAAGCAAAGCTGTGGAGGTTTTGTAGCATACCTAATTTATTTCTACTGCTTAAACAAATAAAAGAACATAACAAACATGTATGAGAGAACCAGCTCTCATACTGCCATCCTGTCTCTAGACAGATCAAAGAAAAAAGCACAAATACTAGGGACGGAAGTCTAGAAGAGTAGCTTCCGCCCCCTCCTTTTTCACAGACAGAAAGTAAAACAAACATGATCTGGTGATCCTTGCAATGGGAGGGATGAAAATACTGACATTCTCTCTTTTCTTTTCAGCATAGGTTAAAAACATACATTAGACCCACAACGTATGTAGGAGTTATGTTCTGGGGATAGTGCATAAAGCCAAAATTGCATATAGACAAAACACATTGGCAATCCCACCCACCATTGAAGCCAAAGTTTCCCCTTCCTCCATTATTTTTTTTTAATTGCCAAGCGTGCAAAGTTGAATGTGCACAAGTTAAATGAATGCAAGTTGTGAGTCTACTGTACTGTGGTACCTTGGTTTATGAACTTAATCCGTTCCAGAAGTCTGTTCTTAAACCAAAACTGTTCTTAAACCAAGACACACTTTTCTTAATGAAGCCTCCCACCGTTAGTGCCCTTCCACCGTTCGGATTCCATTCTTAGACTGAGGTAAAGTTCACAAACCGGGACACTATTTCTGGTTTTGTGGAGTTCTTAAACAGAATCGTTCATAAACAGGACTGTTCTTAAACCGAGGTACCACTGTGTTGTAAGTAAGCATTAGCTGTGGGCTACTGTGTGATTTAGACACCTCACAACATGCTTTCAACTGTAAAATGGATTCACACAGATGTTAAGTACTAAAAGACATTTACAAAACACCAGCATTAAATACTACAAGACTACTGATTGGAAATTTCAGCTTGCCATCTTCTCCCTACACCACAATTAATTGCACACATTTTCTAGTGTTCCATTTTCCTAAGCAGACTACGCTTTCATTTTATTTTATTTTTTGCAGACACAGTCAATAAAACAAGATTCTTTTTCAATCTAAAATACTCTTTACAATTTATTTTTCTAATTATGTTTTTAACTTGTGCTGCATCTTTCTTTCTTATTTAGATTTTCCACTTCCCAACTAAATGCATTTCTATTTATGTATTTTAAGAGGCCTTCTGTTTAGAATTATTTTAACATTGCCACTTAACTACATTTGCATCTGTTGCTTTGCCCCCTCTAGATTTCATCAAGATGAATTTTAATTGCATATGCAATTGTTCCTAAAATGATCTTACTTCCTAGCACTAGGTCCCCCCTCCCAGATAATAAAACTCCAATTAAACTTATTAAGTCGTCTGATATTTCCTCAAACTAACTTTTATTGATGACCCAGACTGTTCAGTTTGCTTCCCATCGCCATGAACAATATTCTAAGCCTAATTATATTTTATCATCATGGGCGTTCCTCTGAACCAGCCATATTTATCAAACTTCATGCATTTTCTAGGAATTCATCCAAAATAGCCTCAAACCAGACAAATGCTTCAAATAAGCCATAGAACAAAACAATCCTGAAGTACTTTGCAGAAATATGTCTTTGCTCTTCATTTTGCATTCTGCTGTAGCCAAGTTAACATCTGAGTAATTAAAGTATTGCCAGGAATTTTAAATATCCTGTTTTTTAACATGTTTCCCCAGTTGTATACTTTTTAGATTTTGCATTAGTTGCTCTGAACATGTGAACCATATCCATTTCCAGTAATCACAATAATATTTGTTGTGATTTCAGCAACTTCACTCATTGTGTATCTTACCTGCAATACCACTTTCCTCATGTGTTTTAAAAGTGTGCAGACTTGTATTTTAGGGTGCACTCATAGCAAATTCACTTTTGTTTAGAATTAGACAACTGAGTGTTAATACATGCACGATGTGGCATCTTCAAAGGTTAATCTTACATTCCCTTCCACCACCTCTTCTTGCCTAGCTGCTGTCTCTTTAGAAAACCTTTCTACTTAAGTCATCCTTCCCCCTCCACGGCAATATGCAATGTTGCCCCCAGCCAATTCGGTCTTTTATTTCCATCACATTCGCCTGTCAGAATTTTGTGACTGATCCTTCCACCTCTATAGTCATAACATTGAACATGTCATGAAATCACAGCAGCTCAGACATTGGCTAGAAGAGGCTCACAGGTGACAGACAGCCAGTTCAAGCCCATTAAATATCTATGATTTGGAGCTATTTTTGCATCATGCACATTTTCAGCTTTTGCACCATATGCTGCTACAGTTTCTATGACCTGGTTTTATTCTCTCACATTTACATTATCTTTTCACTTTCAAGTCTGAAGTTAATCCTGCAGACATCCCTGCTGCAAGAAATGTACATATTAAAACCAGCTGTGCCTCGACTGTGAGATAGTAACTGGCCCTGCTAAGATAATTCAGCTTGCAATCCAGAACCATAAAAGTCAGTGGTAATTTTGTAACTGACTTCAGTGGGATCTGGAGTACTAATTTGGTTTTTCATCAGTATTCTGAGCACACTTAAAAGAATCCATTACTGTTTTTGTGACAATTTATTGGTCCTAAGTGTGTGGTATATGCAGAAAAGGGAAGTTACAGTTAACAATTATGTAAAAGAACTGACACCTTTCAAATGATATTTCTGTTCTAACACTGGCAGAGACTTTTCAAAACCTTGCACTCAGATATGTGATATTTGTATTGCAATGTTCAACTGCAAATAACAGAACAGAACCTGTTCTGACTTCAGATACCTTCAATTGATAAAGATATTATACTGGGGCATTCAGGTACAATTCTGGGTGCAACACTCAGCTTTCATTGGAAGGCTACCTCACTGCATGTCCAGAAAGAAAATTATATATTCTGACTTTGTGCACACAGCTAAACACACTCTCTGGGAATCTCAACACACATGAAGCAGAAAAAGCACCTCCTTTACTGTCCATCAAAAGCTCTGTGTGCCCAGGAGCCACATGAATTAGACCTCAGTTTTTCCGAATAACTGTTTTCTGTTGGTGAACTCAATTTATGGGCTTCCATTTGAGCATGCACTACATGTTGCACAGCAGTATTACCACCTTTCCCCCCCAAACTGCAATAATATTCTGCTTAATGAGACTATGATAAAAAAGTTAGTATTTCAAAATAGCACACTATTTTCCTCCAGTGTAGGAAGAGCAACACTGATAGGAAGAGAGCACAGAGATGTGCCTTCATGGTAGTGATTGGGAACTAATAATGCACATAATTAAGAACGCATATTTTTATGTATGAAAATAATGTGCCACCAAAACGGTATGTTTTTCATGGCCAAATACGAAGGAACGATAATTAGTTCCCCACTACTTTTCTTGTTTCATAACTCTTTGTTGTTTCAGTGGATGGAATGTGCTTTCTCTCTCTCTCTTTTTTTTATTAGACCCAAGTTAAAAAGAAAAAGTAGAGAGAATGTTGCCACCATTATTATTTTTCTCTAGTTTGCATTGTAATGGAATATCAAAAGGTAATATTTTCTATTGTGCCTCTATCTGGGGCATGTTACTTAAGTTTCAGTTCCTCCTAGACAACGAACCATGAAAACTGAAGAGATGACACAGACACATCATGTCCTTCCTCCCTTCATGCCCCTTGAGTAACGGTACTTTGCATGAGCTTTCCTGAGAGGATTAATGGCAGATTTGACTCTAGGAAATAATTACAAGGTTTGACAAGACATTTGAGACTCTGGTGATAAAAGAGAAGGAAGGTTTCAGTGAGGAACTAGGATGCTGACAGGCACAACATGCTCATTATGGAAATTCAAAAAGAGAAAGAATATCTAAAAATAAGCAAGATATCGAGGCACATATTTTATACATCAACCACACTGCAAGCTTCTTGTTATCCCATGTGCTAATATCACCCATATCTTACTAACTGTAATGAGGGCCTCTTAAAAAAAAAAAACTTAGCACACTTCTCTCTTTCTTACCTCTGTGCTTCCTATTATTTTCCCTTCTTGGAGGGAGGTGGTGAACAGAAAGGAGCTAAGAAACAGTCCTAATAAACAATTGTATATGCAAAGGGACTCTCCACATGATCCATCCTGCATTTGGAACAGAAGCTATATTTGCATGCACACAGGTGCTGTCCTTACCTGGACAGCATATAGAGCAGGATACATTGCAAATGACTGTGGCTGTATGAATAAGGGTTGCACAACTGGGACCTTCCATAGTGTTCCAATGAGGAGTGCTTTGGGAAAGGGACATAGTTCAGTGGCAGAGCCTGCAAAAGGGCCAATGTTTGATTACTGGAATCTCCAGGTATGGCTAAGAAGCAATTTCAGTCTGAAAATAAAGGTATTATTATTATTATTAAAATCTGGAAGGCCAGTGCCAGTCATTGCAGTCAGTACTGAGCTGAAAGGATCCAGGATCCCAGCCAACCTGTTGTGCCTTCTTCTAGAACAGGCTTCCTCAGCCTCGACCCTCCATGTTTTTGGCCTACAACTCCCATGATCCCTAGCTAGCAGGACCAGTGGTCAGGGATGATGGAAATTGTAGTCTCAAAACATCTAGATGGCCGAGGTAGAGGAAGCCTCTTCTAGAATATTCCATCCTATTCCCCTTTATCTCGGCCTTCCATTTTTCCCCACCCTTGAGCAGCTGGTATTCCATGCACACTGAGCATGTTCAGTCCACATTGGACTAACTTTTCCCCCCACCCTAAAGGTTTGTATAATGCTATAAACTTGCAATTCTGCCTGCTGATACTTCTGTTATTGAGCAGAATGTGGAGAATTGAGTTGCCATTATTATAGGGTGGTGGTGGTGGTATTTCTACAATCTTTCTTGGATTCTACCACTTTAAATGCAGGTGCATGGGGGAAAGGGATTACATATTTGAATACTTTTTTCCACATTAAAACAAGAAAAGCAACAACATTGCCCAATTCATCTAGAGAAGTAGATTCAACCATATGCTAAGGCCTGCAAAGCTCACCTGTTTCCAGCTGTTAAGTTTTTAAAACAATCCCCCACAACACATTCTTTTCCATTGGAAACAATGGGAGGGAAAGTGAATGTGAGATTTAGACATGTTCCTGAGCTCTTATAATTTTATTCTCAGCTGGGAAGCAGGTCAGGAACCCTGGGTTTTGGATCCCAGCTTCTTCCCCTAGCATGCCCCCAATCACTCCTGATGTTACCCCAAATTCTGGGGCCTGCAGGCCATAGCGCAAATGTTGGTTGAGCCAGAGCATTGAAGGATCTCAGTCTATGACACTGGAGTTCTGTTTCCAGTGTAGAAGAGGGTGATCTAATCAGTCCTAAAGCCTCCAAGACACCCTCTCATGGGCCATAGAACTGTAGCCTATGCACCTTGTTAGGTTGAATGTGTGCAACAGGCAATTACATGGAACAAAAGCCCAACAACACTTCCTTTAGAGCAAAGCCTTATTGGGCATAGCATTTCTGAACTCAACTTTGACAAACAAGAACAATCTGTATTGTATACATGTCTACCCAGGAGTCAATGGAACTTACTCCAAGGCAAGTGTTTAAAGGTAAATGGACCCCTGACCATTAGGTCCAGTCGTGACCGACTCTGGGGTTGCGGTGCTCATCTCGCTTTATTGGCTGAGGGAGCCGGCGTCACGTGGCCAGCATGACTAAGCCGCTTCTGGCGAACCAGAGCAGCTCATGGAAACGCCATTTACCTTCCTGCCGGAGCAATACCTATTTATCTACTTGCACTTTGACGTGCTTTCGAACTACTAGGTTGGCAGGAGCAGGGACCAAGCAACAGGAGCTCACCCCATCGCGGGGATTTGAACCGCCGACCTTCTGATCGGCAAGTCCTAGGCTCTGTGGTTTAACCCACAGCGCCACCCGCGTCCCTAGGCAAGTGTTTAAAGGAGGCCAATTTAGGACTGCAGTCTAAGTTGCAAAAAGTTTCCTGTTATATTTATTTAAATATTCATTTTCACTTCTATCAGGTCCCCCCCCCCATCAAGCCCTGGTGAAGTTAATGTTTCTAAAAATATAAATGCATAAAATAAATAATGTTTTGTCTCACACAGAAGTACAGTAGATAACAACAGCTACAATCCAACCTGGGAAGCTGGGGTAGATTTCAAGAGCCAAATTGTGTTGATGGAAAGGCAGAGCTGTACTCTTTCTTATCACATTTTTTCTTTTTGAATATACCTTTCTCTGGCTGCTTTCTTCTTCTTCTTTGAGGGGGGAGCGGTTACAAGAAAATATGTGGGATGGGAAAGACAAGATTTGAGGGAGAAAAGCAGGAGTTCACCTCCCTCCCCTACCTCTGTGCTTTCAAGTTCCCACCACCCCCACCTTTTGGGATTATGGCAGCAACCCAACATGACATACTGGTCTGCACAGTCAAATCTAGTTTGTTCATAAAGAATATTATAGGAATTCGAAGTAGCATTTCTCATATAGACAGTTATATAAGAGGGAAAAGGCCTATGTTTGCATTTATTCTGGCTGGAGAAAAAAATCCAAATCATTTATTCAGGGGAAATATTCAGATGCAAATACGGCATACATTTTTAAAACGTGCATAATATAATTACAACTGGAAAAAAAATCATTGTTCCATAGACAGCATGAACAATTGACAGCCTACAAATGCATCATTTAAAAAAAAGTTATTAATGAGCTTTCAGGATACTTCTTGATGCTGCTGGTTTGCTGTGTTGTGAATTATTAGATCATCAGCAACCTATAATAAATAATGTGTTCTCAGTCATTCCATGGATATGTTTTCCTATTTGTCAACATGTATGCACACACACGCAGTCTTTTTAAGAAGACAAGAACATTTTCCAGTATAATAAACAATCCTGCATTGATTTGCAAAGGTTTTGAGATCAGAGATTACTTGCAGTTCAAGAAAGAATGAGGGCATCAGAATGTTTCCATCTATTGCTTTCTACAGCATAATAGTGAACTGTTTGAATAATATGCAAATAAAGACTGATTTAATAGATCAGTTCAAACCACTTTACCTTTATGTATTATACATAAAGTAAATAGAAAAAAAGTAAAATATATTAATATAAATAAGAACCCTTATGAAAATCCTGCTTTAATATATACAAGGAGGACAAAGTTAAAAAGGTAATTCCTTTGCCTGCTTGTGGATGAGCTCTAAGCAGGAGATTTAGATTATAGAAAGAAGCATTATTTGAAGATGAGATTTCAATGGAATGGGAAGTGAGCCTGTATATTTGTGAACAGAGCCCACATGACTTTTCACGATATGGCAACAAAACAGCCGAGGCAATCTGACCTAAACAACTACAATATTATATACTTCATGATAATATAATCTTACAAGGTATGATTTGCAACAAAATTTTCTTCAGTCACCGTCCAGGATGCTCCTATTCAGAGCTCCAGGCAGCCTTTGAGTACCATTAAAGCTCCTGAGTGGGGTGGAAGTAATTTCAAGAGAATAAAAGGAATATATATATGTTTATAATTTCTTTTCTTCTACCTTTCTGAAGCATTCCCCTACTGTGCAAAACTGTGCTGGAGGGCCCAAGTTTGGGGCTGTCAGCCCTGAACATAAACATTTTATTAGTGTATCAAGGGGTGCAGTATGAGTTTCTGCAGGTGCCCATTTTCTGTTCCCTCTTCAGTCAGTGCTATGTACAGTGTGCAGCAGGCTGGGGGGAACGATTTCAGCCCAAGGGCTGCATCACCTCTTGGGCAATCTTCCAGGAGCCACATACCACTGGTGGGTGGGGCCAGAGGCAAAAGTGAGCAGAGTAATAAATGTAAATTTCTGAGGACGGACAAGACAGAGGCATTATCAGGGTTCAAGGACACATTCCAGCCAGGTAAAAACACTCATGGTGTGAAATAGTGCCTGTGAGAGGGTGGTCTCGGGAATGCTGAAGGTCAGACAGAGGTTTGGAGGGCTTCATTCAGGATCTGATGGTTTCTCACCCTTGGAACACAGAGTTACTCATTCCCCTGACACCCAAATCATCCCCCCAGGGTACCAGATATTTAGAGGTTCAACCAGGTGAATTCTCGTCACCTATCTGTTTTCCTTTTTTTTCCAGCTGACACTCAACAATCTGTGGCTGGATCTTGGAAGTCACTCAGAACAACAGCACACCATTTCCTTATCACTAACAAACCAATTTATCTCTTCATATGTGGGGAATTCCCCAAATATGGCAGAGGACTGTACCTAAGTACAGTATATGACTGTACCCTCACAGACTTGTGCACAGTCACATGGTTTGCCACTACTGGGATTCCCAATGCATGCAAGTAGATGCATGATGCCAACCTCCCCCCTCCCCATATGATCAAGTCAGACACCAAATGGGATAGGAATATAGCACTGCCTAAGTGCTTCATAATGATTTATGCATTTAAGCTGAACCATTACAAAGTGATCAATTACAAGTAGAGCAGTACATGTGAAAAGGATCTAGGAGTCTTGGTTGACCACAAACTTGACATGAGCCAACAGTGTGACGCGGCAGCTAAAAAAGCCAATGCAATTCTGGGCTGCATCAATAGGAGTATAGCATCTAGATCAAGGGAAGTAATAGTGCCACTGTATTCTGCTCTGGTCAGACCTCACCTGGAGTACTGTGTCCAGTTCTGGGCACCACAGTTCAAGAAGGACACTGAAACTGGAACGTGTCCAGAGGAGGGCAACCAAAATGGTCAAAGGCCTGGAAACAATGCCTTATGAGGAACGGCTAAGGGAGCTGGGCATGTTTAGCCTGGAGAAGAGGAGGTTAAGGGGCGATATGATAGCCATGTTCAAATATATAAAAGGATGTCACATAGAGGAGGGAGAAAGGTTGTTTTCTGCTGCTCCAGAGAAGCGGACACGGAGCAATGGATCCAAACTACAAGAAAGAAGATTCCACCGAAACATTAGGAAGAACTTCCTGACAGTAAGAGCTGTTCGACAGTGGAATTTGCTGCCAAGGAGTGTGGTGGAGTCTCCTTCTTTGGAGGTCTTTAAGCAGAGGCTTGACAACCATATGTCAGGAGTGCTCTGATGGTGTTTCCTGCTTGGCAGGGGGTTGGACTTGATGGCCCTTGTGGTCTCTTCCAACTCTATGATTCTAAGTACAAAGCAAATCCTTCTAAGCAACAACAATGTGTTCAGTCCTGCAAAGCAACTATTTATATATATATATATATATATTCTTGTGATATGACAGCTGCCTTCCTTTCCAAATAATTCCAGTAAATAAGCTGCAGCCTGGCCTATCTGCAACGTGTAGATTGCACCAAAACCTCACCTGGTCAATTCCATCTATTTGTCACCTGCCATACAGTACATGGAATTTGTTTACAACCAGCTGAGCAAAAGATATATAAACTAGCCCGCATGAGGAAGATGTTGGATTTACAGACAACTGACAAATGAGCTTGGAATGAGAATGTATATGAGAATAGCCTAGAGTGTGCCATTATGCCATGACATGAATATATGACATCTACCCCCAGCTGATGCTGGAGGCAAATGAGCTATGCTGCATCTACCAGAGTAATTTCTCACGCTTGCGGTTTCTCTCTTCATTTTTCTTTCTGAAACAATACATAATAAAATGTACCCCTTGCAGCCTGATCCTAAGACTTGCTGTATCGGCAGATAAAGAGCAGTTCACAGCTAGTAACCTACTTGTTTGCAGTGCTGTGGTGGTCAGCTCAAGCTGGAACCTCTGCGCAAAAAGTGAAAAAGATTGGACCTTTGGGGAAAGAGAGAGCCTTCTGAATGATAAACCTCATGTTTTGTGCAGCCAAGGTTCATTCTTTGCCTCTCTGCCTTAACAAGATCAGGTTGTAAGCTGGAAGAGAAAAGTACCGATCTTCTCGTATAGAGAAGTATTCTCACAGAGAGAAGTACCAGTCAAAGTAGAGGTGCGGGGTTAGATGGATCCGTGGCCTAAGTATAAACAGCTTCTTATAAACAGCTTAGGAGGAAAAAAGCAAATTACTGCACCAGTGAAACTTTAAACTGTAACATTTCACAGACTTGAGACACAGTTTTCAAAAACATACAGAAGCCAAATGGGCATATGCATATTTTTTGTATTAGATAAATGTTTTTACTAGCACAGACAAGTGAGTATAAATATGGCTCATATAATACATTTTAAATATAAGCATAATTTGAGAAACAATGAACAACAACAACATAATGTTGGTGACTTTTAAATACACAATTGGATGGGGAATCTGGTGTGCCATACTGAATAATTTTTATTTATACTAGTATTTTATAATTTAACAGAGTCTAGTTTTTATTAGTTGATTTATGTGTTGTCAAAATAATACCTTACCTAGTCTTGATTTTGGAGAGGGAATTAAACTCTGGTAGAGGAAGAGAAACTTAAGAATTTATTTATCAAGCCTTTATGAATAAAAAATTGTTCAAATTTCTTTCAAGCACAATTTTCAGCTGAAAAACTCCCCCCCCCCCCTTTTAGCCTGATGTGTGTGTGTGGCATTTTTAGATTTCAAATCTAAAACTTAAACTGCAACTTCTTCTGAGGCCAAAAACAAATCGCTTGAATTGGGAAGAATTCTTAAATCGCATTATGCTTTCTCCTGGAACAATTTATTTCCTTATTTGGTTATACAATTAACTTGAATGAAACTGAGTGTTATGCCTTGAAAACAAAACTAAATTAAACGTTAATGCAGTAATCCATCAATTACAGTGACGCAACTAATGGCTCAAAATAGCTTTGTATGAACATTTCAAGATGGATTAATAATATAATGAATGTTATGCATTCACAATTACAGAAGGAAATAAAGTATTGCCTTAGTTAATCCCTCATTTTCATTGATGGTAAAGTGGTAAGGCAACAAAATGAATATTCATTGCAATTTCTTATAATGTGGGACCTACACAGAGTAAAGCAAACATTTACCATCCATTACAGCTGAGGAGAATCTGAGTAAATGAACACTTCTGACTAACTTCCATTTTTAGAAGTTATTCACTTTCCCAACAGCATTATGCTTGTGACACAAGTATACAAGTTGTAGATGTGTAACTAACAGCTTGATTCTCAGGCCACTTTAAATACTTTAGCTCCTCTTGACTAGTGCTGAAAATCACATCATCACATTAGTTCTTGATAGGTTACAAAAAATTAAATTGTTTGGCTTATTTTATGCACACACACACATATGCAGCAGAGTTAAAAGCTTGGAAACTGGAGCTGCCTGGAATTACTCTCACCCCCCCACCCTGTCTCATTTTCACATGTCACTGGCATTGCTTAAAAGGCAAAATAAAACATACAGAAGCTCCATTAGTAAAGAAAAAAAGTCCCTTATTTACAGTTACTTGATATTCACAAGGATGGGTTCTGAATCAAACTACATGGCTAGAGCTACTTTCATGGCATACTCTTGCATAAGAGAGGCCATTGTGGGAAATCACAATGTATATTTATCCTGTTTGTCTCAACCCTACCTTCTACTGACTAGAGGCATACCCAGCAGTATCCAAACAGAACAAGGCCACATCAGTACAGTGGACCCTCGGGTTACGTTACCTTCGTATAACGTAACTTTTGGGTTGCAAACACGGCAAACCTGGAAGTGTATACGCAGAAGCGGTCTATTGCGCCATGTGCGTGTGCTGAAGCGGCACCTCATGTTGTGGACTTTTGGGGGTATGTAAGGACCCCTGGAACAAATTAAGTTCGTATCCGGAGGGTCCACTCTAACTGCATGTGCATGCATTGTCTCCACATCACTGACAGCTGTTGCTAGGAATGTAATGCACAGATATGAGGATACTTCATAATTGCATATAGGTGATACACCTGCCACTCTGAAGCATGGCCTTCATGAGATGTTTGCTCCATAGTGTTACTTATTTTGTGCTCCTCTATTGAGGGTAAGCAGGCATTCCCAGACAAAAGAGGACTGCACTTCTAGTTCAGCAAAAGCACGCTACGTACCAAGATTCTAGGATGTGTGCTGAAAAAATACAGATGATTCTCTCTTCCTTTGAGATAAGAAATCAACCTATTTTGTGGCTGAAACAGACTGACTCCTCCTTCAGGCTTGTTTACGGTGTCCCTCAGCAAAATGCCTTCAGATGAACCCTATTCCTAGATAGCTAAAACCTAGGAGCAGCCGTTTGATCACCAGAAAAAGGGGGGGGGGCTGGGAATCACAATTTAAATTTTCCACAATGCCCACAACAAGCAAAATGGAGAAAATGCCTGAATAGAGCCATGGTCTCATCCTAATTAGAAAGGGTCAGTTACACATACTTCCTATTCCGTTCCAACTTGGCAGTGGCAGGCCTTAGCTATTCCCCTTTGACTGTGAGAATGTAAGGCAGGATTTTGCAGCCTTCAGTTCTTGGTTGGAGAGCCTAGATTGGAAACCTTTCTCAGAAGATCTTATGCCGCATCCAATCGGCCAGCCAAACTGCCAGGGCTTGTCAAAATCCTAGGGCTCCCCAGTGTCAAATCACTCCCCACTCCTGCTGGCCACTGGTTCCTCATACCTGTACAGTGGTCCCTTGAGTTAAGTACTTAATTCATTCCGGAAGTCCGTTCTTAACCTGAAACTGTTCCTAACCTGAAGCACCACACCTACTGCCGCCGCGCCACCGGAGCCCGATTTCTGTTCTCATCCTGAAGCAAAGTTCGTAATCTGAAGCACTATTTCTGGGTTAGCGGAGTCTGTAACCTGAAGCATATGTAACCCAAGGTACCACTGTACTAGTGATTATAATTTGTGGAAGGAAAGGTTTTAGGAGGGATCGCTGTCTACTTTTACACTTCATTTATATGCAGAGAAGGCCAGGAAAAGATACAACACTGGCTGGTGCTGGGGAGGGTTACTGTACCAGCATTATTTATTGTTTCATTATAAGCAATATTTCTGTGCCATCCCATTACTGAACTCATTAGTAAAATAACAGCAGCCCATCTCTTATGATATGACAAGCAGAATGGACACATGAGCCAGGCATGCCTTTCCTAGCTCAATCCCCCAAGGATGAATCCAACAGCTAACTCCACATACCTGAACCACCCAGCTCTACCACGTTTGTTTGATGATGATAATCAGAGATGCGTTGCTGGACTAGGAACATCATGAGCAGCTGCAGCCCACCTGCTTGCTGTATTTAAATCAGAACTCAGCTAATTTGGAATGCTGCACATGCTCAGTGTAGTCAGCAGCCCCAGCTCCGCCCCTTCTTCCCAGGCTGCTCCACTCTTCCCTACTGTAGAAGGAGAGTCGGTTGCTTTAGTAGTCTAGAAGTAGCAGTCTTGCCTGTTTCATGGTATGTGTTCCTTGTGGAGGACGGGTGTCGTGGTTTGTCTGTTCTGAGGGAATGAAGGGGTTTTGTACCACACTAAAACCTTACAGTCTTATCTGGCTGGTATGCAAATTTGCCATTAATTGTGCAGCTGTTCCATCTCCAGACGAAATAAAAGCAAACCTTTGGGTTTCTTCCGTGAAAAAGGCGGAGTTAGTAACATTTTCTTCTGTCTTTTTGTTAAAACAAACAAACTGCTGCACCCCAAATTTACCCTGTGCCTGCTTACTGAGAAGGAAGGCCCACTCTGGTAAATGGGAGCTACTCCCAAGTAAATTAGCAATTGGAAGGCAGCCTCAGTCAGCCTGTTGCCTAGGAAAAGCTTTGCATGTATATATTCTTTTAAGTTACTAGCAGGTCTCTCCTCAACTCCAAAATTCTTAGTCAGTTGCCTGGGCTAGTATCTGCTTGGCAGCATTTTAGCATGTTTTTTCATACACTAGTGAATGCAAACTCACCCACCCCCCAATCATAGGAGTGGAGCAACCCATTCCATGTGCAAACCACCCTTTTGCTCTTTGGGGAGTTATTTGGAAGTTTATTTTCTTAACAATGAGCGGGAGTAGCTTATTTTTTGTTATTTAGTAACATCGCCCCCCCCCCATTGTTGTAGGTCTCCGTGGACGTGGCTAACAAATCTTCCTTTTCTGCTCCTGTGCCAAGGTCTTGGTTTGAGGGGAAAGCAGTCCGAGGCTTTATTCTTTCTGGGAGACACCAGTAGCAGTGGTCTTCGTGGGAAACAGAAGATAACTAAGGTAAGGTAAGGTGGTAGTGCACATCTTAGTTGCCCTGCCTAGTACTGCCATACTTGTTTTAGACCTTTAAAATTTAGCACCTAATCTTTAAAATGCACTAGTTCCATCCTCTACAATACACTTCTGTATTTTCACCTCACTGATTTGTTATGTGATATCTGGTGCATTAAAGGCCTCTTTCACATGGTATTCCACCATTATTTCACACAGTAGAAGGTGTGGTAGTGGAGAGAGTTTCTTAAATGAGTCTGGTGTATATTTCCTCTGCTTCTGTTACCTACTGCTTAAGCCTTTATCTCCAGTCCTAATCGTTGTTTACTGATTGTTGCTATGTAGCTGCAAAATGCAGGAATTCAGTAAATGCTCTGAATTACTTTCAAGCATTCTATTTTGGGAACTTCTAAGAGGCCCTAGTTTCTGTAAGGCCAAGAGTCAACTACTTGCCTTTGTCTTTGGGTGCAGTTGCCTTTAATAATGTCATTTATTTGTTTGTTTGTTTATAATGTAATAATTTATTACATACATGGTGCCTATCACTATATTAGGCCTCACAATAAAATTATGAGAGGGATGGCCCAATTTGTAGGCTTACAAGATAGTGGTCCACCATTTAGCCATACCTGTTAGATCATGGTATTCTAGTGCGGATCAGCGGAGGAGAAAAAAAGAGATGGATGAGGGGAAGGAATGGGAACAAGGCAAAGAGAAATTCCACTTTAAGTAGTAGTGTGTGTGCAGGGAAGTAATAAGAATCAGAGGTGTTTAATATGCAGTGCGTCTTTCTTTCAAAGATTAAATACAATTTAGTAACTGCTTGTGGAGATGCAATAGAAGGCTGGAAATTGCTTTCAGACAGAACTTGGTGTTCAAATTTTGCTTTGAAATTGGGTCGTAGCTTGTACCCCATGTTGAGATAAGAAAGGCATATTCACCTAGGTTAAATTGCTATGGGGATTTTTTGTCTTTGACTTTAGGTATGTAACTTGACTTAATAGATTGCTCAGTCTAGAGTATTTAGTGATTGGTTTGGTTTAGTCAGGAATAGCCTTGTTATCAGGTCTTTTGCTTCCTGCTTCCTGTATGTGGAATTTTGAGTTGCAACTATTAAGGATCTATAGCAAAACTGTATTTTAATTGGTGAAATGTAGAAGGAGATGTAATAGACTTTATGCACAATCTAATATGTGCACAAAAAGTTTGTGTATAGGCTTACCTATGTGAGCAGAGAGCCTGCTTTCTGTAAGACTTCTTGAATGCATGTAGGCTGAAAGAGGACCAGCGAACAGGATTCTGATCTAAAGTAACTGCCGATGTCATGTCACAGCCCCACTGTCCTATCTGCAGTGGCTGCTAGATTTTTTTTACATGCAGCATAGTACAGAGGTACCTCGGGTTAAGTCCTTAATTCGTTCCGGAGGTCCATTCTTAACCTGAAACTGTTCTTAACCTGAAGCACCACTTTAGCTAATGGGGCCTCCTGCTGCTGGAGCACGAATTCTGTTCTCATCCTGAAGCAAAGTTCTTAACCCGAGGTAATATTTCTAGGTTAGCGGAGTCTGTAACCTGAAGCGTATGTAACCCGAGGTACCACTGTATCTGCTTATGAGATACCATTTACCATATTGCTCTAATTTATTAAGAAATATCAGAGTTGGAGACACTAAGTAATGTAGGAGATTTCCAGAGGTTTCAAATGTCTTCTGAATAACACAAGCCTTTCCATATTTATTAAAAGAAATATGGTTACATCTTCATCATAATTTCCTAAGATAAAACGCCTGTGACTTGCATCCAGAGATGTGCTGGTGTATTGATGGTGCTTCTGGTCACCCCCTAGCAGTTCCCTGAAAAGCCTCTCCTGGGAACCTCCTGAATTGGGTGGGCTGAGGGGGAATGCACGGGGTAAGGAGGAATCACTGAAAATCAGGCAGAGGCAACTTCCATATGCATTTGCTTGATTTTTTGAAAGGTTTTTCATGCCTGATAACTAACTAACTAACACTCTCTCTCTATATATATAACACAACCCAAGTAAGGAGAGTTAACTTATAAGAGGATAAAAATAAGATGAAATTATTTACACTGATATGAATGCATTCTGACAAAAAGTTAACATGTATTGATCCCTTGAAATGACATGCTAGTACTAACACACTAAGGTTAAATCTGACACAAGGTCGGGGTACCTTTTCAGCTGCATTCCCTGATGGGCAAGCTTCCAGGAGTTGCATGTCAGTGGTGGGCAGTAGGGCCAGAACCAAAGGTGGGTTGAGAAATGGATTTGACTAGTCATGGAGAAGACAGAGGTCCCAGGCAAGCAAAGTGCATCATTACATTTCAAAGACACATTCTAGGTAGGCCGAAGCACTTGAGGAGTATGCAGAGGCAAGACTGGAATGGACGTGACGAGTCTCCAAGGCTGGATAAAAGATGTTGTATTTGGCCTGTGGGCTGGAGGTTCCCACCCCTGCTCAGACAGAAATCAGTGGGATAAGGCCATTTTCACAATAATGTTTAAATGTCCACTGGATTTCAGCCAAGATAGTACAGTATACATGGTAGGGAACATCCTTGTTTGTATCATAATCTCTTTAAATGACATAGTATATGCCGTCATTGTACATGGCATTGTACTAACGAAGGAGGGCACAGCCTTTGACTAAAGGATCCTTATTCTTTCAGTCAGACATAGACAATAGATTTCAGACACATGAAATATCAGAACAAATTCTAAGCTCTGCTTAATGAAAAGCAAGTGTATAGTACTGCTTGTATCAAACCGTGGTTGTGACCATGCCTCCTGTACTGTACTATACATGAATTAATTTTCAGTAACATACATAAAATAGGCCAGTCATTCCATCCACATTGTATTTATTTTACAAAGATTGTAATTCGGCAACCATCAGGTTAAAAAATATCCATGGAATATCATTGCTGGTCAAGGCTTTCCAAACCACTGAAAAATGGTTGCAAACCACTGAAACACTATTGTCCAGCAGTGATAGGAAGGTGGTACAATAGGTATGTTTGCTGTTTAGATGGCAAGATAGATAATCTACTATCGTCTTTTCTGGCATTGTGCTTAGATAGTGGGCAGTTTTAATTGAACATCAGGCTTAATTATATTAAGTTTAACCTTTCCATTACTATTAGCAGCTTTATTACTACTTACATTAGGTAGTTTGCATGCATAGTAATGTACAAAAGAAGCTGTAAAAAGTTAAAAATAAAAATGGATAATTGCAATGGATTAGCTAATGGTGCAGTCTAGTAGAGTTTTATGACACTGATAAAATGATTATGGAAACAGAAGAATTAAAAGGAAAGTTACATTTATTAAGCATTCCAGTGTTTGCCTCTAAGATAGAATAATAAAGAAGCAGTTTTGTTAGAATTCTTAATATAACAATTTACATTTTTATGTCTCCGGTCCTACCAGTTTTGCAAGTTTAGGAGCTTTGGAACACAGCAAGATGTCTTCTACTGAGTCAGATCAGTTCAGTTTGGTGCACACCAGAAGTGGGGAACTTGTGGGACACTAGATGTTTTGGACTGCAACCCATTTGCCCCAGCCAGCATGGTCAGTGGTTAGAGAAATGGGAATTGTAGTTGAACGACAGGTTCCCCATCCCTGGTCTTCACTGATTGAAAGTATGGAGTGCTGCACCCAAACAGTAAGCTTTCCTGACCCTTCCTGACATGCTGCAGATTGAACCTGGTACATTCTGCATGTAAAACTCTACTGCTGAACTCTGGCCCTTTCGCAGGCTCTTCCAAGCTCTCCCCCACCCCCCGGTGAGATTTCAAAAAAAATCCCTCATCCGATGAAAGCTATCTGTGTGGTAGGCATATAAAACATTGCTGTACTCTTAACAGAAAACTATCTGGTGCAAAAGACACACAGAGAAACAAAAAGAAGCCAATAGGCTCATGTTCCGTAGACATCACCATTGGCCAGACAAATGCTTCTTATTTTGTGTTATTATTTTTAATTGTAAAGCACCTTGAATGCATTGGCAGAAAGGTGGTATATAAATTTAGCTTGTTATAAAGGATAATAACTGGCATTAGTTGTACCCTCTCTGAGTAAACATACTGAAATCAATATGTCTGTGAACCGCCCTGAGACCTGCAGTTATTGGACAGTATACGGATTCAATAAGTAATATAATAATACTCCAATTATGACTTAGTTGACTATAACCCAGAATAAATGAATTCATTCGTTAACAGAGCACTAATACTCATTCCCATAATGAGTGTGGCTATTTTGGGTCCTGCTTGGATAGTGCTCATGACAGCACTAGTACCAAATAAACTACTTAAGTTAGTCACATCTAGAGAAGGAGACATCTCAAGCTATACACTTGTGTGTCAACCTGTTTAAAGATTTGTGGCCATGCCAATATAAATGCTGCCTTCTGCTGTGCTCGTCATAGTTCTTCTAACTGGAATAGAAGCAGCAGCTATAAATATTGCATATGCTGATAATGATTGACAAGTTGATATCTTTTTATAGGCAGTGACACAGTTTTGGAGATAAGAAGATTCAGAGATTTGGGCAGCAACATTTAAGAGCTCAGCAGAGAAAGGATTAAAGGTTTAACTTTAAACATAAGCTAGAAACAGCTCGAGAATAAGGCTTTGTGTGAATAATTTTATTAGAGACTATTCAGAAAAATTATATTTTAGGTAAGACTCGTGCTTTGCATTGTAGTTGGCTTTTCACCTTTGCTTTTTAAACATTGGCAGTATTTCCTCAGTAAGTAGGTAAGTCTTGCTACTTTGCTGGCCATAACTGCTGCGGACTTCAACACAGTGTAGAATTGCACTCAAAACCTGGGTATTGAATTGTTGAGACCAGTGTCCCCAGACATGGAAGTAAGCCACCTGTGACAGACACCCTCACTGAAGGATGGGTGCTGGGTAACGTGATCCATAGTTTGGGTGTTTTGCCAGTAAAGCTTCTCTTGCATTACACAGTAGCGACCTATAACTAACTAATTGTGGTAGCATTTAAGATTTCACAGCAGCAAGGTGTACTTATGTGAAGTCTCCTTGGTGTCTACTCACTCCCCACCTAGAAGTTTAAGGAGGCACTCTGGAACAATCTGTATGTGTATATAATTACACACTGTGAGGGTTTCAACACATGGTGGTATCACAAGTGAGGCACAAAAGTTAATTAACACAATCAATTTGCAGAGAAACTTTTAAGCAGCATTCTTTATCATGCCAAGTCTTTGCTAGACTTTTGGTGCCTTCAAGAATTTAACTTCCCCTCAGGGAATCAAAATGGTTTTCCCCACACAGATAGTTCAACCCTGTCTGATCGTTAAACTGCCAGCATCTAACTTAAATTGCCCCTCTCCTGATTAGCTGATGGTCTCAGCAGCTCTAACTGGTTTGCCGGGTCACAAGGAGGAAGGCCCATGGCCTGTCCATCACACCACCTACACATTTCTGATGAAAAGAGGTCTCTGTCCCCCAAGTCACGATGATGAAACTGTGAATTCCTTAAGCCTAATCCAGTAGGCCAACATTTAGAGAAGCTCCTCAAGCAGTGGAGCTATATCGCTGGGCTACACAAAAAGTGAAGCAATTGCTTGAGTGAACAAGAGCGAAGCTGCCTTCCTTCTATGTACCCTGTATATAAACCCTCTTCCCAAGTCCTAATCTGTATATGGAATGCTCCACTCTCCCTAGGAGTTTTAATGGAAAAGTTAAGTGGGTAGATTATTCCGTAGAATTCAAGAGACTGATTTTAATCCTGTCTAATGCTGGGTCTATGCACACAGAAACACAATGGCAAATACTGAAGACAGGCATGTCACTTTTATTTAGTTAATGACATGTCAGCACAGCAGTTAAGTTTTCCCCCCAGACATGCTGTAGCGTATAGCCAAAAGCAAGGAAAGCACTCTTAGAAGAGACAGGTACCTTTTAGCTAGGAAAGCAAACGCCATGCTAATGACAAGAAGTCAGGAGTGGAGATTGTTCATTGCACACCACATCCAATAGTTTCATAAATGGAGCAGGAATAACTATGGGCAGAAGCCCAGCATGCTGAGACTCCAGGAGTTGTGTACAACATGATCCCTGAAACAGATGTCATGCAGACCAGTTACTGCAGAACACTTGCAGGATATTAAAGATTAATTACTTAATTTGATAAACTGCTGCTCAGACACAGCACTCATAAAAACCACAGCACCAAGCTCTAGGCACTGTTGCACCAACACTTATTTTTCTACCCCTGATGTGATATAGCTGCAAGACAGTGTATCTCTACAGGAACAGAGGCAGTCTGCCCTCACAACTGCCCCTTACACAGCATCCTAGTCCTGCTAGGGCATACCTTGGTATATGACATCAATGCAGCCCTCCGATTCCTTTCAGCTGTAGTAACAGGTTAGTCTGGGAAGCAGAAAAGATTTGGACACTGCTTGTTTCAAGACCTTGCAGGCTGCTCTGATTGCAGCAAAACAAGTAGCTATTTACACTACTACAGCTAAAACAAGCCTCTGCCACAAATTGTGACATTGTGGTGACAACTGAATATGAATCTTAACAGTCACATAGCCAGCAATCACATGTCATATTTGTTTACACTGAAACATCATATAAGACTTTGGGCTAAAGATGAAAATGTGTCATTCTGCTTCTGAAGAGGGTATTTCTAAAAGTGAAATAGGTCAGTGTAGGAAAATATCAGAATCTGTTGCAGCTTCCATTACGATCTTGCCTTAAGGTTTTCTTGACCCTGGATATTGTTATGGATGAAATGCTTAATGCTAGAAGAAATTGGACCAGACTGTGACAACTGTCTCCTATACAAGGGCAAAGATAAGTAGCAGATGCCTATACATAGATACCAGACACTTGCACTTGTAATTTCTTCACAATAGTGAGAAATTATGTTCCAGAACTGCTAGTTTAAACCATACATCTTTTAGGAAGCCATTGGAAGTAAATGCACAGGTTTTCACCGAAGGAATTGAAAAGACTTGTAAGGCATTTTCTTGCTTAACAACAAAACTATTTCCCTCTCTGATCTTCATGGAATATGTGGATCAATCTGCTATGTCTATCAATCTGAGATATCTAAGGGAAAGAATCCTCTACATGGCTTTGTTGTGAATTTTTGTTTTAAAGATTCAGACATTAAATCTACTGAGAATGAATTCACCACAAATGGTTGCATTTTCTCATTGATTTGCCAATATTGACTTCTGTAGAACTACAAGATTATGTTTTTATCTCCAGAAACCTTTAGTCATTACTTTACTTTACTTTAATTCAGATCAAACTGTTCAAAGCAGAAACATAGCCCAATGGAATAATCTGCAGCCCAAACAAGTAAGTTACAAGCTTCTCCAAAGGCACCTTGATTTAATTTGCCTAATTGTACATATTAGGCCAGACCACTAAAATAATTGGCTCAAGTACACCTTGAGTTCTATCAATTATTCATTACACAACTCTTGTTTACCAATAAATGTTATTTTCGTAAAGATCAGCAGTTGTTTGAACAATAAGAGGCACAGCCCTCAAGTCACATATTAAGAAATCTGTCTTCGGAGTTCTACTTACTTTTTATGGTAATACATCACAATAAATAATTTAATAAGTAAAAAGGTAAAGGACCCCTGGACCATTAAGTCCAGTCAAAGGCAACTATGGGATGTGGCGCTCATCTCACTTTCAGGCTGAGGGAGCTGACGTTTGTCCACAGACAGCTTTCCAGGTCATGTGGCAAGCATGGCTAAACCGCTTCTGGTGCAACGGGGCACTGTGACAAGTGCCAGAGTGCACAGAATGGGTGTTTTACCTTCTCGTCACAGCAGTACCTATGGTATGCTTTCAAACTGCTAGGTTAGCAGAAGATGGGACAGAGCAATGGGAGCACATCCCATCTGTGAGCCAGCAAGCAGTAAGTGGCCAGACAGCACACCAGGTGTTGGGATGAAATCAGGCCAAATCTTTATTGACTGCAGCAGGCAGAGTAGGTGTTCGCATGGCAGTAGGGCCAGGGTCAGTTCATCATCCTACTCATTCCCTGCTGGCAGAATGGGATCCATTGGGGTTGGGCCGTAACAAACGCGTTCCGTGGGAGTTGCCCATTGTTGAATGCTGCAGTGGAGCAAGCAAAGCTGGCAAGGTCTCACTGGGTGACCGGGATGAAGATTCCAGCCAGGCAGAGAGCCCAGCCCAAATTTGGGGCAAGCCATGGTCAGTTTTTCTCTCAGGCTCCTTATGGGGGTCCTCCTTCACTATGATGATCCTGCCCAATGCCACTTCTGACCTTAACACAAAGTTATCCTGTCCAGCAAAAGGTAGCCATAAATTTCACTGGGGGAAGGGTGAAAAAAACCACACCAAAGACCTGTTGGGTTGAAAGAAGAAACTCTGGTCCTGTCAACCGTCAAGTGACCCAGGTTACTCATTGGAGGCTCTCACCTGAGGGTGGGTGGGTGAGAAGCTTGTGGGACAAAGTGGCCCCAAACTCTCAAGGGGGGGGGTCCTTACAAAGGATTCTCCTCCCCCTCTCCTTTGGCCCCACAGGAACCAACATTTGGGTGGAAATCCACCCCATTTGCTGCTTGGTGGGCCACACAGTGCCAGGCAAATTTTCTCCACATGAATTGTTCCCATAACAAGGCTTATTACAATAACTATCCCAAGAAGGACCATATAGCAGCTGTCTTTCATGCAGAAGGTTCCAGGCTAAATCCTTGGTATATCTTGGTAGGATTGGCAATGTCTCTTATCTGAAACCCTGGAAAGTTGCTGGCAATTAGAGAAAGTAGATAAGGCATGCTTGGAACAAGATCAGAAAAATCTTAAGCAAGTCAAATATATGCTGTATAATAATTCAATGTGCCAATGAGATTGGAGCAGATGACTCGCACAGCCTCCTCCATCAGCACTAAAAATTGTTTGAAATGTTTCTGGTAGTGTAGCTCAGCATTGCTGGGAACTATAATACCACTAATATTATAGCTGCTTATTTTCAAACTCTAGTCATACCATATTATTCTGCACATGGAAAGCTAATACCTTGGAGGAAAGGGTAGGCAAAATTAGATACTTGGCTGTGGTAGTTTTCTACACACAGGGAACTTTTGAAATTGAGGTATATTCAGACATTGTAGGAGTTGTGTGATTTGATTCTTGGCAGGACATAGTATAACTTGAGAAGTTACCAAGGAGAAGAATAGCCTGTAAGTTATGGTCACAAAAATGAATACTGATCAAGATACAGGAAAATGCATTCCAGTAAGATCCCCCGCCCCTGAGGAATTTAGTCTTACTACTGAATTACATTGTGATGCAGGAAGCTAGTGTTAACACTTCTGAGAAAATCTTAAAACCTCACTTAAAGTTTACTGGCCTTTGTATCTGCCCCCTCCCCATTACTGGAACGGGTTACTTCCGGGTTTCGGCGCTCACGCATGCGCAGAAACACAAAATGACGTCACACGCATGTGCAGAAGTGCCAAATTAAGTCACACACGTTCGCAGACACGGCGCTGTGGGTTGCGAACGATGTGGGTTGCGAACTTGCCTCCCTCATGGATCATGTTCGCAACCCGAGGTATGACTGTGTGTGTTTGTGTGTGTATATATATATATAATCTCATCGGTCCTTATTGCCTAGAAATGGAAAGTAGTGCTGATGGGTTCATAATTATTCAGATTATATAAATGACATTGTTGTTTTTCTTACTGTAAAATTTGTGTTGTCCACATATCTGTGTCATTCACCGCTATTGTTTTTCATGCTGGTATTGGTACTGACCCTGCAGTTCATTGCTATCACATGTTGCAGTACTTGGCTCTGCATGGGTTGAAAATATTCCCAGCATCAACAGGAGACACAGCCCAAGGCTAGACTTGGACGTGTTATCATAATGGCGTCTCCTGCTGTAACACAGTTAGGAGAGATATCTGAAGGGACTGCTGTTAACTGCTTGGTAATCACTAACATGCTGAAGCAATCCTCACACTAAATAGATGCTTTGTAGGGCTTATGGGTGGGGGTGAAATTAAATACTTCATTGGCTGAGGATTCAGTTGCAGTGTTGCCTACACAGCTTTAGCTGACATGATTATACTTTTCACTAACATGCTGAGGTGGGGGGGAATGAAGAAGTTAGTTAGACACTGAACCAGAGTTCATAATGTTGCCAAAGGACATTATTTATTATTGGGTGAAATCGCTGGAGAATAGTCTGTTATCATAATATGGTGCTCATCCTTTGATGCCATGTTATTGTAACATAATGAAAACTGTTTACCGTTAGTTAATGGAATGTGCTTTTTGAATTGAATTAGAATTGAGAGTTCAGTCACTTTGACTTCATATGATTTCAGCAGGCTCTTTGTATGATGACTAAACAATTGCATTTTTCCCCTTCAGCAACAACAGACGGTGAATAGTCTGGTAAATAAGACAGAATACAGCTGGTTTCATTAGCAAGTGTCAAGATCAGTATCTATTTTTCTTTCTTTTGTTATGCAGCTATATTTTACTTGTGATGGGGAAAAATTGTTTCTGGGAGAGACATTACCATAAAGGAACTCAGCAATTAATAGCCATTATATATCTCTGTATACAATTCAGCATTAAAACTGTTCCAGCTGCCAAGATACAAACCTAAATGACTCTTATATTTTCAAGGGTATGTAAACTATAATGCACAAATCTAGGTTCACAATGGGCGGGGAGGGAAATTTGAAAGATACAGGCTCTCCTGAATGGATACAGGTGGAGTTTTTATTTACCCCTATTTTTGGTACAGTATAAGAGTTTTCCTCATATGCAATTCCTTTCAGAAGAGAGGTGTTCTCGTTCTCTCTGTGTGTAGCATCCTGGAAAAGGATGTTCTCCACTACCAATCAGAGAGCAACCCTGGGTGTAAAATATGCTGCATGGTAAGACTTAGAGGCACCTCGAGAGAATGGCATATAGCCATGTAATGCTTCAATAGCCAGTGATCGCAAATCTCAATATAAAAAGATTGTTTAAACCACAAAGTGGTGGTAGGAGACATCAGACTAGAACATTGGCCCTGATAGGCATTCTACTTATCTCCTAATAAACCTTCAACGATGAGAATATGATAAGAAAAACAATTTTTGATTTGCATCTAAAATTCATTGAAGGGTTTATTTTTGTAATTGCTTTGCCCTTACTGTCAAACCTGAACTTTGCTACCATTTTGAGCCACAGTGGACACCTCCCACTGCGATGCATGTTTATAGTTGAATCTTCACATATCCTTTACTATAGTACAGTGGTACCTTGGGTTAAGAACTTAATTCGTTCTGGAGGTCCGTTCTTAACCTGAAACTGTTCTTAACCTGAGGTACAACTTTAGCTAATGGGGCCTCCCGCTGCCACTGTGCCGCCGCCACACAATTTCTGTTCTCATCCTGAAGCAGAGTTCTTAACCCGAGATACGATTTTTCTGGGTTAGTGGAGTCTGTAACCTGAAGCGTCTGTAACTTGAAGCATATGTAACCCAAGGTACCACTGTAAAAAGAAATGGAAATGTATTTTAAGGGTTCGTCTGGGGTACCTATGGGCATACATGTGCCTGGTGCCCTTGGGAGTACCTGAGCCCACTGAAACAAAAATTGGACTTATGAAGCTCTTCCCCTGCTCCCTGATTGGACACCCTGTGTTCCATCCTCAATTCTAGCCATTTACCTAACTGCCTGCTGCACCTGTGACCTATGTACCTTTTAACCCAACTTATGTATCACAGCATTTGGCAAAAACTGTGTTGAGATTTTGAGTACTGTCTCTACCTGTGGTAGCTGGGGCATAATGCAGATTCTTGTTATTGCACCTTGGTTGGTTTTCTTGCAGGCCATGTGAAGTAACAGAATAATAGAATCATAGAAGTCCAACCTCTTGTAAGGCAGGAATATGCAGCTGTCCCTTACTGAGATTGAACCTGCACTATGCTCTAGCCAACTGAACTATAAGACACACTTAAGAACACTGTTGGGAGAATATAACATGAAACAAGTATCTCCTAGGAAAGGGGCCCCCAGTCTTTTGGGGCCTATGGAAAATGTGGAATTATAAGTTAGTGAACAAAACATGCTTAACTGGAAAATTTAGCAAGGCCATATAGGAACACTTGGCTGAACCACTTTGCCCTTCACCTTGTTTGAGCACCTAGCGCTATAATATTTTCTTGAAGTTATATAGTTTTCTAACCCATCTGATCATATTTTTGTGTCTTCAGTCTTGAACAGACATCTATTGTTCCTTTTTCTGGCCACATGCTTCAATTCTCATTTATTTTCCTTCATGTATTGAAGGAACCTGCAACATCAATTTGAATAGGGCAGGGAGTTCTAGCTGAAATGTATTAACTTTTGTTATTTTGACATCCAGGCAGTTTCCGCCCCCCAGCTTACAGCAGAGAAATTGAAGGGTGGGTAAAGGAAAGTCAACAAGATGAATAGCACAGAAGGAAATTCATGCCGAAATTGTATTAGAATTAGATAGCTAAAGCAATGTAACTAGGCTGGTGAAGATAATATGCCCAGTTCTGTATGATAGATATGCAATTTGCTAAGTCAGAATGTAAATATCTTGCCCAGATAGAAAAGTTTTGCTTGAGTAAACCACAGATTTAATATGGCGTAACTGAGGCTCAAATGTGGAGCTCAGCTTTTGAGGAAATATTTCGAATGGGCTATATAGCTAGCTGCCTGTTGTCTGTGTGTCTGCTTAGGGCTAACTTCACTTCAGAGGTGACTGCCTTTTGTTCTCTTCCCTTGGAGAAGGGGCACATTGAAAACAGGGGTCAAAGAAGGCATTGACTTATGTCTGGACTGCTGAAACCTTGCCTTTATTTCATGTCTGTTGCTTCACAGACCAGTTTTGACCATGTCCCAGGTTACTGCCTGAAGTCTAGTCCTTCTGCAGTCCTTGCCTGGGGTGTGTGGTTTGTGTGTTGTTGGCCCTGGCAGGATTAAGCTCAGGCATTGGCACCAACTCCAGCAGTGGCAGGAGCAAAGCGAGCACAGCCCAGGGTGAGGCCCCCTGGCCTGAACAGAGGGAGGCAGGTGAGTGATCAGGCGCCTTACCTGTGCTCTCACACAGTGGCGGAGAAGGAGGCTGGAATGGCTTAGCACAATCATTTTTTCTGGGCCCCTTAGGGTTGGAGCCTATGAGTCCAGGACTCCTGTGTCCTGGAATGCTGCTCCCTCCCCCTCCCCAGGCTTACAGGAAAAGCCTGGAGATCATACACCACACTTCTTGCAATCAGTAAATGCTGTTGCTTTAAAATCAGTAATACACAGGACCTTCAGAGCATATACTTCTGGCTTAAGGAAGATCTGAAGTCAGGGAAGCTGTTTGTAATGAAGGCCACCATCTCAAGTAAAGGATAACATGGCATAAATAACTTGTCTGAAAGCCACTTTTCAATGTGGGACACATGGGGTTGCTTTCACAAGAAAACACGGTCACATAAAAACTAAAAGTAAAAAGTGATTCATTGAAAAACTGGTCTTGGAATTCAGTCTTCAAACATGCTCAGTGCAAACTATAGTAAACGTACCTTCCGTCCACATCACTGAATAGAATTATTCCGTAAATTGTGTCTCAATAAAATAAAATAAAATAATATATATAATATAATCTGCTGCTGTTATTTTCAGAGTGCTGTTTTTCACCTATAAAACTCGTATTAACAGATTCTCTAGGAATAGCATGTAATAATGTGTTCCTGTAATTTATCTTGTCATTCCGGAAGAGATGTTTTCCAGCTCTAGATGTAGTGTTATGGTTCTAAAGTGCAGTGGTAGCTTCACAAAAGCCACTCATCACTGCAGCCATGAAACTTATTTAGCTAAAATAATAAATCATCAGATCAATTTTAAGGTCTCCTGTAACACTGAATTAGAACCTCCACTAGTCTTTCTTTCTGCCAATCACAGGAGGAAAGGATTGCCTGAAAGCAGAACTGATTCAAGCACAGCATGGAAGCTGCAAAATCCATCTAAAGGCACTTAGCAATGTTAATATTGTTCCCGAAATGACATTTAAGCTGTTCATGCCATGTGACATGCAAAAGTAGAACATTTTCAAGTTTTAGAGTGTGACAAAGGGGCAAACTACAATCCACACAGAAATGTGTGTGACGAAGCTTGAATGGCTTATTTAGTAAATAACAAAAATCTTCAGAAGAAGTGGCAAAGCATTACTTAACCTTTCTCTTTGTGTATTTTCTCTCACACAACAAGGCTTAAGTTCCATGGGTATCTGCAGGGAGAAATACAGCTTGTGGGGGCAGGGGGCAATTTAGAGTGGAAAAAACATGTAGCAAAATATAAGTACACAATGTCATCTGTCAGTGCAAAAATGCTTTCCTTCTCGTGTTCCTCCCATTCAGCAACATATGCACCTTCCATCCACATGAATAGGACAGCAGCACACTCCATAATGACTAAGTGGATCCGGGGTTTGTTTAATGCATACTTACTCTGGACCCATTGACAACTACCCCACAGTCGCAAATACTCCCTTTCTAGGGAAGGTGATTGAGAGGGTTTTGGTGCAACAATGGCAAGTATTATTTGATGAAGATTATCTTTACCCATATCAATCTGGGTTCAGATTGAATTAGCTGAATTAGCCTTGGTCGGCCTGATGGATGACCTTTATTGAGAGGACGGTGGTAGTGTGACTCTGTTCTTAATTGATGTCTCAGCAGCTTTTGAAACAACTGACCAGTGTTTGTTTCAGAAGGATAGTACTGAGTGGTCATCTTTTGCCCTCCTAGAGGTTGTGCTGTGGTGAGCCACAGGGTCCCAACTTGTCTCCAATGCTGTTTGATATCTACGTCTAGCCTTTGGGAGAGGTCATTAGGAGATCTGGAGTGAAGTGTAATCAGTAGTACTTCTCTGAATCAAGGAAGACTGTACAAGCCCTGGACTGGTCTGTGAATTTGGTGCTGGGCTTGATAAACAGACTCTGAATTGTGACAAGATGGATGCATTATGGGTAGGTGGTTCCTGAATGTGTATATTTGCTCAATTACCAGCTTTGATGGGTTAATGGGTTCATACTTCCACTGAAAGAGTGGGTTCATAGTCTGGGGGTGCTCCTGGATCCATCTTTGATGGAGCCCAGGTGAGCTCAGAGGCTAGGAGTGCTTTCTACCAGATTCAGCTGGTAAGACAGCTATGGCCATTTTTGGACCGGAATAGCCTGACCATTGTTGTCAGTGCTCTGGTCACCTCCAGGTTTGTTTATTACCATGTACAGTCATACCTCGGGTTGAATGTGCTTCGGGATGAGCGTGTTCGAGTTGTGCTCCGCGGCAACCCGGAAGTAACAGAGCGCGTTACTTCTGAGTTTCGCCGCTTGCGCATGCGCAGACGCTCAAAATGATGTCATGCGCAGAAGCGGCGAAAAGCGACGCGCGCGTGCGCAGATGTGCCGTCGCTGGTTACGTTTGCTTCTAGATGCGAACAGGGCTCTGGAACGGATCCCGTTCACATCTAGAGGTACCACTGTACTCTTGTGTAGGACTGCTTTTGAGGTTGGTTTGGAAGCTGCATTTGGTGCAAAATGCAGCAGCTCAGTTTTCACTGTGATATCACTAACATGTTATCTTGCTGTTGAAAGAATTGCACCGGCTGCCGGTTAGCTATGAGCTTGTTTGAATATGCTGGTTTTGGTGTACAAAGCCCTATGAAGCTTGGGACCAGGATATTTGAAAGATCATCTCACCCTTTATATACCTGATAGATGACTGTGCTCTGCAGATGAGGGTCTCCTGCATATGCAATCTTATTAGGAGGTCCATTCTGCACCATGTTGGAATCGGGCCTTTAGTGTTGTGGCGCCTACCCTACAGGGCTGGGTGATATATCAATATATCGTCCAACACCAGTTTGAAGTTCACATCGTGATAATTCTTTCTTAAGTTCTTCCAAATGTTAGTTGGAATCTCCTTTGCCCTCAACGTAGTCAATAAATGTAACCGTGCCATCTGCCCTAAGTATATGGGTGAATGTTTTCAGAAGCATTCAATATTTTTGAGCAATGTCCAGTATAAACAGTAATGAGATACATACCGTATTTTTCGCCCTATAGGACGCACTTTTCCCCTCCAAAAATGAAGGGGAAATCTGTGTGCGTCCTATGGGGCGAATACAGGCTTTCGCTGAAGCTTGGAGAGTGAGAGGGGTCGGTGCGCACACACCCCTCTCGCTCTCCAGGCTTCAGGAAGCTATCAGCAAGCCTGGGGAGCTGGCGGGGGCTCCCCAGGCTGCGGATAGCAGCCTGCCACGTGGTGTGCCCTGAAGTGGAGCGCCCCGCATGCGGGGCAGACATCCCCAGGCTGCGAATAGCAGCCTGCCGCACGGCACGCGCCCCGCATGTGGGGCAGACATCCACAGCCTGGGGAGCCCTGCGGAAGTTCCCGCAGGGCTCCCTGGGCTGCGGATAGCAGCCTGCTGCACGGAGCGTGGGGCACGCTGAAGCGGAGCGCCCTGCGCTTCGGGCATACATCGGCCAGCCCCACAAGCTCTGGGGACAGCGGGGAGGCGCAGTGCCGCCATCCCGCTGTTCCTCGACCTGGTTTTTTTTGGGGGGGGGAATAAAGGGGGGAAATTCCTTTATTCCCCCCCAAAAAACTAGGTGCGTCCTATGGGACGAAAAATACGGTACATGCTTTTCCCTGATAGATTTCTTTTGTTAATACTTGTTTTAATTTTGTAAAAGGTACATTTTATATAACATCCCAGTATACCTGACAAGAGATTGTTTGCTAGCTAGTCTTAATTGTGTCATTTACATTCCTGCTGGTGCCATGTTGCAGACATTATTATACCAATTTTCAATTGATTGCTTACCTTGTAGTTTCCAGTTTTATGTTGTTCTTTCCATAGCTGCTATCATCATAAATAGCATGTTTTTGTAAGGTAAATGTTTGTTTGGTCTGTCAAAATTTGAGAGGATTGCCAATTTTTGTGTGCAGAAATATGTTCCATGATTTTCCCACACTTCTTAATGATCTTTAGTCCAAAATCTTTCTGTTGTACACAATCACAAGTGGCAAACGGATCCTTCAGGAGGACATTTTTTCCAACATTAAGATCTGTATATTCTCTTTACTGTTAACACATTGGTAAAAGTTGGAACATTTTACCAGGAATGGCATTGAAGGCAGTATGTGAAGCCATAGGACCCAGATCAATTGATTTGATAAAAATTAATACACATTTCAGGATTATCAACCCATTATGTTCCCATGATGTTATCATATTGCAATAGAACAATGAGATTTTTCTTCAAAATTTAACTGGTACACACATTGTAGGCTTCTTAACTGTAGTTTTATATATTTAAATCAATCATATTTTTTTTTAAAAAAAACTGTCAATCATTTTATCCTGTATCTATTTTTCTTATGCAGTTAAATTTATGCAGTGGACCAAGTCTGGTAATGTTTAAGGCAAATACGAAGCCACAGACCAACAAATACTGGCAGAGATGTTATACTGTAAAATGAAAGTTCAGCCTACAGCACATTTTCACAGCTGAGTCATAAAATTTTTGAAAGGCAGCATTTATAATGGAAATTATGACAAAAGCATTACTTGAATTAGATTACAGTCACTTGAGTCACCGAAAACAATGCTGCACAAAATTGCCCTGAAAGACAGAAGGTTCAAGTGAGCAGAAGTACATGTAACCATCATATCAAACCCAAGTGCGTATGCAGGGGGGCAAATTTAAAGATGTGAAGAGGGGATTTGGCTAAAAGAATCCAGTGACATTAATGCAACCCACAGAGCTGAATCTTCTTAAGCCATCTACACAATATTTCTGATTGCTTAATTAAGCAATGGGACATGACAGAGTATGAAGTGTGTTGTATTAATTCTTACTTAGCACATTAGGCACAAAGGCAGAGGCCAAGTACTATCAACACAGCCAGGCTTAGATTAATATTCCACAGTTCTTGCACTGGGGCACTGCATTGCAATTAGGAAATGGTAGTATTAAAAATATTTATATTGTTGATGCAATAATGATGCACGGTACTTTTCTCAGCTTCAGTTCTGAGCAGAAAAGGGGGCTGATCAGTCTGGAACTGGAATATTTCATTAGGCAAATCTGATGAATCCTTCTGTCGTGCACGTTGTGATGACCTATCAGTGCAGGAGAAAAGACTCTTTTTATGATTATTTTAGGAATTTGCATCCTACATTTTGCATTAGCACCTAACAAAAACCAGGCAGTTAAACATCAGGAAACAATAAAACAGTAATAAATGACAAATAAAACAGCATATTAAAAAGCAACAGAGCAGCCTGTCTTTTGAAAGGCAGAGATGATGAGCCATATAATGTTATTAATCTTGGGTTGATAGAACAGAATGGACCACTTGATGCCTAGAATATAGAAGAAGACACATGAACATATTGAGGGAGAGAGTTCCAGAAAAGAATGCCACCTCAGATGATGGAGGCATCCGGAGAAGGACCTCCAAAAAGCTCTTATATAATGGGCAGCTTTTTGTGGCATTAGATGAGTCTTCAGTACCTGGGTGACCACGTCCCAAACCACAATTATTTGAAAGCCACAACTTGTATGTTGAATTGATCCTGGAAACAAATTGGCAGCCAGTGAAGATCTTCTAACATACCAGGTTCATTGTGGTCAGTCCTTTAATAGCATTTTATTCTGGACATTTTTCAAGGGCAGATCTCTGTGTACAGCACATTGCGCTAATCTAGCCTTGATGTTACTAAGGGCTTTGATTAATTTTCTTTAGGTCACCTGTCTTCAAAAAAGGCAAAGCTGGTAAATGGCACCATTCATTGCTAATTCCACCTGAGCATAAAGCTGGTTGTTAAAGGAGAGTGCAAGCCTGAAGTTTAAAGGTAAAGGGACACCTGACCATTTGGTCCAGTTGTGGCCGACTCTGGGGTTGCGGCGCTCATCTCGCTTTATTGGCCGAGGGAGCTGGCATACAGCTTCCGGGTCATGCGGCCAGCATGACTAAGCCGCTTCTGGCAAACCAGAGCAATGCACGGAAACGCCGTTTACCTTCCTGCTGGAGCAGTACCTATTTATCTACTTGCACTTTGACGTGCTTTCGAACTGCTAGGTTGGCAGGAAAGCCTGAAGTTTAAGCTAAGGCAAAAACATACAGGGGAAGAGAACCTTAAAAACGGCTTAGTGAGGACTGAGCTTGCCAGAGGCTACACTGTGGCTGTTGGGGGGAAACAACAGAAAACCGGGAGTTGGGTCGTGGAATGACTGGAACCCTGAATGGGAACACTCTACACTGCAGCATTTTGTTGCAGACCACACTAGTTGTAGGTTCCTATTCTATATCAGAGCACACCGATAAATTTGTGATGACTTATGGACAAAGTTACTATACATAATCAGAGAAAAAACTGGAAGTAAAACTCAACTCACTGAACTTTTTATTTCAAATTGAAGCTCTGGGGCAGACCAGACAACTGCAGATCTATCAAGTCCGTAAGCCTGTAATAGTCGTAAAGAGGAAGTGGGGTGATTAGGGCTCACTGCGATATTAGAAACTCGGATTGTCAGTCCCAGAAAATGAAAATTTTATTTATGGGAGCTGTGAGTCCCAGAAATGATATGTATTATTTTGGCAGTCCAGCTGATTTATGGTGCAGGGAAAGGAATTAGTATTCACTAAAGTAGTGAGAATATGTATTTTTGCAATATAAGCTGCCGCTGTGACAGGGCAGGGGAAAGAATTATTTCTGTAATAACTGGGTATCACAGAAATGTCAAAACCTAAAAAAGGGAAATATATTACTTTTGCACATTAGTAATTGTTGTACACTTAACTGCACAATCCTATACGTGTCTCCCCAGAGGAGCTCAAGGTGGCATACCTGGTACTCCCCCATCTCATTTTATGCCAACAACAACCCTGTGAGGTAGGTTAGGCTGAGAGTGAGTGACTGACTCAAGGTCACTGAGTCAGCTTCATGGCTGAGTGGGGATTTGAACCCAGGTCTCCCAGGTCCTAGTCCAGCACTCTAACCACTATACCACACTGGTTACAGTGAAACACAGAGACATTATTACTCTTAAGTATTAATTTCTAATCACACAAAACTATATTTTTATAATAGTAATTTCCCTTACTGTTGTGCCACTCCTATTGTAAAGTAAATCATTTGTTTGTGTGTTTGCTGTCTAACGTTATAAAGAGGTAATGTCTTTTTATAACAACTACAGATTTGGAAGATTTCCTAGCAGTCAAAGTACATGGCAGTGAATTGATTTTCAGAAGAACTGAGCACCCACTTCTACCATTAAAATAAATGAGAGCTATTTGTACATCGTAGCCTGAAAATTAAGCCATTCCTGTTTTGCCATTGCCCTATACCATCAATACTTGCCCCCAATTTCCTGCACTTCATTTATCATCCACAAAGGCCAAATTTGTGTATACTTTGTGTCAGGTGGAAACTCTGAGGGATATACTGGCATGGAATTTGAAAAAATTGTGTCTCATTAGATCATAAATACTTTTTTTCTCTTTAAAATATACCGGGTCTGATGTAAAAAGAAAAAAGATTATCCATCAGCCAGTTAAAACAGCTTGATAAACAATGTTATTTACCCGGAAGAGTTTGGTATTTTATGTTTGAGTATATATTTCATTGATATGTATGGTGCAGTTCAATTCTGTACTACTGGAGTGCTTCCATGGGAACCAATCCATTCGACAAGGAAAATACATTTCTGCATTCCTTGGATTAATGGTAGTCCCTTTGGATCACTGAAGTGTGGGATACCCTTTTTTCAATCTGCCAAGACCCAAATGCTAAATATAGTTCTTTAACTTCCTTTTTAAATTGGATGGAAATGTGTAAATCACATTTCTTCAGTAGGGGGAAAAAAGCTGTTTATCAATTTCCATGACATTATTCTCCCATTATATTTTGTTCTGATGTAATTGTGATTTAGATAATATTCCGCCATATAAACAGAGGTGGATTGGAGTTGGATTCCTAACCACTATTTTACACAAACTCTTATGAATTGGAGGCAGCAACAATAATCCACAGAAACTTTAGTAAAATATCTACTTCCACTTTGCCCACTTAATTTCATGCCTTATACATAGAAAGTGTGGTATATATACTATTGAGCAATGCAGTGTCTCCTCTGGAATTTAGCAAGAACCTCTAGGAGACTTAATCACAAAACTTCCAAACAACGTCTGGTTTGGCCCCGAGACAAGCAAGACATACACAATATAGACTTTTGACAGAAATCTGCTAAGAATGTTTGAAAGCATTTCAGTGGCGAGGCAGGGAACAAGTCCTGCACAGATAGTGGCGAATGACCCCATCAATAACCTAAGAAATGTTAATGATCAGATTATGATGAGCTGTATTCAGGGTCTAAGTTATTCAAGCTAATAGACAAAATATTCATTTATGCATACTTTCAGACATGCACAATTGTTTAAGATAAGTTAGTGTTGTAATTTATTATATCCTGAAGGATGACTTTATAAGCATCTTTTTATTTTATTGTATGTGGCACATGCTATAAGTTTCATTCTTCCACATTGTGACTTTATGCGAAGCACAAACAAGACCATAGTAACTATGAGTCTATTTGGCTGCTTCTTTGTGCAGGGCAAGGCATGTCAGTTAGCAAAACTAGATCACAAAAAGACCAAGAGCATAAAATGCTGTGGTAAAGAAAGAGAAAGGAAATTATTATTGGCCAACAGCTTTCTGACTTACAGTCAAATAAAGTCGAACTGGAAAGCTTCTTAGTGACAGCAAGCTAGCTATTTCCAACAAAGAGAGGTTAGAGTTTAAGGCCGGGCCATCAGACCTTGGGCAAAATTTCCATATTACTCCCAGCTTGAGAAGAAGAAAATCCCCTTTCCAAAGGTTTTGTGCAGTATCTTTTCAGTATAATTTCTCTTTGCATGATGAATCACACCATAGGGTCTATTAGACACTCAGCTCTGTGAATGGCCAAAAGGGGGAAAGGGTTGGGAACCGGGAAGGAGCAGGGAAAAGGCAATATTAAAAAAATAAGCTAATGCTATTCTAGGCTGCTTCAGCAAAAGTCTAGTGTTCCAATCAAGGGAAGTAATAGTCCCACTCCATTCTGCTTTCATCAGACCATACCTGTAGTACTGTGTCCAGTTCAGGGCACCACTATTAAAGGAGAATATCAACAAGCTAGAACATGTGCAGAGGAGGGCGAGGGTCAAGGGTCTAGAAACCAAGCCTTATGAAGAACAGTTGAGGGAATTGGGTATGTTTGCCAGAACAATGAGAGGAAATATGATAGCCACCTTCAAATATAGAATCATAGAATCATAGAGTTGGAAGAGACCACAAGGGCCATCGAGTCCAACCCCCTGCCAAGCAGGAAACACCATCAGAGCACTCCTGACATATGGTTGTCAAGCCTCTGCTTAAAGACCTCCAAAGAAGGAGACTCCACCACACTCCTTGGCAGCAAATTCCACTGTCGAACAGCTCTTACTGTCAGGAAGTTCTTCCTAATGTTTAGGTGGAATCTTCTTTCTTGTAGTTTGGATCCATTGCTCCATGTCCGCTTCTCTGGAGCAACAGAAAACAACCTTTCTCCCTCCTCTATGTGACATCCTTTTATATATTTGAACATGGCTATCATATCACCCCTTAACCTCCTCTTCTCCAGGCTAAACATGCCCAGCTCCCTTAGCCGTTCCTCATAAGGCATCGTTTCCAGGCCTTTGACCATTTTGGTTGCCCTCCTCTGGACACGTTCCAGTTTGTCAGTGTCCTTCTTGAACTGTGGTGCCCAGAACTGGACACAGTACTCCAGGTGAGGTCTGACCAGAGCAGAATACAGTGGCACCATTACTTCCCTTGATCTAGATGCTATACTCCTATTGATGCAGCCCAGAATTGCATTGGCTTTTTAGCTGCCGCGTCACACTGTTGGCTCATGTCAAGTTTGTGGTCAACCAAGACTCCTAGATCCTTTTCACATGTACTGCTCTCAAGCCAGGTGTCACCCATCTTGTATTTGTGCCTCTCATTTTTTTGCCCAAGTGCAATACTTTACATTTCTCCCTGTTAAAATTCATCTTGTTTGTTTTGGCCCAGTTCTCTAATCTGTCAAGGTCGTTTTGAAGTGTGATCCTGTCCTCTGGGGTGTTAGCCACCCCTCCCAGTTTGGTGTCATCTGCAAATTTGATCAGGATGCCCTTGAGTCCATCATCCAAGTTGTTGATAAAGATGTTGAATAAGACCAGGCCCAAGACAGAACCCTGTGGTACCCCACTAGTCACTCTTCTCCAGGATGAAGAGGAACCATTGATGAGCACCCTTTGGGTTCGGTCAGTCAGCCAGTTACAAATCCACTGAGTGGTAGCATAGTCAAGACCACATATCTTAAAGGCCTGTCACATGGAAGATAGATCAAGCTTGCTTTGTCCTGCTCTGGAGGCTAGGTCTCGAACCAGTAGATTCATGTTACAAGAAAGGAGATTCTGACTAAATATCAGGAAGAACTTTCTGACAGTAAGAGCTGTTTGATAGTGGAATGGGCTCCCTCAGGGAGGATTCTCCTTCCTTGAAGGTTTTTAAGCAGAAACTGGATGGCCGTTTGTCATGGATGCTTTAGTTGAGATTCCTGCATTGCAGGGCGTTGGTTGGACTAGATGACCCTCGGAATCCAACTCTACAGTTGGATTATATGATTATATGGTTACCCCTAACTGGAATATCACCAGAATTTGCAACAGCTATGCAGTATTTGTGCCAGGAGCAGATTTGGTGCATATGCGAGAAAAAGAAACAATATATTTTTTTTCTTGCCAAGTAGGATCTGGTGACAATATCTAACTTAGGCAATTATAATAATATCAAGCAGCACAAGTGCCAGCAGCTGGGCAACTTGGGCAAATTAACAGTAAAAAGAGATGAATCATTTAGTGAGGGACAGATTAGCTGGAGGGACATTCTGTTTTTCTCATTAAGAGGCCTTCAGTGCCAAGCTTGTTCTAGGGAAATCATTAAGACAACTTTTGAAGAGCCCATAGTGGCACTGAAATTTATTTCTGGGAATCTGTAGGTTAGGGTAGTAGGTTTATGTTTGTATTACTTAGTCTAATTGATTCTGAAGCACCTTTCAGTTTGCCTGTTTTCCCGGGATTGGTTTGCCCTCAGTCTCTTTTTGGACTGACTGGGCTGTCTTTTAGACAGATCTGACATAAATCCCTAATAGTTTCTATCTAAAATCGTTTTCCATGCATCATTTAGTAAATATTAAAGGTGCTAACAAAAGCACTATTTAAATCCCCTGGGCTTTCTTTAGGTCTCTTTAGCACACACATTATAGGTTTGTCGTGACTAATTACTACATTAGAAAATAAGCCTTTGATAGGCCCCCCCCCCCAATTTTATTTATTTAAAATGTTTCTTAACCTCTCTTCATTGCACAGCGATTTCACAGTATGTTGCAACCAATTAAAATACAATTACTAAGAACGAGGCAGGCAGGCATATCACAGCCAGACAACTAAAAACTGAAATGCTTGTGTATGATTCAACTAAAAAACCTAGATGAATAACCAGTCTTTAACTGGCATCTAAAACTAAAATGAATAGGCACTAGCTGTCTCACAGAAGGAAGGAAGTTCCAAAACTGAGGCACCACCACTAAGAAGGCACTGTCCTAGGTTGCCTTGTTTGAAACTTTAATTCAAAAGAACTGCAGCCAGGTTGTTGACTGGAGATAGTTATAAGGAGCTTATGACTTATTACCAGAGCTCCACTGGCTACGTTTCTGAGCAAAATTCAAAGTGCTGCTTCTGACCTATAAAGCCCTATACAGCTTAGGTCCAGAATATCTGCAAGATGAACCTGTCTGGGGCCTGAGATCTTGAAGGGAGGCCCTTCTCTTGGTCTGGCCACCCTCATATGCATGCTTGGGAAAGACACAGGACGGGGCCTTCTCTGTGGCTGCTCCCAGGCTTTGGTACTCCCTTTCTAGAAAAAATTTGACCAGTTCCCCCTCCTTGTTGTCCTTCCACTAATAGGTGAGGACTTTCTTATGAATGATTGTAAGGAAATGGCAAGTGCTGTGATTTTTTTATTGTAATGATCTGTAAGCTTTAATAGAATATATATGTTCTATTAATGTTTAACTGTTTTTAATGATTTGTTTTTTCTGATGTTTTTAGCTGTTTCTGTTTTAGCTATAAGCTGCCTTGAGTCCCTCTCAGGGAAAAAGGTGGGATATAATTAAATATAATTCTAATATCTTTTAACCCTCCTATGTAGCCTTTAAAGCAAAAAAACAGTGGTTTTACAACCAAAAATGCAACACAAAATAGAGGAAAGTTTTACTCTTTTACAGGGAAAGGTTAGTGAATCAAAATTACTTTACATATCAATGGTAAAAATTAAAATGACAATTAATGACTTTGTACACATAATACCTGTATCCCACCCCTCCAATCTCTTCTAGTATTGAGTGTGTTTCTTCTTTTTCCTATCTAGACACACTACTTATCGTTTCTTTTCACAGAAATTCATAGTGATGGTTTGGATATATTCACTACTATCTGCCTGGGGAAAATAGATATTAAAAAAATAGTGACAATATTCATGCATAAAAAAGCCTAGAAGCAGTGAAGGTATTAAAAAGAGAGAGCGAATCCACAGAAAGTCAAATTTATTTCACTTCAGTTGTCTGATAATAAATAAAGCTCTTGAAGCTTACTGAAAACGCATTTCGAATATAATCGCAAAGCAAATTGGCAAAGAGGCACTGTTATTACTTATGGTTCATATAGATATGTGTGTTTTCAAACTGCTTGACATACGAAATTAATTCAGATGTATGTTAAGTCTAGTTGTTCCAGTAATTTTAAATGTCTTGATGTCTGTGTGTCATAAAAGCACCGCCACCTATATGTTAGGAAATTGAAGGTTAACAGTATTAATCTTGGTTAGCATAAAAAACAGACTTTATAGGAATTGGTGTATGAAACCAGCCCCTTTAAGAACAATTCTTACATGGTAGGAAACATATAGATAATAAATTTGACTACTCTTGTGTCCAGTTAAGCACATTGTAAGAGGCTGGCACATACTAGATGAGAATTGAAGTCACAACTTTCCCTCCCCAAACAATCAGTATTTCAAACATTATGCCTTCTGTTTCCAGTTTACAGCTTGATCCTGTACATGTTTTCTAGAAATAAGCCCTGATAATTTCAATGGAATTCACTCCAAATGAAGTGTGCATAATATTGCAGCCATCGTTTTATTTCCCTTTTGATACCTATCTGACCTTTAGACCACATGTCAGGCTCAGAACTTCTTTTCCTTTGTCTGTAATAACTCTCCTTGGTAGTTGGGGCCAGGGGTGCCAACATTCTGGGGAAAAGGTGAGGAGTCAGGCAGGTACCTGCTTTGTGACATTTGCAGTAACCCAGGTGCTAGGGCTTTTCCACACTTCCACTTGTCCTGCCACTTTCCCCTGGGAAAACTCTTTCCTTACTGCTCATTCAGAAAAAAATATCAATTGGTTATTCTGCAGATTGACGTTTGTTCTGATTCAGTGGTAAACAGCGGGTTTTCCTGGGAAAAGCAGTGGGACAAACAAAACAGTTCAGACCCATGGCGAGAGAGCATGGGAAAAGTGGAAAATCTCTCAGCTTTCTAGGTTCATTCTAAGATGAGCTCCTAGTTTTTAAGGCACAAGTGTTACAGGGTGACTGTATTTTTAAATATCTGGTCTGGAATGAAGAAAATTGCAACACATTCCTCAAAATTGAGTTTTATGCTTGTGTAACAGTGTCAAAGCAGACCAGGGCCCATAATTCCCACTTCCACTGTTCATCAGGTGTATGACTGATTTCACAGCACCTTTCAGTTTTTGCTTCCTGCTTCGACTGTTGGTTGCATTGTCCAAATTTTCCTTCTAAACAAAGGGCAAGAAGTTGTTAGCAAACTGGAAATTATTGTGTTTTATTTGCACTGCATCCTTGAAGCTTTCATTGATTTATATTTTAGCCACACATTTCTTTTAAAAGCATTTAGCTGCAAGCTAAATTATGCCCATGCTACTTGTGTAGAGTAACATCAATGGGAGCACTTGTGAAATAATATGCAGCTCACGGTAAATGTCAGTGAACTGACCCTTATTGATTAAGATGTAGCACAAAGTGCCTTTCACATATGCTTCTGTTGAAAAAGGATCTAAGGATATTAAAGGCAAAGATAACTGTAAAGGAAATGTCTGTTAAATAAAATGCTTAAGGAGGATGTTGGAGACTTACAGGCTAAATGCAAATGAAATTTCCTGGAATATCTGGAACATAATAGCAAATGTCCAGATGCATCATTTTTCTCTCACACAGCTTTTGTATTGTACTCAAGAAAATATTAAATGAAAAATGTTTTTAGTGTTAACTGTAAAGGTAAAGGGACCCCTGACAGTTAAGTAAAGTCGCGAATGACTTCGGGGTTGCTGCACCCATCTCGCTTTACAGGCCGAGGGAACTGGGGTTTGTCCGCTCCGCAGACAGTTTTTCCGGGTCATGTGGCCAGCATGACTAAGCCGCTTCTGGCGCAATGGAACACCAACACCAGAGCAGTGCACAGAAATGCCATTTACCTTCCCACTGGAGCGGTACCTATTAATCTACTTGGACTTTTGGCGTGCTTTCGAACTGCTAGGTTGGCAGGAGCTGGGACTGAGCAACGGGAGCTCACCCCGTCGTGGGGATTCAAACCGCCAACCTTTTGAACGGCAAGCCCAAGACTCAGTGGTTTAAACCACAGCGCCACCCGCCTCCCGTAGTGTTAACTGTAGTCCTACCCTAATGTTCATGGCTCTCAAATTAGAGCAAGCAGGATGCTCCTAACAAAGTGCAAAAATTTGCTAGCTCAACTGACAGCATATCCCTGTTGCCTCCCCTTAGCAATGTTTTGGTATGAGCTGCTATTGGAAATGAGAGATGGAGGTCGTCGATCAGTGGCAGATAAAATAATAAGAGAAGATGCCTTTCCCAATTAAGTGATTGGTGCGATATTATTAGCTATAAAGGTCATGGAACCCTAGATAGCTGTTCCACATGTGGAAGCTGGCAATATGAATATGGTAGTAAAGGGGAAACAAATAAACAGTTTGATCAGATCACCCGCCATCCTAGCGAGACCCATGTCAGTGAAGAAGATACTTGGCCCCATAACACATAGTGTGAACACAACAGTAAATACTACATTTTAAGTGAAAATGTGTGTTTGCAAAATTTGTCCTAAGTATGTACCTTGTAGCCCTGGCCAATTCCTGATAACAGGCATGTTTGTACTACAGGTTTCAGGGTAGACAGTTTTTGTTGTTGTTTTTTTGAAATGACAAGCATCTTTAGGTCACTGATAGAAAACATCATCTTAGAAATGAAAATGAACTCCTTAAAAAGCTTTAATGCTGAATGAAGAATAGGTTTCTAAAGCATCTGTAGACTTGGTCATTATTTTTGTGCACAAAATTTAAGGTAATATGTTACTCAATTTTTTGAATAGCCATCATCCAGTTGCCTTCTGTAATCAGGTATGATCACAAGCGGTTTTCATTGCTCTAAGCCCAGAGGGAACTGTTATTGTACATACATGTCTGCTTTCAAAATGATGGGAGACCAGAAGCAGGAAAACGTCAATACTAAAAAGATTCCATTGCATTTCACAATACTGCTGTTGCTAAATAACTGCTTAGATCTGAGCAAAAATCCAATAAATACAGTTTTATTGTCATGCTTCAAAAATATTAAAAGCAATTGGCTCCACAGCCTTATATGGAGTCTACTGCTGAGTAGGCAAGTCCTTAATATCCCAGTATGATTAAATTGCTGACTTGCTTGGTATATTAAAGCCCCCTTCTCTGGCATTTGTAGATGTTCTTTTTTGTTATTTACCCAGGCAAGATATTGTGCTAAAGAAGGCTGTCTAGAAGGGTTGCCGCACATAGCAGTTTAACTCACAGTGATTAGTGAGACAATTTGAAGCCTTTTTCTGTGCTTGGTTAATTTTGCCTATTGGCCACTATTAAAATTATATATATATATATATATATATATATATATATATAATCTGACATATAAAACAATTCTTTTTGTTGTTCTCTGATAAAATGCCTTATGCTACACTGTATCATATATATTTATATCATTGTTTCGTTATAAATAGCCTAATAGAGAAGATGCCATTTCAGATATTTGCTTTGGGATCTATCTAAATTTAAAGTTGTTTCTTATTGGCCGACACATTCTAGCTCATGAGAATATGTCCAGCAAAGTGTTTTTTAGGGGGAGGAAGGGAACAAGTTATTAACAACCACAGATTCCCTCGATTGCCTCTTTACTAATAACAAGTTTGCCCATGTCAAATTTGCTTTCTTAGGGAGCAGGCCTTATGCCCAAGAAGCTGGTATAAAGCACACTGCTGTAAATTAAGCCGGCATAAAGTTACACGGTGGCGCTGTGGGTAAAACCTCAGCGCCTAGGGCTTGCCGATCGCATGGTCGGCGGTTCGAATCCCCGCGGCGGGGTGAGCTCCCGTCTTTCGGTCCCAGCTCCTTCCCACCTAGCAGTTTGAAAGCACCCCTAAGTGCAAGTAGATAAATAGGTACTGCTTTATAGCGGGAAGGTAAACGGCGTTTCCGTGTGCTGCGCTGGTGCTGGCTCGCCAGAGCAGCTTCGTCACGCTGGCCACGTGACCCGGAAGTGTCTCCGGACAGCGCTGGCTCCCGGCCTCTTAAGTGACATGGGTGCACAACCCTAGAGTCGGACACGACTGGCCCGTACGGGCAGGGGTACCTTTACTTTTACCTTTAAAGTTACACCATGTCCAAAACCCATTTAGCTGTTGGACAACTCCTGCTGCTCTGTCTATGCCTTTAAAAATGAGCCTTTAAAATAGTATTCTGTACTGGGTTGCCAAGTACGCATAATGAAGCAGAACAGGCTTAGGATACAGTCTAAGCCCCCCCCCCCCCCTTCTAGTCCTGCCTCCAGAATGTCCCTTTTGGGGAGACTTACATCAGTCTTGGATCAATACTGGTCTCAGCCTCTCCGGCTTGAACAGAACCAGCTGAGCCAGGGTTGCCTTTGGGCACAATTCTTGGAATGTAACCCCCTGTGTAAATTGTGACCTACTGTAAATCGATAAACTCCCACTCCAGGTTAACTTTCCTCACTCAAATAAATTTTCTTTGATCTCTTTATGTGTCTGTCTCACCCTTTGTTTCCCTGCTCCTCTTTCTATTTTGCCATGCCAATTTCACACCACCAATTCAGCTAAAGAATAAGAAAACTGCACATATCATTCAGGATCTGCCTGGAATTTAGTACAGTGGTACCTTGGGTTACATACGCTTCAGGTTACATACGCTTTAGGTTACAGACTCCGCTAACCCAGAAATATTACCTCGGCTTAAGAACTTTGCTTCAGGATGAGAACAGAAATCGTGCTCCGGCGGCGCGGCGGCAGCAGGAGGCCCCATTAGCTAAAGTGGTGCTTCAGGTTGAGAACAGTTTAAGGTTAAGAACAGACCTCCAGAACGAATTAAGTTCTTAATCCGAGGTATCACTGTATAATTTTGGGACCTAGGTAATTTTAACTCACTATTCCATGGGATTGCCCAGAACCCACAGGTTCAAGGTGCTTCCCAACTACAGAAAAACAGTGAGTGAATCTTTGATCACTGGATCATGGTTTGAATATGCAATGCAGCTTTAAGCATCTAGTTGTGGTGTTGGCCTGAATGACCTCAAGGCCTCTTCAAATTGGTTGGGGAAAGGACAATAGAGGGGTTGCTTAAATGGCCAAACCTCCCAAATGGGTCTGGCTTTGTTATATAAAATAGATGGCCAAGAATTGGTGATTGGTTGCTATAGGAACTAATGGTCCAAGACTTTTCTAGGGAATCACCTTCTTGATTCTCCCTACAGAATGTGCTAATTCAATCATTGGGGGATGGGCAAAAAAACCAATACAAGCAGCTTACATTTGACTCAGACTGCAAGTCAAAGAGCAAAATGGATCTCTGGAAGCAATACTGTATTAACTGATTTGGAAAATGCCAAAAGCTGGCATGTGAAAGCCAATGGCCTTCAAGCAATGTGACTTAATTTGTGAAAGATTGATCATTTAAAGGAATTCAAGTTATAAGGTTTACCCATACATACTGTAGTACTCAGCTACCTGGTCCAAGGCTTCTAGCTCCTTTGTAGCATCAGGGTAGCCAATCAAGTGGTGGCCAGGGAGGGAGTTATGGCTTCTGTCTGCATAGGACCACTGTGACATCAGCTGATAAGTGCCATGACAGCCATATGTCCCATTAATTATTCAAAGCAAGAGAAGCAGGGAAACCTTTTGAGGTGTACTTGCTCCTAATGTTAGACTTTGAAGAGAAAAGTAGAATTTAGGCCAGGGACCACCATACCTCTTCCATGAATGGTTCCCATGCGTGCAGCCCCATATCCTTTATTGTGTATAAGAATGAACTTCATGCATCTTTGATTAGTATGAAGACAAAAAAGGGCACTCATCAGGGAGGGGGGACTGTTGTTGGGAAGGCAGATTCTCCTCTGATCCTAGACTTTGGGAACAACTGTCTTCCCAGTGTTCTCAATAACAGTCTGAGGTTTCTGAGACAGTTCCATATACATACAATCATTAGCTTCGAATTACTCTAAGTTCTGTAATCAGTGAACCAGGATCGATTTTTCTTTGGATAGCATCAGTTCACAATAATTCACAGCCAGCAAGCTTTATACGAAGGCAACATTTTGGTTAAGCGTCATAATTATTAATAAATTTGGTGATTATGCACCATAAATTTCTTTCTTTCTCTTCTTTTATTTGTCCGCATCTTGAGAGTGTGAAATGCTGTATTTTTTTAAATTGTATTCAAAAGCAAGTCTTTCTGTAAATATTTCATTTACATGGTCTTACTACTTGTGCAGTTTCTGAAGCAGATGTTTATCTCTATTGGAGATAAAAGAAAACTGTTTTTTGGCAAAACTTGTTAGCAGTAAATATGAGATTCCTATACTGTATCTGAATATGTTCCAGAATGAAACAACACAGTCCATTCAATAGGACAGAGCTGGTGGCTTGCAGCATAAAAGAGACATGTGAAAAGATAGGAATTTAAAATTGTTTTGGCATTTTGCATGTTTCTGCCTCTGGAAATTCAAGTCAATGTCTCATTAAATGATTGTGGTGCTGCATAGATTTGTAGAAACTTAGTAAACTTATATACTCAACAAATGTAATATAAAAACGTCCATAAAAATGTATGCAGCATCTACTTGGAATAGTTATTTTAACAATTGCATTGTTGTTTCAAACTGTGCATGAATACTTGCATTGGGTAAACAGTGAGGGAAGAAAAAGAGTTTAAAGTAGTTTGAAAGAATTGTATTTGGAAGGACTGGATAATTTTTCAGATGTGCATTAGAACATGTTAATACTTAATCTAAAAAGAACCCTGCTCTCACAGTGGCCAACCAGATGCCTATGGGAAATCAAAGCAGCACATGGGCACAATGGTCTTCTCCCACTCTTGCCCTCCACTGAACAACTGGCATGCAGAGACATATTGCCTCTGATACTGCAGATAATATTGCTATTAACCATGATAGCTTTAACCTCCATGAATTTGTCTAATCCCCTTTTAAAACCGTCCTAGTTGATACACATTCTATACTAGTGAATTTCAAAGTATGCACTGTGTGAAGAATTCCTTCCTTTTGCCTTCATGAATTTCCCAGCATTCAGCTTCACATCTAGCATTATGAGACTTCAACAAGATGTGGTCTAGAAAACATGTTCACCCCAATTCATTGAAGCCCAGCCAACAGTTGCACAAGGAGGGGTTGTGGTGTGCATGGTTTTGAGGTGCCTCAGCCTTATTTGCTGTTTTTCCTGCACCAAAACTATTATGAACAGAAATCATTCCTGATTGTTTGCGGTAGCTCAAATGTTTCAATATGGGCAGTTTGGGATTATTCATTAGTGATTTTATTTTCAAGTAACATAAAATGTCAAAGCACGTAGCTATGTTTCCTCCAACATCTACATAAATGAAAGCCATGCCATAAAAAAATACTAATTCTCTAATGTTTTTACACAATTAGTATTTCCTCAGGAATATGTCCAGAGACCAATTAAACATTTCATGGCTTGGAAAAGAGGTTTGCTACTTCCCCGTCAATGAACAATTGTTTGTTTATGTTAGTAATGCAAGAGTAATCTTCTTTCATGCTTGGGTGTCTGTGTATTTTATAAGATCAGATGAAGTAATTTTCAGCAAGGACTCTAGTGGTAGAATGCTTAAAAGATCATATTGCAATTTCAAGTGCAGTTTCAGCAGTACTTAAAATGTTTGCTTTCATGTTGCTAAAATTTATACAACATTGAAATATTGATGCACATGTTTAAAATGTGCTTTCTTTCTTTTATCCAGTTATGAGTATTATTTTAAAATATTTTATAAATCATGGAATATAATCATACACACACAAACACACATCGATAAGCCAGCTTGATTACCAAAGTCTCCAAAAGGATATATTTTGTATTTCATTGTGGCATTTACTATCCTCCTCTTAACATACTAAAGTGATGTATGTGCATACAGATGCACTGTGTCCTATATTTATATTCTGTTCACTAAAATAAGCAAATCCTAGAATAAAAATAAACAACACAAAACGCTAAGGAGCTTATATCTACTGCCTACCTAATCTCAGCAGAGAATACACCAAAAAGTCAATAGGGAATATTCAAAGTGCTTTCAGCAATACCAATGAAGGTGGCCAGTTGGGCCAACGGTAAGGAAAAAAAAAAAAGCACAAAAAGAAGGGAAAATGCTTAAGAAACATACAAAAGCATGTCTTCTAAAAGCATGACTAAATGTCATGACTAGAAATGGCTGAAGCCTGCTACTCTCAATTTACAGTGCACTTGGTCTTTCTGCACCTTTAAAGACAATTCTTAGAAAAAGGATGGCATTTTCTCTGAACTGTCATAAAGACTGGCCCTTTCTAGAAGCTTCTGGCAGGCATGATTCTCAGTTTCTCTATTTAAGTGTCACAGGACAGAGTGGGAAGGAATCTTGGGTCTAATTGTAATGAAATGGAACCTGCTTTAGCTCCACCCCACTTTTATTTTTGAAGGCACCTTTTTATTCCGCACCACCACATATAACGAAATGTTGCTACTCACGAAATACAATGCAGAACTTGGGGTCACGGTTGCAGTGAGGGCAGAAGCTGTCTGTCAGCTCTGACACTGGGTGACTTAGACCAAAGTGTTCCCACAAAGGGGGAAAATGTCTTGAAGCACAGAGCACAAGGAAGGGTCTTTAAAATAGGACTGGCATTTGTTTGATGTACAATAAAATCTGATTTGTCAGTGTTATTTTTATTATTACAATGAGAAAGCTCCTAAATATACATTCTGTAGGTTAAACAAGAAACATGACAAAAGGGATGATGTATTTGAGAACGTTTTTAATAAATAATGTGACAAAAATTACTTTTATGATTATTGAATCCTCGGTATGCAAAATTATGGCTAAAATATGAGGTTTCTTACATGAACATAATGAAAAACATTAATCACATGGTTGTTCCCTCAGTACTGCACGCCCTTTCTATTATAACCATTTCTTAAAAATTAGCTAAATGAAAAAATTTAGCCCTCAGTAAATACCAAAACACTCCTTTCCCCCCACTGCGGCTAGGCCTGACAATTGTCCATAAACAAACACACAATTTTCCATTAGCACCGATGACAAAGAAATTATATAATTACAAAAGAGATCATAAAAATCTACAGACAAAGGACATAATTCTGTAATTTCAAAAGGAACTAATGGCTATATTTCATTGGAAATCCAATGTCAAGATAGGCCACAGCAAACTTGAGAATTTAAAGTCCAGAAAACGGGAAGTGTTCAGTTTATGGCCCATTCTTAGGTATGATACCATTACCATCTGTCACCTTTCAACAAACATAGAGCATTAATAAAATATGAAAAAACAAACAAAGGTATAACATCTTACAATAAGACAAAAACGGTTAATAGTTACAATGTTTTACAAATAAAGTTTAGTGATTGTGCTTTTAAAACCAAAAAATAAAAAAATAAACAGTGCATTACAAAAAAAAAAAAAAATCAACCCTCTCCCGCCCTCCCCCAAACCATCCCAAGATCAAAACATAACTTCTTTAAGTGGCACTTCTTCTTTAAGGTGAATTGACATTATAAAGTAGAGGTCTGAGATTTGGGCCAGTCATGATGATGATGTCCTTTCCCAGCGATGCTTTAAAAATGTCCATTGCTTTTTATATTTTTGTTTTCAGTAGCACTGGTTGAGGCCAACAACCGCTTCAGTATTTGATAAGCTTAACTTGTGATAGAACTGCCAAGTTCACTTCGACATGCCTTCTTTCTATCCTAAAGAACATTTGCAGGGAAGAATGTACCTTCCAGATGAAGCATGATAGAATCCAGACAAATTAAAAGTTTTGGGGGCAGGGGTTGAAAAACCAGTATGTGTTTACAGTACAAACCACCCTAACTCAAGTTGTGTGATGTCTTTTTGCTGCAAAGGAATCTGACTACTGGAACAAAATACAATGCTAGTTGCACCAAGTGCAGCCTATAGTAGCATTGGAAGGTTAGAAAATCTGCATAGATAGCTCTTCTTTTTTTGCAATTTTCTATTGTCCAATCAATGATAGTTTATTCATAAGATTATGAACTGGTTTGGTGACATACTTGTCTTGTACTGCACTGGCCACAACGGTAGCAAACTAAGGCTCCCCCCTCTGTCTAACAATGGAAGAAGTAGCTAGTGTAGCACCATAAAGAGCAGTTTAATTGCTGTCGTGGACAGAGGAAATGTGTGATATTTAAAGTGAATAAACAGGGTCATTAAGTTTAGGGTTTTAAAATAACATTAAAATAAAGATTAGGATTTTGATAGCATAAAAAGGTGGGGAATTGTACACTCTGATTGCACTGAACATTATTTCTGGCATCAAATATCATCAGACTTGAGGCATCTTAAGTGATATCTTTCTGATTAGATTTCAGAAACTTGTTACACTACATCTCTTCTTCAGCTTTCAGTTTCCTGTTTAAAAAACAACAACACATGATGTATTTTCTGGGTATTTTCTTGCCTTCTCACTCAGAATAATTTATGCTATTCTGGAGAATATACTTACTAAAATAATTTTGTTTCACAATATAGTAGATTATGATTTAAGCAGTAGTTAAAAACTGATTAGTTTTGACTGCTGTAAAAATACTTTTAAAAAAGTTTCATATAATTAGGAAATACAAATTACAGTCATACCGCCGCTTACATTTCCCTCCGCTTATGTAAACTTCGGGATACGTAAGCGGCAAACCTGTAAGTATATTTCCAGGTTTTTGCCACACGCAGATGCGCTCTACCGCCGCGCATGTGTGCGTAGAAGCTGTCCCTCCGGTTGCGGAAACCTCAGGTTCTGACTGCAGCTCCAGAACAGATCCTGTCCTCAACCAGAGGTACCACTGTACATCTTTCCATCATAATATTGCTATAGTATAATGCTTTGAATTTCATATTTTGTTGCCTCATTTCTATAATAAGATATCATATCGTATTTTCATGCACAATTACTAAGATAAGCTGTGTTCAGCATTAATTTTGTATTGTGCCTTATATTAAATGTAATTAGTAACAAAAAATTGTAACGAAAGTTAAGAACTTAAAATTTCTGTGGCGCTCATAGATTAGTGGTTTAGAGATTAAATAGATATGAAACAGTGCTCCAATTGGGATTATACTTACCTGATGAGACCAAAAATCTAAAGTCTCTGTAGAGTATCCAATTAAGGGATAAAAAGAAAACTAGCTTTGAGGAATAAGCATTTGTATTTTCACAAAAGATTCCCCCCTAGTGACTATCAGAAACACATATTACCTGTAATTCTTCTTCATCCTCTCCTTGCTCATATGTTCCAAATACCTGCATTTCTGCCACATTTCTTCGACCTAGATTTCCTTGTTCTGCCCTTTGTCTACTTCCTGATCCTCTGGATGACATAGAACTTGAAGAACTAGGATCTCTAGTGTTGTTTGATGTTGGAAATGTAGGTCTACAATATGGCAGAATATCCTCTAAGGAGAGAATTACACATGTATTAATATTACCATAGACAAAAATGCCTTTTGAAACACACAATGTCTTTTAGTACTGCATTTGTACTTAAGTGATTGTTTTAGCATTGGAGCAATGGAAATAGCAAATATAAATTGCAGTTGATTACACTTGTCTGTCTCCCAGCACATTCTGTGTGCCTGCACATCTCTCTGCTCTCTCCTCCAGATGTAGACTGGAAGAGTTGCTATTATAAAAAGATGAATGGAAGAAAAGGAATAGGCTTCTTTTTCGGCAGAACTTGCTGCGACCTCTTCTATGACACAAAAGCTCCCAAATGTTTCTCTCTCAGAATAGAAGTGGGCAAAATAACAAGCTAAGAGAAGACGCTGGCCTGAATGCTTTTCAACATGAGCGGCTACTATGTACAACACTGCTGGAAAACAAGTGACCAAGAATGAATGTGTACATTGGGGTGAATGGGAAAGGGCGGAGCTACCTACATGCACATACAACTGTGTGATAATGGAGGATCTTGAAAACCAACGCCTAGCCGTTCTCATTTTGCAAGGATACACATGTCTCTGTGCTATGTTTTCAAGCGCACTTATATACAAATATCTATGGAGACACAGCCAGAATGATGGTATATAATATCAGTGAGACTCTGGGCATGGTGGTGGAAGATTGAGATAAGGGAGGATAGTGGATTTAAAAAGGTGTTGAGCAAGAAGAGGTCAGAAGAAGTCATTTCCCCAATGCACCTCTGTCCACACCTTTTTTGGCAGCCATATATTCAGTGTTAGTGTGAAAGGGGTTATGTGTGTATATAGTACAGCTATAAATACATAGGGCAGGTTGGAGCCCTGATTTCCTGGGGCCATAGCTGTCAAGTGTCCCTTATTTGAAGGGACAGTCCCTTATTCCAGCGCCATGTCCCGCTGCTGTCCCTTATTGATGGATGTCCCTTAAATGTCCCTTAAATGATGTCCCTTAAATTTCAAAGGAAGCAGCTCCTCTCCCTCCCTCCCTCCCTCCCTGCCGGCCAGGGAGGAGGGAGGCTCCAACTGTGTTGCTTGGCTGTGTTGCTCACCCAATAAGAAGTCTAAGAACGACTGGGGGTGGAGCTTGCATGCCTTGTGTGTGGCTAGTTAATGCAAGCTGAGGGGGTTTTGAATGCTGGACGCCATTTTGTTGCACGTGCTGCTGCAAACTTTGCAGTGCAAAGCCAGGCCGGGAGCCATCTTAAGTTGAGGCTGCATAGGCCTTGTGGTGCATGTGATTCAGATTCAATTCAGTTGAACCTCTGGTTACAAAGTTGGTTGGACAGTGTTCTCGAAGCTACCAGCATGAGTTTGACCAGACTGCAGGAGGACAGGAAGACTGGAGTGCCTGGAACAGGTGAGGCTGCAGGTCCCTTATTTTGGCTGCTGGTCCCTTATTTTCAAGGCTGCTGGTCCCTTATTTTCAAATCTGTAAGTTGACAGCTATGCCTGGGGCTGCTGAATACAGGAGTTTTGCACACTACTGCCAGACATCCAGTTGCTAAAGGAAGCAAGGCTAGTTGGCATGATCATGAGCCCTTCCTCACTGCGTGTGGGATAATCTGCAAGGGCTGTAGTGATCACTTTCAGGTATATTGTGACACCACGCTTCAAAGAAGCTGAAAATGAACTGTTCTGTGTGACAGTGAAGTTAAATTATTGTTGGTTAGTCGTGTCCTACTCTTCGTGACCCCATGGACCAGAGCACGCCAGGCACTCCTGTCTTCCACTGCCTCCCACAGTTTGGTCAAACTCATAGTTAAATGATAAGGCAGAATTTAACAAATTACACACAAGCCTAGGTCAACACTGTTTTTTAAGTGAAAAATTACTTAAACATTAACAGTGTTTCCAATTTCACCACCAAGTTTTGCCACTGGCATTTATGCCATTGATATATAAATTGAAAAACAACAATCGCAGCACCATTCTTGGTGTATCTTGCTAATGACTTCACTTTATTGTGACCCATTGTCATTTACAGACCTCTTGCTTTTGTGCCCACTTAACCAATTTACTACCCAATTTCTATTTCGTAGTTTTCTGCCCTGGTTAGATAGTATCGGGACTCGTTTGCTTATTTGATGACAGCTTTTACAAAGGCTTATTATATAGATACCTTCATATACATTCTTCAATCAGGCCTTACTGGCTGCCATAAAAATATATTATGTTTGTCTGGTATGAGTCATTTATGGCTTTTGTAACATGTTCTAGCTTGATGTTTGTAGTTAAGTATCCAGAAACCAAACTACCTTTCTTTTGTCATCATGCTCTTCACATTTTTAGAAAGGATTGAGTTGGCTTTGCTGTACCTTTTCCTTTTAGGAATCTGAAGAAAAACAGCTAATCACTTCAGTTTCTGACAGAAAGTAAATGATTAAGATGCAAGGGAAATTACTTTTCAGGGGTTACCGTAACCCATGAGATGCCAGGATACAGTGCTGTTTGGATGAATAGGAGACATTAGATTTCTAAAGGTTTTTATTTGTTTATGGTTTTCTCTTTCACATTTCCTAGCTGCAAAGTTTGGTCTCTACCTTTTTGTTTGTTTTGTTTTATATTATTAAATTTCAGGAGGTGCGTATATTACAAAGAGAGAGTTCTTCTAAGCTTTCATTTCAGTGGAGAATCTAGTTGGGTGACTAAGCGGAGACAACGTCATTATTGCAGAAAAAGCTTATAGCATTTGCCCAGTGTATCAAGTCACCTTGGAGAATATGTGTTTTTGCTGGTGTGCCATCTCGCCTTGCTGCTTTGTTTCCTCGCGGTTTGCCTTCACTTTGCTGTTCCTGTGATTCTCGGCGCTCCCCTGAACTTGTCCGCATGTCAGAATGCTGACGGCCATCAGCTCCTTCTTTCCCCTTATAGCCCGGCCCTTTTCTTTCCACTGCCCTTTCTGTTCTTGGGTCTATAGAGGACAACTTTGGCAACATGACGGACCGTACCTCCAGTTGAGATTTGGACTGAGCAGTGGGAGATTTTATAGCAGGTGGCGGTACTGGTGGCGGTGGTAGGTCTACAAAAGGGTGAAAAGAGAAAATAGCTGAAATTATTTTTTAAAAAATCATTTAAATCAACTTCATGTTTCTTAGCTTCCAAAATGTGTAGAAATACTAAGAATAATTTTATCTCTCTGCGTTAGGAAATTACCAAGAAAAGTTAAATGCCATAAACATTTGGTAAGTTCAGATCCTTATGTAGCTAAAAAGCACTACAGTCATACCTCAGGATAAATACGCTTCAGGATAAGTATTTTCGGGTTGTGCTCTGTGGCGACCCGGAAGTAACGGAGCATGTTACTTCTGGGTTTCGCCGCTCACGCATGCGCAGATGGTCAAAATGACGCCACGCGCGGAAGCAGCGAAACACGACGAGCGCAGATGCGCAGTCGCGTCTTATGTTCTGTTCAGGATGCGAACAGGGCTCCGGAACGGATCCCGTTCGCATCCCAAGGTACCGCTGTATTCATATACCAGAGCAGGCTTGGGGAAATGCAAGGCTTGCAGAAGTACAAAAAAATCTTTAGAAAATAGACCCCTAAGTTAGTGGGGGGCGGGAGGGGGGCTTCCAAATCAATCTAGTGACAACAGCATGCACAGAGTTCTGCTCATAGGGACAGCCTCTGCATGTGTTTCAGGATGGCTGCAGAGATGCCTAGAATGTGTGAATAGTACTGGAAAGGGAGCGAGTGTGGCTCTGCTCTCCAACCTCGCACAATTATAGTTACATGTTCCTGAATACATGGGTAAAACAAATAACAGAATGGTCTTTTTAATGTAAAGTCATCAAAGAGATGTTATAACTCTTCTTCTGGGATTACTTAATGCTACTTTTTATTAACTATCATGTTAACAATTTTATTGCCATCTTTGTATGAGTTTATAGTTTTTTAAAAGTTAGAAAAGGGGTGGTGGTGTGAAAGAAAAAAGGGTATGGAGCTCAACCATTATTGTAAGCCTCTGTCCGTGATTCAGACTGTTTCGGGGCTTGAACTGGTTTATATAAAGTAAAATGTAAAAACATATTGAAATATTGATAGAAATGGATAGTTATTTTATTGTATGACACATGGCAATATAAGCCAAGGGCTTTCCTGGGTGCAAATCTTACTTTAAAATAGTATTCATTGAAATAGGGAAAATGTCTTGATTGTAGGTCTGTATGTTGGATATAAACTTGGCAAAAAAGATATATGGCATTAAGAAGCAGACAAATGTGACACTTAAGGCAGGGAATGAAAAGTGGAGCACTGAAGCTTCAAAGAACCTATCAATGTTCCTTTTTATATAGCTTTCAAATATAAAGAACATTTTTTTTTAGAAAACAGTCATTTTTTTTAAACAGCTATGTGTTCTTCATGCTATTTCTGTTCCTTCATTAACAATTAACAGCTTAAAAATAAAAATGCTGTTAAGTGATGCATAATAGCACACATCAGTATCATAAAAGTACAGAAAGGCTTCAAAGCCCACTTGAGGAAAGTAAGATACAAGGCTGCTTTGCATCAAGAGCACTGGTTGCCAATGACAGGTATACATCAAAAGGAGCAGGCTGTGGAAAATGGGTCCATGAGAGGTGTAAATAATAGTCATGTGCTTGTAAAGCATTCATCCCAAGTGCATCTATTGCACAATGAGGAAGAGTGAAATTTTAAAATCCCTGCTCCTGCAGTTTGCAATAAATGTGTCCCAAAAAGGAAATAACAATGCTTTATAAATCTCAGAGCAGCTGTGCCTTCCATTTAATGGGTCTGTCAGGTATTTCCTGTCAGCCAACATGCACAAAGGGGGAAGAGAGCCAGTGAACACTACTGTAGAGATTAAAATTAAAAGAACACAGATATAGTTTGGCTATGAATGTACCAAGAAATATAAAAAAGGCCAATGAAATAACAGGAAACCATTCTAATAAACCTGTGACAATTTCTCCACAGCAACAATGTCTATAGGGCATTTATTAGTAGAAAGAACAGTTCTCCACTTTATTTTACATATGAATAAAAGTTTATTATACAGCTGATGAGAAAAAATGAGCCTGGCTTTCTGTTATTGGAAGCATTGATATGATGCAAACAGATCTTGAGGATCAGCACTAAAACTTTCAAAAACTGTAAACCATTTAAACAATTGTTTTAAACAATTATATGGTGGGTACGTTTGAGTGTGTGTGTACACCCCCCCATATAATTGTGCTTAACGTGGAAACTATTGTTTACTGATCCATAATATAGATGTAGAGAGCAAGAGCGAGACACCCACTTCTACAAACTATTGGTGGTTTCTGTCCTTGTACCCTCTGCCCCACCTTGTTACAATGGTTTGCTGTTGTACTGCCCTTGCAAACACCCAGTAGCCTTTGAGAGAAATACTTGCAATACTTTTTAAAAGTGTCCGTGCCATAGGAGTAGTTCCAGCCGTGGAAGACAAAGTTTGCATTTAAAATATTGTAATTCCTGCTGAAAGAGGCTGGAACTGTAAGCCTGCTATATACATAGGTAAATTTAAAGGTACCCCTGACCGTTAGGTCCAGTCAAGGACGACTTTGGGGCTGCGCGCTCATCTCGCTTTATAAGCTGAGGGAGCAGGTGTTTGTCCGCAGACGGCTTCCAGGTCATGTGGCCAGCATGACTAAGCCGCTTCTGGCGAACCAGAGCAGCGCACGGAAATGCCGTTTACCTTCTCGCCGGAGAGGTATCTATTTATCTACTTGCACTTGACGTGCTTTTGAACTGCTAGGTGGGCAGGAGCAGGGACCAAATAACGGGAGCTCACCCCGTCGTGGGGATTCGAACCGCTGACCTTCCAATCGGCAAGCCCAAGGCTCTGTGGTTTAGACCACAGTGCTACCTGCGTCCCTTGCTATATACATACACAAACTTTATATTATGGTAACCAACTATTCAAATATTTAGAAGTTTAAAAATAGTTATTCTCCAAACTGTAGTTGAGCTAGGTATACCTGTAGTTGAGCTAGGTATACCTAGCTCAACTACAGTTTGGAGAATAATTATTTTTAAACTTCGAAATATTTGAATAGTTTGGTTGCCATAATGCTGCTAAAAACTGGGCCAGTTTGGAATCCTAACTTTCCAGGAGGAGATAACACCCCATCCTGCTCAGTGATACCTGTGATTTTGTTGAGTAAAATGAATAAGAATTAAGTGACTGGAAAGATGAAGATTGTGCGAAGAGTTCTTTACTTCCAGAGACATAACTGTGTTAAGTATGTGGCATTCTACTCCACAAGAGCGTATGTCTTTAAGGTGCCATAAGACATTTTCATAGGTTAATAATTATGTAGAAGGACCTTCGATGTAGCTTTACTCAGCCTTACACAGCAATTACCCTGTCCAAAATGACTCTTTATACAATTATGAAAAACACAAGCGCTCTTTCTTTTTGGAGTTATGGAGAAAATAAGAAAGACAAACATTCTGTAAGCAAATCAAGAGTAGTGCCAGTTCTAGAGATTTGGGTTAAAGATAGGTCCTGAGTCTTAGCTGGTTAACGTGTTACTGTGGTATAATATAGTCCTACAGATTTTGCTGGAACTTGAACTATCTTAAAATTTCACTGAATAGCTATCTTTATTTTTAGATGTTATTGTTTAATAGAGCTATCAAACTGTATCCAATGATGTCCTCTGGCTTGATCCCACGGAAGGTTCCATCAGCAGAGTTCAGATGGAGACAAATTTTGCTGATTCCCCACACACTCTGTTTCAAAGGATCCTACAAACCTTTGGAGCAGGCTAGGAGAAACACTGAGTGCTGAAGGGGGAATTGGTAAAAGGCACCTATCTCCCTGTACTGCTGATGGAGGCCCTACTGAATCAAAGTGCCTTCCATCAGTGGAGAGATGCCACTGGATGCAATTCATCATTTTGTTCATAAATCCCAAGGGATGCACCCATCTCTCAAATGCTTAGCTCTTACAAAATTCTGAATATATTTTAAATACATTAGTGTCTGATTGCACAAGAGTCTACTTAATAGGCTGGAGGCAGAAAAACAAGAACCAACCTTGCAAATAGCTTCCTTGGCAGGCAAGACCTTGCTAATTCATTTTAATAGAGGAAGACCAAGCACACATTGTTCTGTACATGCATATTACCTACTTTTCCAATAAACAAAAACCATAGAATCACATAGGAAGTCAGTAAGGACACCCAGGTGTCCCCATAATTATGGCTCCTTTTTAAGGAACTAATGTTGACCAAGAAGAAAGACTACTGATAATAAAATGTGGTTGAAGATAGCCCATGTAACAGTAATAAGGACAGGCATTTAAAAATTAGGCAATCTCCAACTCTTCAATTTAATGTATAACCAGGGATATATTGTGACACACAGCGATTAAACAGAACGCTGATAGTATTTAAAGAGAAAGTGGCCTAGTAGCAATTTTTTGGTTAAAAATACAATTTGATGTATGCCAGTAATGACCACCACAAAGTGATATGCTCTTTAGAGAAAGCTTTATCACAACCTGCAGAGAAGGTAGAGAAACTTTCATTACAACCAACCATTCCTTGCTGAGAGGAATCCTTCAAATCAAAAAAGGAAACTTTTCAGAGGTCAACACTATTTCACCTCTGCAGTATTTATTTAACAGCTCAAATCACAGAGAAAATCCAGAATCAATCTGCCTTGTCTGCTGCAAACTGGCACACTTACTTATTAAAAAAGAAAATGGAGGCCTCCATGGTGAGAAATAAAAAATAAATCACACAGTGACATCAAACCAATATATGGAACCCAGAGGTAACTAGAAAAGGTCAGCTGTGCTCAACTATTTCATTTATACATGTCTGCATATTGCTGCTGCATTGTTACCCGCTTAAAGAAAAACAATTAACCGATGCTATTTTATAGCATGTCCTACAGGGAAAATCTTCCTTACGTGAATTTTCAACACTTTAAATGAGAGGCTATAGGAACCATGGGAAAAATAATTTTGGGGAGGAAAAATCAACCCAGCCGGCAGTTTAAAATTGAAAGAGGAAAATGCAAATAGATATGTGAAATAATTCCAAGTGTAAGAGTCAAAGAAAATTAAAATAGTTTCATATAAGATATATTTTCAGTCTAAAACTGGAATGTTGTACCGTATTTTTCGCACCATAGGGCGCACCGGACCATAGGGCGCACCCAGTTTTTAGGGAGGGAAATCAAGAAAAAAAATATTCCCCCCCCCAGCCCCATAGAGCAGCGTACAGGCTGCACACAGCCTCTCCCTGCCAGAGGGGTTGTGCGCAGCTATGGAAGAAGGCAAGGCAGCGAGCGGGATGGATCCCGCTCGCTGTTTTGGCTTCCCCTTTAGCCCCGTGCAGCCTCTCCTTGCCGGAGGGGTTGCGCACAGCTATGGAAGAAGGCAAGGCAGCGAGTGGGATGGATCCCGCTCGCTGTTTTGGCTTCCCCTTTAGCCCCGTGCAGCCTCTCCTTGCCGGGAGACGCTGCGCAGGGCTAAAGAAGCCATAGCCCTGTGCAGCCTCTCCTTGCGGAGGGGTTGCGCACAGCTATGGAAGAAGGCAAGGCAGCAAGCGGGATGGATCCCGCTTGCTGTTTTGGCTTCCCCTTTAGCCCCGTGCAGCCTCTCCTTGCCGGGAGACGCTGCACAGGGCTAAAGAATCCATAGCCCCGTGCAGCCTCTCCCTGCCGGAGGGGTTGTGCGCGGCTATGGCACAAGCCTGCATTCGCTCCATAGGACGCACACACATTTCCCCTCAATTTTTGGAGGGGAAAAACTGCATCCAATAGAGCGAAAAATACGGTATATTGTTATACATTATTTCCACTTCTAAAACAGTTTGAATTTCTTAGCTGGGTGTACTTTACATGTAAAGATATTGCAGATTTTTAAGTTTCCATTATTTTATTGTCTTGTTTTATGTTTTTATATTGTTGTAAACTGCTGTGATATATTTTTTAAGATACAGTAGTACATATAGATCTATATATAAATATATAGATCACAAATCCCTTGAATCAGTAAAAATGTGTCAATCCAAAACCCAAGAAGGCTATTTCTGCCTGTACAGTAACCAATTGTATTATTTTTGGTGCCTGTTTGAAACATTTTTGTTAAGGCAAACATACCCAAATACATAGATGTTGACATGTTTTATTCTCTCTTTAGTTTACTTCTCTTTTCAATTGTTTCTAAAATGTTTTAATAACTCATTTTTAACTATTTTAGTCATTATTTTAATATTTCTTGTAAATCACATAGAGGTTCTGTTGTAGTCAAGCAGTATATAAATTTTGCTAAAAAATAAGTAATAAAGTTTTTGCTCAGCCCAAAAGTTGTGGGCCCAGGCACATTGAGCCCACGGCCAGCAGAGAGGGCAAGACACAGATATAATAATCATAGGACACCCTCTTGGGATTTGAACAGGCTATAGCCTTTTGATAACAGATGTCAGTAGATTTTGGCATAGACATTGGGAGTGAATCCTGACTCAACCAACCCGGCTACTGGTTGATTGTTTGGCAGGGTGGATTCTGGGTTATGGATCACCCTATGGTATACAGTAGGCTTCCTCAACCTTGACTTTCCAGATGTTTTTGGCCTACAACTCCCATGATCCCTGGCTAGCAGGACCAGTGGTCAGGGATGATGGGAACTGTAGTCTCAAAACATCTGGAGGGCCGAGGTTGAGGAAGCCTGTTATACAGCAAATCAGAGCAACCATCCAAGACCACAATTTTAGGTGGAGTGCTATGACCCCTCAGTCCTTGTCTGGGCATCTGGGCAAAAGCACCTCTTATTGGACCCTGTTCCTTGGAGTAGAGGGCATAGGGTTCCTGAGCTGCCCACCATCAGCCACCTGAGCCATCTCACCACCAAATGGTATATTAATTTTGCTAAAAACAATAAGTAAGTAAATAAAAAAAAAATGCTGTAAGTTTCCGTCCTTAGAAAATTTTGAAGACTGCAGTTCCCATAAAAATCATTACACTTTACCTCAGTGTTTGACCTTGTGAGAGCTTGCACTTAGTGATAGAATAAAATCCAAACAACCATAGTTCAAAGACTTAAGCTAATGCTGCCATTCTCAATTAACAAATTTGTGCCTGGTGGTAAGTTTCCACCAGTTTGCTTAAGAAAATGGAAGTATATAAGCTGGTTATCTTTAACTTCTAAATAAAAATGTGAAGGGGTTTTTACCAAATGAGAATCCAACATGTAAGTTTTGTTGAGCTGAACCATATGAATTTCTTCAATATTTTCTTGCACCCTCAGAAAGTGCCGTTCCTTTTTGTATGTGTGTGTGTAGTATTTTGCAACAATTCAATGAAAATTTTGGAGGTATATTATGGAATACTAAACAGAATCAAGAAACCGTTGTGCAGCAGTAAAAGCTTTTTAAAATCCAGGTGTTTGTTCCATCACTGCTCAGCAACAAGGTGAAACAATGAAGTGTGTGTAATGCGCCTTTATATACATTTATTGACTTTACCATGAAGCCAAATCTGATTGGTTATATCGGCTTGTGGTAACAGCATACTTGCTTGAACTCATTGGGAACACAGCAATAATTTTTAAAAATCACTGAAGCAGCAGCCTTTTGAGGAACAATAGCTGTGAATAAGCACAAAAATGCTGACCTTTGGTGGCCTTTGAAATAATAAAAAACCATGAAAAATAAATCAGCCCAGCAACTGACACAACATCCAGCCACACAGAATTAGTGATGGACAAGCACAAAAGTCATGAAACATGCGCTGTGAACATTACTGGCTAACACTTAGGAATAATTACTGGCCATCCCTTTGCTACCTTCCCCGCATCAAGGGGAGAAAGCTTTGAGGACAAGTGAAGGTAGTAGCAAGTAGAAGCGGTCCTGTGTGCTTCTCTGTCCCTTGGAAAATCATGTGTGTAGAATATTTTCCTGCCAGGGTAATAATGATACTGGGGCTTGTAGTCAATTCCCATCATTCCCAGTGTCAAAAGAGCTTCTAATTTCTTTTCTAGTTACAAAATCTCAATGTAACCTCCTATAAAGGTAAATGACGCAAGTAAATTGTTCAGTGAAGCGGTCAGTGAAGCATCAAATATATTGAGTATGCCTAAGAGTATAAACTAAATTCAGAAAAGTTAATACCACTTGTGGGTCCCCAGTCTTCCACAAACCACTATTAAATAAAACTTATACAATAGCAAGAAGAAACATTTATTATTGTCATTATTTATTGGTCACTTTTTTGCCATGGCAACTCAAAGTGACTTACAATATTTTAAGCAAAACCCATGCCCCAACTGCAAGATGTGAGGTTACAGGGAACCAGGCAGAGGGCCTTCTCAGTAGTGGCGCCTGGCCTGTGGAACGCCCTCCCATCAGATGTCAATAATAAACAGCCATCTGACTTTTAGAAGACATCTGAAGGCAACCCTGTTTAGGGAATTTTTTTATGTTTGATGTTTCATTCTGTTTTTAATCTGTTGGGAACCGCTCAGAATGGCTGGGGAAACCCAGCAGGATGGGCGGGGTATAAATAATAAATTATATCATCATCATCAAGCTATGGACCTGCTCCTTCAGTGAGAGTATAACTCTCTCAAGAGCAGGCCACCTCCCATCCATCTGGTCTAAGGAACCACCCACTAAGAGTGCCTAAGCCCTATCAGGATTGAGCTTATTGGCTGTCATCCAGTCCATTACTGAAGTAAGACAGCAGTCCAGCATATCCATTGCCCACATCTGCAGATGTAAAGGAGCATATTGCTGAGAACAATATGCAGATGTCAAACAGCATGGGGATAAAATGGAAACCTGCAGAAGCCCACATTGAAGGCTCCCTGGGCCAAACACCACTCCCCAAGCATCACCCTCTGAAAGAGACCACCCATGTAGGACTGGAAGTATATTGCTAAACGTAGTAATTTTAGCCAATTTTAGTGACAGTGTTGGCCCCACAATGTAATAAAATGAAGCTACTTGCTTTAGGTGGCACCATGGGGGGGGGGGGAGATAGGATCCCCCCCCCCCCCCAGTATTGGCCCTAGTGGGGGTTGGCAAGTGGAAAATGTCATTTGGGCTCCAATTCAAGCATCAGAAAAGCTTGAGCTGGACCTGTAAAGATGAGTGAATGAAAAATAAATAAAATATTTGCTAAACTTTGGTTAAATACACAAGTTAATATGATGAAGTAATCAGTATCCTCCATCAAAAGTATTATTATCATCAAAAGGCTGGTCTGTAGCAAACACTTTTGCTTTCCTGTAGATTACTGCATTCATTGTTTTTTTTAAAGCACTGCTCTTATTCTGAAAAGAAATAAATCTCAGCATGTCATCAAATACAAGAAATTCTTGGGTAACTAGTAAAGGTCAAATGTTTCAAACATGTCTGCTTTACTGTTTCCCGCTTAAGGGAGGGAATTAGTTATATGATGTCATACCCTGTTGAACACAGGTATTACTTTAATGCACTTGCTGTCTGCTTTACAGTGTGATAGATACTGTATCCAAAAATAATCAAATAGCCAGTTTTTATTACTATTTCAATTATCAGAGAATAACTTCCTGTTGCTACATGGCTTACATATTCTGGACCACCTTATCACACACAGGTTCAAGGAAATTCATGTCTAATTATAAAATGTGCTAAAATAAGCACATGCACGAGAACACAAACTACATACTGATTAAGTTTATCAGAACAGCTGCAATTTTGTAAATTACAGTGCTGTGCAGACTAGCATAATATAAAAACTTTTAATAGAAAATTACCAACAAATGCAGCTCAGTTATTTAATTCTTCTTTTAGAAAAAAACCAAAACCAAAATAACTATATAAAGCTCTGGACAAGATTTCTTTTCTGGTATTCTAGCCAGCACAGATGTTTTCATATCACGGTTTGATGCTTACTCAATTTTTCACATAGGGGCTCCCACTTAAAACTAATAAACCTGTTAAGACATCTATAAATTCTCACAAAAAGCCATTACAAGGGTTCCATAAATATAAACTTAGTTGCATAGTTCTGGGATTTATACCATGCATTTCTCACTTTCCAAAAAGCAAAACAAAAAAACCCCTCCAAATAAACAAGCATGCACAAAACTGCTTTAATAACCTCTTGAAATCAGATAATATTCTGACAATTCAGTTTCAGTGACAAAAGGAGCCTGGGCAGAAGCCAAGAGGCCCAGGTGCATTGTGTCATGCCAGTATTTAATGTAGTCTAATATCAGATAGATGCTAGTAGAGAAAATACTCAGAATAAAGTACAGATAATAGCATGGACAACCACTCATTGCAAAATTACTTTTGCTCATCATGCTGTGCGCTTTGTATTAAATTTTTCTGTCAAGTGGCAGGAATCACAGGGAGAAGTGGCTTGAAAACCCCTTCTTGTAACCCTCGATAAGTATCTATAATATTAGGCTTTCATATGATAATGGCAAATGATGCCCCTCTTTGAAAAATTTCTGACTGGTAATGAAAGTCCTAATCAGATTGTTGTTGTTGAGAACCAGGAGGTGGGGAAATGATGCCACTGCTGCTGGCAACCCCTCCTCTTTAGTGAATTTAGAAAACTTGACAAGATGGGTAAATCTTACATGAATTTCCAACAAAGCCCTTTGGTTGTTTTATAAAACTGAAAGGTGGTGGTTTAATAAAAGCTGGCCCTCCTGAGGCATTTTCATTAAAGGCTCTCTCTAGACAACATCACAATGTTTGCATTATCCTTCTATACTCCCCAGAGAATACAAGCATTACCTTTTCAGCAGGAGTCGATATTGTGTGTGAAGGCATGAGAGGAGATGATTAGATTCTGCCTTTTGGTGCACAAAGTAACCTCTTGGAACAATACTATGGTTAGGATTAAAATTCAACGATTTTGCTGCCTGCTATTTTAATGCTAAATTGTTTCTGTGATGGGAAAAATTACACTATGGAAGATTTATTTTAATGAAGATTTTAATCTCATGCATGTATTATTTTCCACTATTGTACCCATTTGCAGTCTTCTCTCAAAAAAATAGTGACAGTTAATGGCTGATTAGGGTATTAGAGAAAACAAATGCACTTTTAATGTATGTGTGTACAGGACAATTCAGGACAGACTGAAAACAGAAATGATGCTTATGATAGACTATGCTGAATATGTATAGCATCAGGAAATGCCAGCCACTTTTCACTTAATGTAACTTACTGTAAGCTTTGCAAAAATACAGTATTTGCACTAGAAGTGTGCACATCTGAACATAGTGTTTACCATCTGTGTAGACTTCTCTTCGTAGATGTCCTTGCTGGTGCTTTTGCTTTCTGACAGGTCGTACCTTCTGAATTACAGCAGCACTCATGTTGCTGTCAGTAGAGACAGGGCTAGTGGGTCTGGGGCAGTGCGAGGCATGGTAATGTCTACGACCTGGAAACAAAGAGGCACACAATGTTATAATTTGTTACTTTATCTCTGAAACGAGAATAGTCTTTCGATTCTATAAATAAAAATATAGTTATATAATTAGCATTATTTAGATTCAATGTCACATTAATATAAACATGCAAGGCTTTTTTTTATCCAGAACATTTACAGAGCAAAACACATGTAAATTGATAGGAACAGCACCAAGATAAACATTGTACTATTTAACATTTATATATCATTTTCAAATGTTGAAATGATTTCACATGCATTATCGATTGCAGTCCTTTCAATAACCCTGCAAGGTAAATCAGATTACAGTGGTGCCTCGCAAGACGAAATTAATCCATTCCGCGAGTCTCTTCGTCTAGCGGTTTTTTCGTCTTGCGAAGCAACCCTATTAGCGGATTAGCGCTATTAGCGGTTTAGCGGCTATTAAAGGCTTAGCGGCTAAAAGGCTATTAGCGGCTTAGCGGCTATTAAAGGCTTAGCGGCTAAAAGGCTATTAGCGGCTTAGCGGCTTAGAAAAAAGGGGGGGAAAGCAAAAAAAATCTAAAGACTCGCAAGACATTTTCGTCTTGCGAAGCAAGCCCATAGGGAAATTCGTCCTGCGAAGTGCATCGCAAAACGGAAAACCCTTTCGTCTAGCGGGTTTTTCGTCTTGCGAGGCATTCGTCTTGCGGGGCACCACTGTATAATAACTCATATTATAACATTCTCAAGCCACCTACTATTGAACAATTGTCACATTCCCTGAAACCTGTATATACCGTATTTTTCGCTCTATAGGGCGCACCTAGTTTTTTTGGGGGGAAATAAAGAAAAAAAATCCCGCTCGCTATCTTGGCTTCCTTTTTAGCTGCGGGGCTGGGGCAGGTGAACCCCAAACTTCCTCCGACCCCAGCCCCCAGAACGGGTCCGGGAGGGAAGGTGAAGTTGCACGCAACCTCACCGTCGCTCCTGGAGCTTGCCGGGCTGGGGGCAAGCACTTCGCTCCCGGAGCTTGCTGCTATCCGCAAGCCTTCTGAGCCCGGCGGGAGTTCCCAGCCGCTTCAAAGGCTTGCGGATAGCTGCCCAAAGCCCGGGGTGCACAGCGCTGTTTTCCCCGGGCTTCGGGCTACAGGCTGCTATCCGCAAGCCTTCTGAGCCCGGCGGGAACTCCCGGGAAGGCTTGCAGATAGCTTCCTGAAGCCTGAAGACGGAGAGGGGTGGGTGCGCACCGACCCCTCTCGCTCTCTAGGCTTCAACGAAAGCCTGCATGCGCTCCATAGGACGTACACACATTTCCCCTTCATTTTTCGTGGGGAAAAAGTGTGTCCTATAGAGTGAAAAATACGGTACCATCAAAGAAAACCCTCCCTGTGCCAGCCCGGTTCTTCCACTTAATCTTGTATCTGATCTTCACCAACCCTAAGTTTCAGTACTTGTCACTAGGGAACCACTGAAATTGTTGCCACCCCAATGAAGCTTTTGTTGATATATTTGTTATCTTCCCAAGGCTTAGGATTTCTTTGCTGCTGCTACTTAAAGTTTCACCAACAGTTACCATAGTTTTGAATTGCTAAGACAGTTTGGAATGTATTTACTTTTTGGCACAAAATAGAAATGCAGTGGTTTTTACCATTGAAAAAAGCTAGAGAGAAAAAGTTATAAATACTGTAACATGTTCTTTCTTGTGAGTGGTTAGATTCATCACATTTTTATTTCACCTCTCATCTAAGTTGCTTCCATGATAAAAGCAACTTGATAAGGCACCAGAGAATCAGGGGAAAAACCAGAGTGTGGGGAAAGACTTGCAGGAGGCACACAAGGTAACCCATAGCAAATTTACACTTGCGTTTCAACATGAAGGTGTCCCTCTTTGTACACCAGAGGACTCACATGGGCGAGAAATGCTATGACTGTTTATAGTGTGGGAAAAGGTTGTTTAGATGTTTCTTGCTTAAAAGGTTAGAAGCAAGTGAGGAAAATATGGGAGGCGGTTTCCTCACTATACATATCTTTTTTCTTTCTTTTTATTTGCTAAGTATTAGAAAACACAACTGTGGACTATCCCATTGAGGAGACTGCTTAGATTGCAAATGAGAGCCTAATAAATCTAAAACTATATACCTTAACTTTGGCTTTATAATTTTACCTTTGTTATCAAAAGTGTACACCAGGCCATGCCTTGTTTATTGTTTAGCAGTAGATCATGTCAATAAATAAAGTTTTACTAGATCTTTTCCATAGATTTTTGTATGGTTTTTATTGTAACGTGTTGCTCTTTCTTCTTCTGATTTTGTGTTATGCTTTTAAAGTTTTCTTAAGTAGCTTAAGAGAATCTTTACATGGCAAGTGACTAATAAATTCATTGTCATCATTATCATCATCGTCGTCTCATAGAGGCCCTTATGAGGTCCACCATTTTATCCTAACTCAGCTATGAGGTTGGTGGTAATAATAATAATAACAATAACAATTACTACTACTACTACTACTATTATTATTATTTGTACTCCACCCATCTGACTGGGTTGCCCCAGCCACTAGCTAGGAGAAAGCGACTTCCTGAGTTTTATGGCTGATCAAGAAAGGTAACATAGTCCAAGTCCAACACTGTAACTATTTACTTTAGCTGTACATCATAGAAAGAAATGCCCTGCAAAGTACATGCACTATACTATACTTTTTGACCAGCCTTGCCGCAGTCATTAGCCATAACAGCTGCAGTGGGGTTGGCATCCCCTACTGCTGTGTGAACGTGCTCCAACTGCCAGTTACCTAGGAGTTCAGAGCTGAAGGAAGAAATGTTCTAGCTTTTCACATCATTCAGGTGACGTAGGGCCATTGGGAAGCTCTGCCACCTGCCTCCCAAGGGCATCATGGCAAGAGGTGGTCAACCTGGCTTCATCCTGGAGCAGTTGCTCCAATGGTTTCCTTTTCTTTTTCCTCCCCATTCCTATTGCATCGTACCCATTAGATTCCAACTCTGTTGGCTAGGACTGTCTTACTGCTTAATATATGTACAGCACTTAGGAAATGTGATTGCCTGGTGAATTCGTTTTACTGAAATCATGGAGATCACATAACAATTCTCCACATCAACTCAATAAAGCATAGAATTGCTGACAAGAGGCCCCTGAGGGCTTGTGTTCACAAGAATATATAGGTGCCACTTGTATTAAAGGGAAAGGAGAAGCCATTCCTTATGGAAGAGTGAAGTGAGTGTGTGTGAATAAAAACTAGTAGTTCTTCCTCATTTAGTACTATGATGCACAGTGAATTTCGTACCTTATAAAGGACCTTTCTGGGGAGCGGTTGTAGATCGGTAGTGGAGCATCTGCTTTGTATGCAAGAGATCTGAGATACAAATATCCGAAACCCTGGAAAGCTACTGCCAGTTACTGTAGACAGTACTTGAGCTACATGGATCAGTGGCCTCATTTTGTGCAAGCAACATTCTGTATTCTTAAGAAATAGGGTAGAATAGCACCAGTGATGTTGCTCCTGGATGGAGATAGGTTTGTCTCCGCTTGTTCCCTACTTTACTTCCTTTGGGGTCGGGGGCAATCATGTTCTTTGCTGCTCAGTCTTTATTATAACCTATAACCTTGTTTTGTTTTTATTGTTTGCACAGTGTGTATGTGTGTGTGTATTTTGGTACAAGATTTTTAGCTGTGTTTGTTGCAGCCTGTTTATTGCTTTTATGAACATGTATTTTAAGTTTGCACTGTTTTCATGCGTTGGAATGACGAGGGGTGTTGCTTAAGCTTAGGCTCCTGGCTAACTTCTGTAAGAGAAAATCATCTGTGCAGTGTGTACTTTTGAAAAGTATTCATTTGAATTGAAAGTGTAGCACAGTTAATCACACAAGCATGATGGACTTTGCTGAGATGGCTATATACTACAAGGGAATTTCAATAATAACAACAACAACAACAACAACAACAACAACAACAAATTTTATTTATATCCCGCCCTCCCCAGCCGAAGCCGGGCTCAGGGCGGCTAACAACACTAAAATAGTGCAACATTATAAAAATAGTGCAACACTATTACTCTCTATATGAAACTTTGACATGTGTACAGGATTCACATAGGGACAGTATTTCAGAAAGATTTGCTTAGGATTACAGCTAATCATTTATCAACTGGGAATCCCTGATTAAATATATGATAGCAGTGAAGAAGTCTCACCTCCCACAGCATCCTGCATTTGACGCCTTGCTACCTTGAGACCAGCATATTCTGCTGCTGCAGCAACAGCCTGTGCAAAATCTGCATCTGTAAAAAAGGATCCATCTGATGAACTAACACTAGACCGTCCACTTGAGATATTGTCATCTTCTGAGGCTGAACCCCATCCATTGATCATGGAACCTGTCACAGAGCTCTCCAGATCTCCTACACTTGAGGCTGGCGTCTGTTCAAGACCACGCAAAAGAAGCCTTCTGTTCTGCATCTTGGCCACTTCTATGTCTGCTTCATCCTCCTCTTCTGGTGCATCAGTATCCATGTCTGATACAAGAGGTCCTGAAATGTAACCATAGGTATGTGGCGGAGAGATAGGTCTTGGAGGTGGAGGAGGGCTCACAGGCTGACGTCTGTGTGGAAAAAATAGTTAGAAATGGTTACAGATTAACAAAACATATATACAGCTATAATTTCCTATTGTATTGAGTCTTGAACTGATTTTTATTTCTTTTAGAAACTGGAAATGGTTGACTACTAAAGTAGAAAAGTAGTATCATCTTCCTTAATTACTAGAATACAGACTTTTTTAAAAATTGGTTCTTAAACTGTTATAGGAAACACTATTCTGAATTCAGTGTTGTCAAATGTAGTTGACTTATCAGCTAGAGTGGAACCAAATAGAATTTAGGGGGATTACTTGAGGTGTGCCCTGCTGAACTACTTGCTATAATTTGGGCAGCGGTGCTCACATAGTCAGGCACCCTGCTTCAAATGCTCACCCTATCCTTAATGAAGGGTACATGATATGCCTGGTGAATCAAGCCAAAGATCTACTCTAGCACCCTGTTCTCTTCTGTGGTCAACCACATGCTTCCAGAAAGCCCACAACCAGTAAAATTTCTGTTTGGTTCCTCCCTAGGAATTGATATTCAGATAAATATTCCCCTCATCTGGATGGTCCATATAGCCATCAAGACTTATAGCCACTGATGAATCCATTGTTTACAAGAAAGTGTTGTATTCGTATTCAGCATACACTCTGGTACAGTCAAACCTTGGTTGTCGAACGTAATCCATTCCAGAAGCCCATTCGTGGGTTCCGATTGGCTGTAAGAGCTTTCTGCACTCAAGTGGAAGCCATGTCGGACGTTCGGCTTCCAAAAAATGTTTGAAAACCGGAGCATTTACTTATGGATTTTTGGCGTTTGGGAGCCGAAACGTTCTAAAACGGAGGCGTTTGGGAGTCAAGGTTTGACTGTATCTTTTAAAAAATGAACTGGATATGAAAACTCATAATGTCATCTTAACACAAAATGTTATAGCATTATGGATAAAAAGTTATGAAGTTTTTTTTAAATTCATTCTCTCCATATGGTTCATTTAAAAAAAAAATCTACCATGCCTTTCCTCAAAGCAAAAAAGTTCCAGCCTTCTAATTCTTTATTCACCTTCTAATCATTTTACTAGCGCTACCTGTACTTACTCAGTCTATGACTTTTTTTTTAAGACTGTGCTGTTTTAAAAAACCGTGTAAGCTTCTGATCACAGAGTCCCGTGGCATCTTACATGTCTTAATAAATTTATTTTTATGGCATAAGCTTTCATGGATTAAAGTCCACTGTCAGTATGACACAAGTTTCAACTAGAAATGGGAACAAAGTGGCAGTTATGGAAAACTTATTGAAAATGTGACTGAGGTGGTATTTCATACTGTAAAGGCTATCAAGGATGCTTTATAACGTGTCAGAACTCCATTTGAAGTACCATGAAGAAAATGGTACTTTGCCCACATATGGAGGGAATGTAGCCATACCAGGATTTTTTGGAAAGGTATAAGGGTCTGCCATCTACAAATGAATCTAATTTAATGTTGTTAGATCATATTAACCAGCTCAAAAAGAAATATCAAATACTATTGGTATTATTTGTTGATAACCGCTAGGATAATAGCAGGAAAGTCCTGGGAAACAATTAAGCTTTGAAAATTGGCCAATGAGTAACGAGAGTCAGGGACATTATGAATAAAATTACCTGTTACAAACATGTTTGGGAGGCAAGAATCGATTTTTTTCAGCCAATCTAGTAGCCTTTTATTTTGTATTGGAATAAAAAGAAAACTACGGATTTGTTCATTATGACATTTTACATCCAGATAACAGACTATGCAACTACCGTACTTTTCGCACCATAACACTCAGTTTTCCCCCCCTAAAAGGTAAAGGGAAATGTGTCTGCGCGTTATGGAGCGAATGCAGGCAGGAGGAGCCGCTCTTGCTGGCTGTTCGGCAGCCTCTCTTCCTCCGCTTGGCTTGCTGAGAAGCCGGCAACAGCTGAGCAACAGCTGAGTGTCAGGAGACAGCCTCTCTTCCTCCTGTCTGCCTGCTTTATGGCTTTTTGGCAAGGTGGGAGAAGGGAGGCAGCTCGGAAGCCGGCAAGAGCTGCACGCAGCGTGTAAAAGCCAAGGTGGGGAAAGGGAGACAGCCTCTCTTTCTCCTGTCTGCCTGCTCTATGGCTTTTTGGCGAGGTGGGCGCTCGGAAGCCGGCAAGAGCTGCGCGCAGCGTTTAAAAGCCAAGGTGGGGAAAGGGAGACAGCCTCTCTTTCTCAGTGTCTGCCTGCTCTATGGTTCTCCCTTACACAAATGTAAGCGGCTCTTACTCTGCTTTCTTTACAATGAATTGGAAGGAGGGACAAAGAGGGCATCCCCTTCCGTCCCTCCCCCAGCACCTCACCGGTAAATTCAAACAATGCAGCTTACAAGGCTCGTGTCCCTGAGTCTCCTCCTCCTCTTTTTGCTCCGGTTCGAGGCAAGGCAGCTGCACAAATGTGAGTCCCCCCCCCTCCTTCCCTCCCTCCCTCCCTCTTCCAACTTCAAAAAATATTGGGGGGACAGCCAGGTAAGCCCCACTCACATACCACAATGGGGGGTGGGGGATGACTCCCTCAAATATTTAATGGGGGGGGTGAAGGCACCTAGGCCCATAGGAGTTGGCTGCTTTGCCTAGGACAAATGTGAGCTCTCCATCTCTCTTCCCTCCCTCTCTCTCTCCCTCCCTCTTCCAACTTCAATAAAATATTGGGGGGGGGCAGGTACAGGTAAGCCCCATCTCACAGACTGCAATGATCTCAAGACAAAGTGCATGCACACTGGTACCTTATATGAATGGCAATGCCCATCAGCATGGGGGGAGGATGACTCCCTCAAATATTTAATGGGGGGGTGAAGGCACCTAGGCCTATAGGAGTTGGCTGCTTTGCCTAGGACAAGTGTGAGCTCCCCCCCTCCTCTTCCTTCATCACTGTATTGGAGATACCATACATTACTGACAGTTCCTTCATTCACGTGGTTACAAAGCACGGATCCACATGGATCCTCAGGATTTTTGCACTGGGTCACCCCAAATTCACCATCAGATCACATAGCATGTCCATGGCTACAGCTTGCACCAAAAAAATCACGCACCCACTGTTGCCTGGGGCTGCAGTGGTGCAAAAACGTGGTTACAAAGCACGGATCCACATAGATCCTCAGGATTTTTGCATTGGGCTACCCCAAACTCACCGTCAGATCACATGTCTGTGGCCACAGCATGAACCACAAAAATCATACATCCACTGTTTCGTTTAGAATATTTTTTTTCTTGTTTTCCTCCTCTAAAAACTATGTGCGTGTTATGGTTGGGAGCGTGTTATAGAGCGAAAAATACGGTACTCTTTGGAAACACTATTTACACCATGGTAAATGAAGTGCTACTCTCCATACTGAATTTTCATTACGATATAACATTAGAAGCAATTTAATGACACATTTGTTTGATTACTGCTGGTTGTGTTGCCTAAACCCAACGCGTTTGCCTCATAGAACTAGTTTACGGAAGTTCCTTCAGAATGTGTTTTGGTAACATACCTCCGATCTTGTGGATGTTGCAAATGTCCCATTTCCTCCTGGCAATCCTGTAGCATTGGCTGGAGTTCTTCTTGGGGGGAAGGAGTTAATGTAGCAGTAGACTGATGGCTGTAGGACACTGCTGCTGGAGATGAAGCTGCTCCTCGAACTGGTGGCGTGGGACCTCGTTCATCCTCTTCCTCTTCCTCTAGCTCATCCTGCTGTAGATACATTCTTGCTGGTGGGATTGGACATGGGATTTCCTGGTCATAGCTAAGAATTAATTTAAGAATATGTGAATTACAATACTGAATACATTCATACCATGGTTGGACCAAATTATTATTATTTCTTGAGTCAATCTGAAGACTCAAGTTCTAGACTAGGATTACAAATATTTTTATTCAGTTAATTAAGTGAATCTGGACCACTGGGTTGGAAAAATATTTACTGATGAATCATTCTTTTATCTTACCTTTCATTTACAGATAGACTGTAGTCTTCACTATTACTGTGGGGAGGAGGATGTACAGGGGGAGGTGGAAGAAGGTCTGCCCAGTTCATACCAGCCTGTTTGGATGCCTTGGGGGTTCTAGCACCCTTCTTGTGCCCTTGGCTCCCTATGAAGAAATATATTCATATTGTTATATCATAGCCCATGAAATAAATTGTTGACCAGTCCTTTAGGGGACAATTTTCTAAGCGATTTAACAATGTGACAAGATGTTAACTGAACGAGTATTCACATGTTCAGGAGTTTCAAAAAGAACATGCAATATTCCAGACATGGCTTGTTACAAATTTTGGATTCTGTAGAACTTAGTAAGCATTTAAATGTCACTAATAAGTCAGCTTTTATACACTGTTGTAGTACATTTCAGTTAAGAAATACACATAGAATTTAATTAATAAATGGCTAAAACATATGTAAGATTAAGGTCACATAAACCCAAGTGAAAACAATGTCAAAAATAAGTATTAGAATATGGATTTATATTAAAATAATAATTATTAGAACTGACTTTGTCTTTTGTTGCCTATATTTGGGAACAGTCTCCTTCACTTTTTTGCTAAAATATGGTAAAGCCATAAATGAACTGTACAAGCAATATAATTAAATAATATTTCTACAGTTTTTAATTGCATTATAGATTATCATCTAAGTATTAAACAACAAAAAGATGCATTGGATATATATTCTCCAAAGTGCCCACCCCCCCCCCCCCAGTTTATTTTTTGGAGCCTAATTTTGGGTTCACAATTGACAGAGATATGATCTATTAAAGGTTTCCCTGTCGCATTAATGAATATATGTAATTTATACTTGTCCACTGAAATGTTTTAGGCACAATGAAATTACTAAATTCATTCCAAATGGCAGGTGCAGTTGAAAATAATTATTGGAAGAATTTAAAAAAAAACAAAAACCACACAATAAGAAGAGCAGAAGAAAGCATGGGACAAATGTTTTCAGCTACTCTTGGTGGAAAATTATAGCTTACAGTAAAAATGATACAAGCTTTAGCCATCTGAGTATCTTGGGGAAAGGATCAATTACTTGGGTGCTGTTGGATTTCAAGTGAACATTTCACATAAGATGTAAAGCAAAACAGAAAGAGAAATGTTGCATGCTTCTAAACATGCTAAACTATTTCAAATTGGAATAATAGTGAATGTTTTTCAAATCTAAATATGTTAAATATTTTATTCGGTCGTATTACCAAGATTCCTAATGCCTCCGAGTTTGAACTGGGTCATTTGCAGCATATTCTAATGGCAGGTCTGCACACTATAACTGCATCCACTTCTGGGAGTGGTAGGAAGAGAACACTCAGAAGTCCCAGTAAATGTGCAGAACCTGCCTCTAGAATCTCTTGGGTCCCAGTCAACTATCTTAATGAAGAAAAACGTATTTATAAATATATTTCAACTGACCACCCCTCAAACCCACTGTTCAGATAACTAATATCAGGGTAATCATAGCAGTTGCATAATTGTGAAGTTGTCCCATAACAGCTCACGTTTTTCTTCACTGTTCACTTTAGCTCCACATTACTAATTTTAAAACACACACACACGCATGCACACAAAATAATAAACTATAAACCAAACCTCACATTCATCTGCAAACTATAGGGTAATGTTTTATGAAATTCAATATGCAGTTTAATGGGGATATAGACTAAACAAGTCTAGTTTGACTTGATAAAGAAGGAACAGCAGCAGAATGTATTACAAACCCTTTCCCAGAAGCCAGCTCTGCTATAACTTGTTGGTGTCTCTGTAATTCAGCCATAAGAGAAACCCTGAAAGTAGTTGTAGCAGTATAGAAAGCAGCTTTTCTTTTCTTTATCTAGATATGTGTGTGCTTCCATCTCTGCTAAACTGTTTTTTTATTCATATACAGTTGTTAAATAATTTCCATTATACTGTAAAATAGGCATCTCACAGTACATCATTTGATCAAGAAAGAGTTGTGGTATAGGGATGGTAGGCGGGAAAACCTGTGGTCCAGACTTTGTAATAGGTTCCAAGCAAGACTGGACAGATATGTACACACAAATACACTTACAAAAAGCTGGACTGAAGGCAAACACACTTGCCTTCTACCAAAATAACTGAAACTTAAGGAAGCTGTGAAGGTTTACATACACATGTCAAAACTGCAAAAGTTCCAGATGGGGCAAGGGACGAAATGGTCTGAAAAAGAGACTTCTCCCTCAGCTTATAAGACCCCAGGCAAGGCTCAGGTAGCTAGCATTACTGCTGAGCAGCCTGTTGGTTTGACCCTGTGTGGTTGCTTTTGACTGAAAATAAAGCTGTCACACTGGTTTAATACTGAACAGAGGGAGGAAATAATAATTGAAAAGGTTTTCACGTGCTCTAGCGACTGTGTTGACACTTTTTGACTTTCCAAGATACATTGATGGGTTGTGAAATTGTCATTTATTTTTTTTGCCAACAGAGGTGCCCTGATCCAACTAAGAAGATCATTGTTACTGCAGGACAGGGAACTGTATCTGGCTGGTGGGCTAGATCCTAATAATAATAATAGTAATAATAATAACAATAATAATTTATTTATACCCCGCCCTTCTGGCTGGGTTTCCCCAGCCACTCTGGGCAGCTTCCAACAAAATATTAAAATACAATAATCTGTTAAACATTAAAAGCTTCCCTAAACCGGGCTGCCTTCAGATGTCTTCTAAAAGTCTGGTAATTGTTTTTCTCTTTGACATCTGGTGGGAGGGCGTTCCACAGGGTGGGTGCCACTACCGAGAAGACCCTCTGCCTGGTTCCCTGTAACTTAGCTTCTCGCAGCAAGGGAACCACCAGAAGGCCCTTGGCACTGCACCTCAGTGTCCGGGCAGAATGATGGGGGTAGAGACGCTCCTTCAGGTATACTGGACCGAGGCCGTTTAGGTCTTTAAAGGTCAGCACCAACACTTTGAATTGTGCTCGGAAATGTACTGGGAGCCAATGTAGGTCTCGGCGGTCGCTCCCAGTCACCAGTCTAGCTGCAGCATTCTGGATTAGTTGCAGTTTCTGGGTCACCTTCAAAGGTAGCCCCACATAGAGCACATTGCCGTAGTCCAAGCAAGTGATAACTAGAGCATGCACCACTCTGGCGAGACAGTCCATGGGCAGATAGGATCTCAGCCTGCGTACCAGATGGAGCTGGTAAACAACTGCCCTGGACACAGAATTGACCTGTGCCTCCATGGGCAGCTGCGAGTCCAAAATGACTCCCAGGCTCCGCCCATGGTCCTTCAGGGGCACAGTTACCCCATTCAGGACCAGGGAGTCCTCCACACCTGCCCGCCTCCTGTCCCCCCAAAACAGTGCTTCTGTCTTGTCAGGATTCAACCTCAATCTGTTAGCCGCCATCCATCCTCCAACTGCTTCCAGACACTCACACAGGACCTTCACCGCCTTCACTGGTTCTGATGTGAAAGAGAGGTAGAGCTGGGTATCATCTGCATACTGATGAACACCCAGCCCAAACTCCTGATGATCTCTCCCAGCAGCTGCATGTAAATGTTGAAAAGCATGGGGGAGAGGACAAAACCCTGAGGCACCCCACACGTGAGAGCCCAGGGGTCTGAACACTCATCTCCCACCACCACTTTCTGAACACAGCCCAGGAGGAAGGAACGGAACCACTGTATAACAGTGCCCCCAGCTCCCAGCCCCTCTAGACGGTCCCCTAACCTCTGCAGGCCAACTTTGAAAGTGGACAGTCTGTCCATCTGTCAATCACATGACATCATATGACTGCCACCTGTGAAAGTTCAAGTCACTATAACTGTTGTTTGGTGGTTGCAGAAACCTCCCTTCAAGATGTGCTTTCAGGATCAATCAACGGAATCCAAGCCGCATTCTCTAGCCCACTTGGCACTAAGAAGTTTCCAAAAGGGAACAACTGCAACTAATTACCAGGGTTTGCAGGTAGCCTTGCACTGTGCTTTGAAGCCTGGGCAATGAGATGATATTTGGGGATTCAAAGCAAAGGGCTTTATACATTCAGCTGACTGGGAGTGCCTGTAATGCCCTTTTGGGTCCAGCTGTGTACGAAGACAGAGAGGTTGCCTAGTGTATGCCTGATAGCTGGTTGTTTTTTTGTTTTTTTTAAAGAGTAAAGTCTTTTTGATTTTAAGTAGCTTGGTGTGATTAGGTTTTTTTGTTTCAGGAATAATATTCCTTGAAAACAAAAACAGTGATCACATCAATCTCAGATGCTCAATAAACTAACTTGGCAATGTGTGCGCTAAAGCTCAAGGAAGGGTGCAATGAGGTTAGCTCCCCCCATGGACTGGTCTTAGATCAGGAAGCACAGACTGTTGGGGAGGCTACAATGGGTTAGAGAAATGGAAATTAAAACACACATTGCCACAATGTGATAAAGTAGGCACAATCCCACACCCACCAAAATTAAAGAAATTCTAAAGCATATTGCAAAAGAGGCCAAAATAAAACAAAACAAAACGGGAGCCTCTTTCCCAGGGAGAAAAATATTTGAGGAAATTGGAGATTAGGTGCAGCAGTAGTTCATACTCACCAGATGTACTGCTTCCTCGATCTGAACTGTTGTAGGACCCTCCTGTATTCTGATCGTAGGCTTGGTTGTATGGGATGGTTGGAACATTATCATTTGATCGGTAGTCTGCAATTAAAACAGACTTTGAATTTGCATGCATATGCTGCTTGGGTATAGTACTGTGAATGTTCTAACTGCTTACAGCTAAGCCTTAACTTATTGTCTGGTTGCAGATCTGTGTTCTTAGTGTGAAAGGCTGATTTGTTTTTGCTGTGTTTAAATATGTGGCATGTGAGACTATGTAATGGAAGACTGGGAAAATGTTGAACAAAATAGTCTGATCTGAGATTTACCATTTTGACCTCTTTTCCTTTTTCAGCACTTTACACTATCATTAAGGAAGCGTACCGCAGACATGATTCTCTATACATTGGTGTTTTTTTAAAAAAATAATAGATCAGTATTCTCCCATTCGCTTTCTTATTTTCTAAGACAAAACTATCTTTCTGACAATTTACTTCTAGCCTGTGTAACGAGAAATAACCATTTTGATGAGTTCTGCACTGTGCTCTATCATTCCTATTTCACATTCCATGGCTCTGTTTATGATTTGCTTTTATTTGTTCCATGAAATGAATGTCAGCTCCTGGTAATATTCTTGTACTTTACAGATATTTCTTCAGTAAAAATTTATTGTATTATCTGATGAATATTTCACTCCTCTATAAAAGTAAAACACATTTTCTAAATCCTGAATTCGTAAAATAATCATTTGAATTAGGTAATTAATTTTTTTATCCAGAACTTTATGGAGAGATTTTTTTTTTCTCGATTTGAAAACCCTAAGTTGTGAGACAAAAAATAATAATAATCCCATAAAACATGCAGAAAAATTCAAGGCAAAAATATAATTAAAAACTGTCACTGCTATAGCAAACAGCTAGACACTCATGTCAGATTTATGTGGCCTCTGAACCATTCTGTAGATAAGTAGGTCAGGTAGTAAATAGATTGAATCAACCTTTTGTAATGGAACATGTCCTTTACCTTTTCAATATCACTAGGTGACCATGAGAGCTACAACAATGTGCTCAGAAAGTTCAAAGATAGAACAGGGCCAGCTCCTAGGGATAGCGTTTTGCAAATCGTGTTATTAAAGCAAGCTGCATGGTAGCCTGAAGGACTAGCAAGAAATCGCATCACTTCCTTTTCTACAGCCCACACACTACATTAGAGAAATGTGCCCTTAAGGCCAGAAAGCACATTCTGATTTTTCAAGTTAACACTGAAATCATTCATTTTAAGGTTATAGATCTAAAGCAGTAATTTTAATCGAGAACTGAATGCAAGACGGTGAATGCAAAGAGTAAGTCTAAAATTTATCAGATCAGTTCATTTCCATTTTTAGCAAAACCCACAATACAATCATACAAAATTTTATATGCAACATTCCAGTAATTTACAGTGATATGTAGACTCCATTCACCACTAGAAGAATGGGATGACCTATTTTAAAATTTGACTGCAATGCCTGCACCTTGCATCTCCTTTATGAATTAAAGATGTCTCAATACCAGCCAATCACTCATTTGTTGTTATTAAATTTAAATTAAGCTCAAAGCCATATGAAAATATATTTTATTAAATTCTCTTTTAAGATACAGCTGCTTATTTGTTAGAATAAATTCAATTTCTGCAGATTATTGTAGTGCTAATTAACTCTTTGACACTGTTAATTGGGAATTTCTAAATCTACAAAGGAGCTTAGATTGTTCCACAGTGTTCAGTTCATCCTAACAAGTTCCACACTGCAGTAACCAATTATCAGATCTGTGGACAGATAGAAAGAAATATATGTAGTTATTTTCATTTACACAAGCTGAGACCCTGAAAGGAGAGGTTTATGGAATCTCCAGTGCATTGAGAAGGGGGGGGGGGGGAGATACATGAAGTGATTTACCTTTGTTTAATTTGTTTTGCTCCATAATGTTGTACTGAACTGGCGCAACCTCTTGTTTCTGCTGTGCAGATGGCTTCCAGTGTTTTTCATTTGAATCACCACTGCCACTGTTAACATTATTGCTGATGTTTGACTGGATGAGCTGAGTGGTGGCATAAGGTGTAGGCTGACCTGGTTGGCTGACATATCTTCCATCTTTTAGATTTGGGCTGTTGAAAGTTTTCATTTCATTGATTTTGTTGCTTAAGTCCACATCACCATAAACTGTTGACTCAGGCAGCATCAGGTTTGTTTGCTTGTTCTCCAGCTGATTGTTGTAATTTGCTATACAATCAGCTAACCACAGCAGGAAGGGAAAAGGGAAAATTGTATTGAGTTAGAAGACTATTTTTAGGTGCTTTTTGGCCTACGTGATTTGGCTTTCTGAAGCAGAAATAGTTAGGTGAACAGAAGCTAAATCAGAATGTTAGCTATAGTAAAATGGCAGCTTAGTTCCATAGGTCCAAAACTATAAGGTGTACCCTTCATATAGGAGTCCCCAACTCTTCTGCCTCCATTTCTCTTTTTACACAGGTAATCTCCTTCTGCAAGGCCCTTGATGGCAGAATCTACTAATTGATCTTAAATTTACAGTATAGCTAAATACTGTTCTTGACTAAGTAGCATTTGTACCTGAATACCCACCTGCAGCACTTCACTGTACATTCCAGTGAAAGTTGTACTAGCTTGCTTATGAGTCATGCAACATTTGATTCCATAAATAAAACTATGTGTTTGTGAGTACAAAAAGCAGAAGTGACTAGTTCTCCTGGAATCTTTATAGACACAAGTTTGTGCCTGGGAGTGGAATATGGGTGAGACAATGCTGTGGGTAACAGATCATAAAAGAGAAGAAATGAGACATAAAATGGATTAGTTTGTGAGTCATCTCCCCAAAAGATGCAGGAATATGTTGGGATACCTGCTGCCACTTTATATATTCTACAGGATGTTGGGTAAGGATTAATATAATCTAGAAACAATGATGAGGGGATTAAGCACCCAAAGAAGCTGTACTTTGACAGGAGGCAGGAACTCTCTCAAAAGAAAAGTGTGGGTACTGTAGCATAAGTAACGGCAATAGGATAACTTTGAGCAGTAACATGCCCAGATGATATAGACAGCAATAAACAAATAGGAAGGAAACAATAAACAGGAAGCAATACAAATTAAGTTCAAATTAAGTTATTTTAATAATAAACAAGATTTACCTGGGCGACTATATGTAGTGAGGTTGCTGTCACTGTTTCCATTGCCTGATGTACAGCAGTTGATGGAGCAGTCGTTGTGATTATTCCCAGTGTTAGGCCATGTATCTGCAAGCCATGGCTGAGTGGCAGGTTCATTGATGTTTAAAAGGCCTGGCCTTCAAAACACAGAATTACTAATTATCATAAGATGTCATCTTAAAAGCAAAGTTCACATTGAAGTACTGAAAATCTGTCTGGCCATTGACTACAATTAAGATTGATTGTACTGGAAATTTACTTATTCTTCCTAGTGATACTGGAAACATGAACAGTTGCTAAATGAAATTAGCTGGGAGAGGGAAAGCTTTAAATAAGCGACTATTTGCTGACTGTATGGGCTTTCCTGTTCCTTCAGATCTGCTGGAGAAGCCTTGTTAGGAGTCCCTTCATAACAACTTGTAAGAACCTTTAGGTGCGGAGCAAAGATTCCCCAAGCAGTGTTGCTGCAGATTTGGAATTACCTGTGTATGAACATACATCAGGCATATTTTACCATTCAGCTAAAGAGACTTTTAATGTTCTTAGGCATTTTACTAACTCTCTGTCTACGGCTTTTGGTTAAAAAAATAGTACACCTTTATTGAGTAAGAAAACAACTTAAGAGTTGAACCAACTATTCCTCCCTTAACCATCACAAGTACAGTGGTACCTGGGTTGTCAAACGTAATCCGTTCTGGGAGTCCGTTTGACTCCCAGAACGGTTTGAAAACCAAGGCGCAGCTTCCGATTGGCTGCAGGAGCTTCCTGCACTCAATCGGAAGCCTCGGAAGCCGCATTGGACATTCGGCTTCCAAAAAAGTTCGCAAACCGGAACACTCACTACTGGGTTTGCGGCATTCGGGAGCCGATCTGTTCAACAACTAAGCCATTTGACAACCAAGGTACCACTGTATCAGTGTTTTCCACTCCTTCCCTTAATGCCCCCAAGACAGTGTTAAAAGCCTTTCTTCTATACAGAGATCTGTGGACATTTTCTAGGACCTTCTTTGTTACCCAGTATTAAATTGATGGTGACATTCCATTCCTGCCTTTCATAGTAGTCTCCATTGCACCAACATAAAGTAGTTGGGTTTATGATTGGACAGCTGACAACATGCTTGTTACTCCTTTAAAATAAACCACTCCTAACAATTTTGTCATTAACAACATACATTATTGATCTCCAAATAATCACACACACACATTTTATTTCACAGTGCAAGCACAACACTATTCTCCCTTTCTTTCCTACAGTGTGTATAACAAACACACCCTATGACCTATTTGTGAAACTTTCCTCAATTTCGTATTAGGCGGGCCATGCAGTGTAGGGGACTGCTCTTTGACACATGGCCAAAGCTCCCTTTGGTATGCAGAAAAACTCCTGCAGTTCTTTGGATACAGGCCACATTTCCCCCCCATTTCCAGCTTAGCTGAAATTCTTGGAAATTAAAGTTACAGAGAACATTAAAAAAACAACTATAAATACTAAGCAAAAGTGTTTCTCATTATGCAAAGTACATTATGCTCAGTGAACTGGAATCAACTAATAGTTACAAATGCTTTCTGAATGGATTACTTGGAAAAATACCAATTTGATCAGAAAAAAACAGCTGCTAAGAAAATATTGTATTTTAAGTAAGCATGGCATCTCCAGCTCCTTTCCCTTTGTACAGCTGAGGGTATACCTAAAAGGTGGTGCAGAATGTTCCCTTTTTAACTGTCTTGCCTTAACTTGGGTGGAACTCATATTCATCTGGAGCAAAAGCAATAACTCAGAATAGCTCTATTCAGATGCAACATCAAAATGTTTTGGTAACGTGTGCAGAAGTGAACTTTGGGCTTGTTCACTCCTTCCTCTCTTCTCTTCATATGCTGTGAAAGCTGCCCTTTGTAGTTTGTGGAGAAATCACAATTTGGTGTTCTACTGAACAGGCATACAATGGTTTGTGCTTGTCCTGAAAACTACGGCAAAAAACTAGTTTGCCTTACTGGTATGTAGGAGGTTAAAAAGTGTGTAGGGGAGCTGAAACAACTCAGCTGTGGGAAGGGGAAAACTTAGATTTCACTCCCTTTTGCCCTTTTAAAAGTGCTGTCTACTGTGCTTCCCTCTTACTTTTTTTTTATTAAAAAAACCTATTTAAGACTTCCACTCCGCCCCCTGCATCAGGCATACATCCTTCCTAAAATGATTTTAGCTAGCCATGTTTTTTAAAAGCAGCAGACCTCATTTTAGGGAACGTGCCCACCCCAATTAATCCAAATGTTTGGGGATTTTTTGTCACAATCCAGTTTCCTGGAGGGAGGATGTACAAGGAAGCAAGAACTTAATCCCAAGGCACATTCATATAGTAAGTAAACATGGTTTGTTATTATGTGTGAATCAGGCCAGTGTGAGTACAGGGACAGGTACTGCATAGCCCAGAAAGGGGCCATGGGTGCCAGTTTCAGAGCTCTGCATAATTTGGTTCCTTGTTCACACACAAGATACACTAAACACCTTTTTTTAAAAACAGCTCATTTGGAAAAGAAGCCAAAGCCATTGTTTGACCTATTTGCTAATCTTAGCATTCTGTGTGACATAACTTTTCTTTGTGGGTGGGCTTGACTGCAGTTGCTATGCATCATTTTGGTTCTGCACCATCATCTATATAGCCTGACTTGTATTTGACATGACAGCGACTGTATACCTCCGTATAGCTTTGTTTTAGAGGCACCTTGGTTGGCTGAAATCCTTGTTAAGAAGCAGCTGCTATGCTGGGGAGTTGCTGCAGTTTCCTGGACAGCACTGGGGTGACACAAGATGGCAGTGAAATCAGGGCCATGCAGACACACCAGTGTGAGTGCGCAACTGGCTCTGCTGATGTGTCCACACACACCTGATCTCGCTGCCACCCAACGCCATCCAGGTAGAATTGCAGTGACGTCAGTATTAATGAAATGCTGTTATTTGTTTGAGAAGAAAATCATTCCCCATTGACCAATTAACTAAAGACTTAGCTATAGTCTAAAGATGGAATTGCGTTCATTTCTCAGAACCCGGATTTTTCTGTACTTTAAATTTGCAATTCCCAACCAGTAATGATCGCTATTCCATTTTTGTTTTCTGTTTTTAAAAATCACCTAAGAGGCAGCTTTCTTTAAGCATGGTTTCCAATTTAAGGTTTTTCTCTTTGCTATCATTACTAAGTGTTTAATCTCCTTAAATGCCACAATTTAGCTACTTTAGCTCCCTTTAATCATCCCCTTATAGCAGCAAGAGTTTTAGTTTGAAGTCAAAGTGCTCCCTCTGCTGTTTGCAATCAGAGATGCAGCTGTACCCAACATATTCTGCAGTTCAGTATGCATTTTGCATTATATGTAGGAAACCTGTATACAATCTTACCTGCCTCCACTGCTTACAGCTTCACCTCCTCTTTGATAGGTTACTAAAATATAAAATGAGAATATGTAGTGGTTAAGTTAATTCTCTGAATGTGCTTCTGTTGGATCCTAGAAAGAAAAATGCTAAAATGTGTTTATTTCCTTGTGGCTAGATTACTGTCGGTATAAGCAGTTCCTACTACCAACTCTATACAACCATACTGCCACCTAAAAGTCACTGGAGTTTTAGTTGTTTATTTTTCAAAACATAAAATAGATATTGCTCGGAAGTAGTATTTTCTGATGTGCGTGCTGTTGTTTACAAAATGGAATGTAAAACACAACAGATAGGTGTTTCCAAATATATTTATATTTTGGGAAGTATGTCATAAAGACTCGCACCTGAAAATGCATTTTAAACATGCCCATACCCAAATACACTTGCTGTACTTCAGCTACCACCCCCAGGTTAAGCAAAGAGTTAAGAAGATTAACCTCAGTGCAAGTGGCGATGGATTCCATAGCTATGCATTTCCCAAACTAGGAATGTGTTTTAAAAGGCAGCCAAATTCTGCTTGTTAGAAGAACTCCAAAGTGGGGGTCTGCAAGGCAGAGATAACCGCTTGCAGCGATTACAATAACAGGATTAAAATGTAGCAGCCAATGGTACATAGGCCTTTTGCTGAAAGTGTTGCTAAAGATGAGGGGTTGTTACCATTTAAATTCAGTGGAACTAAACTAGTTGGATTCTGAATTATGGAACAGAAAAGTTTTAAATTTTAAATACAGTCCGCATTTCAAATGACTCCTTGTCAAATTTCCCTGTTGTCTATTGTACAGCTATCAAGTATTGTGCCAAGTATTGATTAAAATATTTTTGTCTTCACAGTTCTAAACACTTGGCTCCTGCGAGAAATCTGACACCAAGCCTAAACATGCTTAAATTTAAGCTTGCAAATTAACTTAGCAACACTAATAATGTACATAAATTATTTTCTCTGTACAGCCCAGTTGTTAAAAACATGGATTCTGTATGAGGAAAATATCAGAATGTTTAAAGTAATGCTGAAGCAAATTTCATATTAATATATGTTAAAAGTGAATGAGAAGCAAGGACCAAAACTATTTTAAAAGTTGAAATAACAACTTATTAGAATTACAAAAGATTTTTATAAACATGAAGGAATTCATTCTTTTTTGAGAATGTGATGTAATTTTCTCTCTCCATCAGCAATATTATTGAAATGTGATTAATCACAAAACAGTTTGAATACAGACTATGTCGTCCATTATAATGCTAAGTAATAAACCATTAGAATGCCTGTTTACTTGCTAATATTATTAAATATTACAATCTTCGGCAGAAATGTGCTGACAGAACAATGTTTAAATGGGAGTTTGGCATTTACCGTATTTAACATTGATTATTGGGGTTCTAGATAACAAAGCTATCCTGTTAAGGCAAGGTGTTCCACCAATGCAGCAGGACTTCCTCTCCTCATTGTCCGCCCCCCGAATTTGCTCTGGAGGATTGGTGGGGAACACAGAACAGATTAGGGGGTGGCACTGGGGAAAGGAGAGCGAGGGAAAGTCATTGTGTTACTGGTAAAACTTCCTTTAATGTAACCCTTTGTCTATTTTTGGTATTCTTTTAAATAACCAAGAGTAACTGACAAACATTTCATTCTCATACTTTCAGATCTGTATGGTATAGGGTATAATTATAATGCTAAGGTTCACACAAAATCCCAGGCTACATTCAAGCTTTCATGTTAATGGCATCTTCTATTAATGGCATTTCCTAAAGCATAGAGCTTTCCAATCTAAAGAGAAAAGTTTCAGCATAGACTGAGAACAAAGCTTTAGATATAGTCATGGGGTTGTATCCAACAGTACTGCTCAATGGATACTTTGCAATAATTTACCCCTTTCTTCTGTTGCCCCACATCCCCTAGAATGATCTCTGAGCATCCTCCAGAGCAGACTGGGAGTGGGGGGACATGAGGTGTGTGTGTGTGTGTGTGTGTGTGTGTGTGTGTTGTAAATAGCTTCATTCCTTGTTCTGATGATGGGAGTCTTACCCTCAGCTGAGCAACATGGAAGTCTTATTGTCAGTTGGATACAACACATATAGACATCTCCCAATTTATAAAAATGAAATCCTATGTATGTCTTTCTATTTAAGTGTTAAGTAATGTTCCATTAAGAATCATTGGAAGGGAATGCTGCTTGCCTTTATGCAGAGTCCTTTGTGCAGCTACGGCCCATTTTGGTAGAGCAGAACATTATGAACAACTATACAATATACAAAATTAGCAAAAACAAAAAAGCAAAAACCACCCAACCATGCTATACATTAGCATAGAAGATGATAGGATCTCATGTAGTCTTCCAAAGGATATAAAACTCAAACTTTGGACAGCAGTGCGAGATCTGCCAAATTGGTAAAATGATACTAACAATAAGGATACGTAACGAATACTACTCATACTACTCGCTGTGTAATATTGTGCCTGGTTATATGAGGGAAGAAGAAAAAGAGACAGTGACACAGTATCACACAGGCACATGCCAATCAGACAAGGGAAAAGTGCAAATATATACCTGTTGGTGTGAAGGTAAAAGACGGGACTGAAAAATCAAAACACAATAAAAACTGGTTATTAAGCTGAAGAAAGAAAAAGAGAGCACACAACATTAGTATAAATCAGGGCAAGAACAGAACATAAAAGTAAGAGTAAATATGTCCAAGACATACCAATATGTGAATAAAACAAAATTTGTTATTTAAAAAGGTGACTTGTCTCCACAGAAGAAGAATAACATTCTAGTATAGTGTGCTCTTGAGGGAAATAGAGTGTGGTTTAGCCTCTAAATGACCTTCTCTTTAGTGCTTTATGTTTTGCTGCAAATCCATGTACAAACAAAAACCCTACACTATTTAATCATATATATATATATTTTAAAAAAGAAGAGTAATTGTTACTTTTCCCAGTATCATCAAGATATTGCTAGACTCTTATATTCACTGCATCATGCAAATACTTGATATAGTGGATCAATAAGGACACTTAAGCATTTAAGTAAAGAGTAAGCTATTACTAGGAGTAACAAAGTATTATGAAAATGTGCCAATTTTCCATTACTTGCACCCTAAAAGTGTGTTGTGCTTTATTGTAACAGCTGCTCAATATCACAGCCTTTTAAAAAAACTAACTGTAATGAATAGAGAACACACAATAACTAGGATTTTTTTATTCTTCAGTTTTTGAGATGCTTTTGTTATTTTAACCTAATAATGTTAATCTGCCCTGTAGATTACCTGCTGTAGTAATCTTTCCTGACTCACGAGCCTATGAGTTTAAATAAAAAGTTTCAGAATATAATAATTCTCACAGGGGAAAAACCTTCATTTTCACAGCCCCTATAGATCTTAATTTAATCAATAAGGCCTCTAATCAAACAGCAGACCTCCAGTGCAACATCTACTCAGTCCCCCCTCCCCCCCCAGCACACACTTCTCTCTTCTTTGAACAATAGAATATATTTCTGTACTGCTAATGGGAAGAAGGAAGCCATGAAATGCTCCTTAATTCTGAGCAAAACAATGAAATGCAAGAAAAGCTTCACAATTGTTTCTAAATGTGTTTTGGCCTTGAAATTTAGGTTAGCAGGCGGACCACAAAGGGATGATGGAATGGCTGAGATATACATACATCAACAGCCTTTTTCTCCCCTTTTTTCTTCCTATAGATCTGGTTTTTTTATATTAGGATCTAGGGTCCTTAAGTCTTTAAGGACATAGAAAAGCCTAATTTAGAACACGCTGCATATGTGTCACTGTTCTTATCAGGTCACTTTATTTCTAGGAATATTGTGCTGGAGAAAAAAGGAAAGAAAAATCCAAACAATTTAAGCATTGGCCATCATCTGCAGCAGTGCTATTTTTATCACAGGCATCCTATTGTGATCTCTTTCTGCTGGTTCTTTTCAGATAGTCAATGGAATTTAGTATCATTAAGAAAGGAAATACAGAGCCACAGTAATAAGGATTTCCACCAAACACACAAAGTAGTGCATTTTAAAACAGCGTTGCTTGTGAATGACTACATCAGCTCTACATCAATTTGCAACAACAAAGAAATAGAAAAAGATGAAAGGTTCTTGTCATTATTTTTCTGTGAACTAAATACTCAATATAATTTTGTTCTGTAGGAAAATAAACAAAAGTCAATCTAAGTGAAATCTTCATATCTCACACAAAAACTTAATTATCAAAGCTTAGTTGATAAAAATGCTTATTGTGCCCACTGGCGCTAATGCAATATGTATGTATGTGTGAATACAGAAATATTTTAACAGTTGTCAAAGCCTCAAGTTAGATGCTCAAAAAGGGGGGAAATGAATTAATGAAGTTCACTGATCCTCAGCTTTTATGGTGACATGTCTGACTTCATGCTCTGTATATTGACAGATTATTATTTTTAAATGATTTACATTTCCTTGAAGATGATGTTTCCCTTCAAGTGTGTTTAATAACCTTGTTTTGGTGAACCTTTACTAATGAATTCATTCTGAAAGTTAATAAAAAATTGCGGAGTCATTACAGACATTTGTAAGACACACAAGACTGAAAACAGCATAAAACAACAAAATATCAGATTTTTTAACATTCCATGCTGTGGATTTAGCTTCTTTTATATCCAACAGTATTAGTCTATTAGAAATGTTTATAAGAGATGGCATGGCACCATGCAATTAGTAAAGCTAAAAGAAAACTGGTTAAAACAGCACAAAGGCTTTCACTTAACTTTCCCAGAGGTGTATTAACAGACACAAGTTAATTTCAGTCCCAGCTTCATTTTGTCTGCATGTGTTATTTATTGGACCACAATGATGCCACTAGTTGTTACTTCTATTTTGCTTTGGATCTTCCTGTTTTCAAGACTCTGCGTGCTAAGAGACACTGAGTTTCTTAAGTGTTCAAACCCACACTACTTTTGCTAAAGTTGTTTTAAAATGTTACCTTCATTTAATGACCATGTTCAGAACTTTGACTACTGAAAGATCTGTAGACCGTAAGCATGCTGAACAAGGCCATTACTTTGTTGTGTCCAGTGGCTACCAGACAGCGCGAATAAAACCTGTTAAACATTAATAAGAAGGATCTGGATCATTTGGTGGATGAGGATATTAAGTATTCAAAAAGGCAAGGTGTTAAACAGCTTCCGATCTGTGGCTGATTGACCTCTGCTCTAAAAACCAAACTACATGGAAAAAAAACCCAGTAATTACTGCCTATCTCTGTTTAACAAAGTGGTCACATTGCATCTTCAGGCATCCTTGGTTGCGACTGCACCTCTAGTCCAGGGGTTGTCAACATTTTGGGCTCTTTGGGCACATGTAGCACTCTGAAAAAAGGTTGTGCGTACCAGTCACAAAATGGCTGCTGTGGGGCATGAAAAAGTGAATAGTGGAGAAATAAGATTCTAAAATGGTTCCTCTTGTGTTTGCATTATCTTTAGACAGGATTTCCCCCAAGCCACCGTCAAATTGCATCTGTTTCCAAATCGCAGAAGCAGCACTTGTCACAAAACATGGATCTGTGGAGTGAATCCATATGCCATAGTATCTCTGGCATGTGCTATGTAGGTGGTTTTTACAGTGCAATCCATTGATGATGGCTGGGATGCATCCCTTGTAAAAATCATGAGGATACATATTGGATACATATTTTTGTATCATGGTGGCACTGAAGAAGAAGAGTTTGGATTTGATATCCCGCCTTTCACTCCCCTTCAGGAGTCTCAAAGCGGCTAACAATCTCCTTTCCCTTCCTCCCCCACAACAAACACTCTGAGGCGAGTGGGGCTGAGAGACTTCAAAGACGTGTGACTGGCCCAAGGTCGCCCAGCAGCTGCATGTGGAGGAGCGGAGACGCGAACCCGGTTCACCAGATTACGAGACTACCGCTCTTAACCACTACACCACACTGGCTTCTTTGATGCTTTTCTCCACCTGTACTTTCATCCATCTCCTATTTTTCTGTCTCTAGCAAGCCCATTTTCTGTTGCTTACTGCCTCCTCTTCTTCAGATAGGGTTGAGAAGAGAAATTGTGCAGAGGAACTAAACATTGTAGAGTGACTGAAGAGGAACTGCTCTGAGAACAAGAACAATAAAACCTTGTCCAGACTTCCAATTTATGTTTCAGTGGGTTCAGGTCCTCTTGTTGGTGACAGAGAAGACTCTGACAGGCATACAAGGTGTCCACCTACAGGTGCTAGGTTGGAGCCCTGAAGTATAGGCTCTTGCTGATCTGGTTTTCACCATTAGCTATGGTACCGACACATGGAAATCCATCTCATCATTAAGGTAAATGCACCCGTTTCATTACTTCTCAGAGATAGTATTGTTGGCCCTGTGTGGCCCTGGGCTGAGGACTGGTTTTGCACAAACTTCTAGATACCAAATTAATACAACACAAGTAATGCTGGTAGATTCCATATTCTTAACAAATGAGTACACCTGTCATTAACAGAATCCAAGCTTGCCTGGTTTTAGCTGTCCAGTGAGGTTTGGAAAACTAAGTACATTGCATCATCTGACTCTTCACATAGCAGTGGCACCCAGGAATATTTTGAGGACTTCCATTCAGTGAGAAGACTCTGACCTAATTCATCAATTTTAACTGTCATTCCTGCTTCACAATGTTGAGGCCAATAATATCTTCAACATGCAGCACTTGATGATTTCTAAAAGCTTCAGCTAAAACAGAAGCATCTTTTGAAACGCGTGAGGTGATCAGCACTGCCTTACAGGCAGAAATAAAGTTGCTATAAAGATTGACCTATACATTTATTAACTCTAGATTTAAAGATACCTATAAGATGTCTTCGCTCATCCATGCCATCACAGCCTGTTCAATTATCTAAAAGAACCTTCCATAAATTGAAGGGAAGTTCTCTTTCTGCAGTTCTCTTACTGCACATAACTGTGGCATTGTGGGAAGTCTTACTATGAAATCTTTCTATGCTTACTATGAGAACTCTTGCTTCTTTCTCTCTTACATTCTGGGAAGTTTTTGCCTCTGCACAAGAGTCTGAGAATGTTCTGAACAGTTCCCATTGAGTTCATGAAACAGTGTATCCTGACCTGTCCTTAATGCATTGCTGACCACATCTACAGAACGTGATTGTTGTATTCCTTCATGTTATGTTCTTTCAATATCAATCTTTAGTTATAATTTAATTAGGAGGTTTCATGCCTGTCTAGTTCCAGCTCTGTTTCCCAGTCTTTGATCCATCAATGATAAATGGACATATGTTATTCCCGCCTTGTACCTATGTTAACCAATCAGCAACAAGATGCTTTGTGTTTGTATCAGCCAATCAGCCACAAGCACACCTGTGGCAATGTTTGTAATATTCAATAAAAGAGAGTCCCCGGGACTTGCCCCGGGCAGACGCCTCTCCTTTGACACCCACCATTCGTCTGTCGTGATTTCAACCCAACAATAAATTACATTGTGTGCTGAAATTAGGATAGGCAGGGTACATTCTTCATAATTGTTATGTAGTAATAAAAATCCCACAACCACCTAATACATGAAAGCATTTTTCAAGAAGTTTTAAAAATGTAAAGTTTTAAAAGCTGTATTAAATCTCACAGGATAGTTATTAATTTGGTTTTTCATTTATTGTTAACCAGTCTGTGTCTGACAGAGACTATGTGTGATATCCAACTAAATCATACTCAAAATAGACCCAATGAAAGATATGGGTCTCTTCTGAGTAAGGCCAATGCTTGCTATCACGTTATAAATTCAATTAAATAACAAATACTTCAGATTATAAAAGGGTCCAAAAAATACCTTTTCTGATACCAGCATATGTACTAGCGAGTCCATTGCGCTTCTTTCGATGACGGTATAACCAAATGCTGAAAACCATAAGGATAATCCAACAGGCAGCACCAATTCCAGCAATGAATGCTGGCTGTTTTACAACATCTGAAATCTGTTGGGCTAAACTGACTTGGTCTTCTGGTGACACAGGGTTTCCATGAGAATCTGAAGAAACATACCCAAAGTTGAAAGTACAGATATGAGGCACTGATGTCATACATGATGTTTGAGCTTTCATGATGTTTGAGCTACATGATGTTTGAGCTTTCCCCCCATCAGATGAAGTCTAGAAAGTAATTCTGCCATGTATTCAATTGGTTCTCCAGGATTCATTTCTGGGAGTGTGCATAGTTTCCTGTGGACACACTAATAAAAAAGCCATGCCTGTTTGGCTTGACACATAAACTTCATAGTACATTGAATATTCCACAATTTATAATCTTCAGCAAGCAGATATTCACTGAACCTTATGAAGAACCTGATATGTATGCAATCTTCCTGTATCTCAGGGTTTTTATGTTCAGTTTAGCAACTATATTTCAGAATCCAACTCTTGGTGGGGAGAGCACTTACTATTTTATTCACTGAATTTATATACCGCCCTATACCCGGAGGTCTCAGAACAACACTTCTGAATTATAAAGTGTACAACATTAAAAACCCACCGACAATCTTTAGCTTGCTTATTGTAGGATAACAGCTATACAAATACACATGTATGCAACATACCCAAGCCAAAAACAGATATATACTCTCTGTAAATGTGCTTGGAATACCTCTGCTTGGAATTTTTTCAGGACTGTAACACAATCAATATAGAGTATTCAACATTTGTTATGTTCACAATAACTTAATGTGGAAACTGTATAAAAGATCACAATTGAACTCTAACAGTCACCCAGGGAACAAGGGGCAAAAAAGCCCCCTGCAACATCACCAGTGGGTCTCTGTACAGTCAGTCCAGTGCAGGGGTTGTGACTTTAAGCACAAAAGAACATCAGGGAGTACAGATACTTGCAGTTGCTAGCAGATCATCATGAAAGGCATGCTAATTAGTTCACAAATCACACCTCATAATGGGAGCTGTTAGAGCAATAAAAGTTCAAGGAGAGTTGCTTGTATTCATTCTCTTGGGATGTCTAAGGCATGAATAATACACTTAACATTTATAATTATTTGAGTGAAGCTTCTCATAAATGCATGATGTGTATTCACACAGGTTAATATGTTTATGAGAAACATTAATTTATTGGCAAAATGAGGTGCCTCAAGACCTGTCTGGTGCACAAAACTGAAAGAGCCACAGGAAATCAATTGGCAATCAGTTATTTAATGCATCATCTACTATTCTCTATAGGTGCACCCAAATGTACATAATTTAGTGATGACCCAGCTACGGAAGGGTACTCACAGCATTTTTGGCGGAAGCACAATCGCCTCCCCAAGATTAGCCTCAGGGGAAACCACTCCTTCCAGTTTGCTGCTAAAAGGCAATTTTCGCAGTATGCATAGGTTGGCGTTTGTGACAATACTGAAGTCACTTGGAGCAGTTCTTCCAGGTTTTTAAAAAGCAACTGTGTGTCATTTGAAATATAGGTACCAAACAAAATTGTAATTAGATCAATGTGCAACACATTCCATTTAAAATGTTTTTGTGGATTTTTTGGGGGTGGGTGGGTGCTTACATTTTTTTTAACAAATAGCAGCAGCCCACCTGAAGATGATGTTAAGTGAGGTTCAGGTTAGGTTTATTAAATTTATATCACTTCCCATTAAGAAAAGTCACAAAACAATTTACAAGCAAGTTGTGTATTTTTTAAGTGAAAGGGTATGTACTACTCTATAAATAGAGGCAGAAAGATAAGTCTTTTTCAATGCCTTCACCACCACAGCAAAGGCTCAACAATGAGCACACACTTGTGTCACATTGTGTTAATCTGGATTCTTCTTCCACTTGTGATCCAGCCATCTTCTAACCTGCTTCATTGCTTTCAGCTCCACAGTATACCTGGGCTCAGCAAACTAGAAGTGAGCACTTGTGCTCCACAGATCAGTCAGGGTTTCAAGCATCACCAGATCCATCAGCCAGAAGAGACCCCAGAACTGTCTGGAACACAACTCTGCCTCAATTTTAATAGGTCTCATGCCTCTCCAGAGGGAGAAAGTCACTGACAATCTGAATTGAATTAAACAAGACACTGGGAGCTGTGTGATCAGCCTTCTAATAGCTTTTTTATTTGTGCTGCTACCTGTTACCCTTCTATGAGGCTGCTTCCCCCATAACAAAAGTTTCTATGGGTGACTTACAATAAACGAGTAAAACAAACAAACAAATGGAAAACAAATAGCAAAACAATTAAAGATGAAGATACAACATCAAAGCAACAAAACAGGACTTGTCTCATCCTCGGCTTCCGGGTTTAGCGCCATCAGCAATGGCGGAATTCCTCTGACCAGAGGAATTTGCCCCGTGGAGAATAGGGTCTGACCGCTACGGCGAAGGCGGGGACCCAGGAAAAATCACAGGTGGGAGAAGCCTGTGAACGTGGGATTTGGCGGGCACCTTCTGCGCCTCCCCTACTCGCGGGGAAACCCGATTCTGGGCTTCTGGAGCGACGTGGGGTGAGTGGCGCGGTGCTTCGAGACGACTGCTTTTTTCACGGAGCGAAGCCGCATAGCTGTTGCCGGAGAGCGCTGACTTTTTCCTGTGGACAATTCGAATCTAAAGTATTTACCCGTGAGTAGAGCTGGAACGGGAGAATTAGACTCTTAAACGTATAATTTGGTATTGAAGCGGGGAGGTTCAAAGCAGGAAGTCCGCCTCCCCTTTTTGTAAACAGACTGAGGCAAAAAGGCTGTAAGCTGAAGCCTTGGGAAGCCCTTTGCAAAAGATTAAAATTTCAACGGTAAAGAACATTTTCCCCCCTCGGGGGCAGGAGAAGAGGGGGGAAGTTGTGGACTGAGCAGACCTGCAGGAGAGAGTGAAGAGAGTCAGAATTTTGCCGCTCCGATCCTGGAAACGGGCTGCCTGCTGGAGTGACGTCTTTTGGAATGTTCAGTGACAGCTAGCTAAGCAAGACAAATACTTTGTTTCTATATTGCTTCTACAGTCTTTGGGTCTTTATAAAAAGGAACAAATAGTAGCAGAAAATTGAAACTAACTTTGGATCTTTGAATTGTGTTTAAAAGAGGACATTATTTATCAAAACAAGTAATATAAATTGAAACTGTTTCCCCCTAGTGGAAGTTTATGAAACTGGCTGTTCTATAAGAGTTCTACAGGTGTGGAGCTAGGGAAATTTCCAGCTGTAAGATAAGAACTGTGTGACTCTGGGACTGACCTTGAATCGTTTAAGTGTTATGGCAAATGGAAAGGAAAAAATAGAATTGTCAGCTGCTGAAAAAACTTTAAGGTCTGGGAGGATTAGGCAGCAACCTAGGAGAAGTTCAATACCAGATCCCCTTCCCCCGGCTGCTGCTGTGTCTACATCGGCACAACCAAAATCAAAAGGAATGCTATCAGAAGAGGTAATAGCGGTTGCGTTAAGTAAGATAAATGATGCATTGGAACAGCTTAATAAGAAAGTGGATGCTGGAAATAAAAAAAATGATTTAAATTTGGGACTAAAGGTGAATACTAATACAGAAACGATTCAGAAATTGATACAGGAATCCAATTTGACACGGCAGACCGCGGAGGAAGCTAGGGAAAAGGCTGCAGCTGCTGAATGTAAAGTAACACAATTGGAGAGAGAGAAAATCTGCAGCCTTTTCCCTAGCTTCCTCCACGGTCTGCCATGTCAAATTGGATTCAATCACAAGGAGAGAAATTTTTGATTTTAGGTATATATGCACCAAATGAAGGAAAATCAGAATTTTTTAAGAAGTTACATGAGATCTTGATGGATTATATGGAGTATAACATAATTTTGATGGGAGATATGAATGGAGTGGTGTCTACAAATATGGATAAGGCACAGAGACAGGTAGTCACCAAAGATGGTAGACTACCAAAAACCTTTTTTGACATGACTGAAAATATGGACTTAGTTGATATTTGGAGGATGAAGAACCCTCTGGGAAGAGAGGGAACTTTCTTCTCAGAGGCTAAAATGACATGGACAAGAATTGATCAAATCTGGGTAACCAGGGGACTGGCCCCGAAGATTAGCAAAGTGGAAATCTGCCCTAAAACTTGTTCGGACCATAATGCGGTGAAGACGGAAATGAAATTAATGCCAAGTGGCTCCTTCAGATGGAGGATGAATGACTCTCTGTTTAGGAATGAAGAGGTGATCAAGAAGGCCCAAAAAACTCGTAAGAGACTATTTTGAGATAAATATGAATACTACAGTAGAAAAAAGAGTAATTTGGGATGCAAGCAAAGTGGTTATGAGAGAATTCCTAATACAACAGAATGCAATTAAAAAGAGAATTCAGAATGAAAAAAAGGATAAAATCCTGGGAAAGATAGGAGAAGGAGAGAAGAAATTGAGAGCAAAACCAAAGTCACAGGAGATTTTGAAAGAAATAAAGTTATACCAGGTACAATATGCGAAGTTGATGAATCAGGAAATAGAATGGAAGATTAAACAGATGAGGCAAAAGACATTTGAATCGGCAAATAAATGTGGGAAATTGTTGGCCTGGCAACTGAAAAAAAAAAGACAAAAAATTCAATACTATCACAAATTTGGAAGTGGAAGGAAAAAATATACAGAACCCAGTGGAAATTAGGAAGTGTTTCCAGAGGTATTTTAAACAACTCTATACACAGGAGAAGCAGAAAGAAATGGACATCGATCGATTTTTGAATATAAATGGACTACACCAAATATCACAGGAAAAACAACTAATGTTGAACTATAAAATAACAGACCAGGAGGTGGAAGGGGCTATCCAGAACATGCAATTAGGTAAATCTCCAGGACCAGATGGTTTGACTTCAAGATACTACAGATATTTGAAAGATTGGTTAATACAACCATTGAAGGAAGTCTGTAATGAAATATTGGAAGGAAGAAAGGCACCAGAGTCGTGGAAGGAAGCTTACATTACACTTATACCGAAAACAGAGACTGAAAAGATGCAGCTCAAAAACTACCGCCCCATATCGCTGCTAAATGTGGATTATAAAATTTTTGCAGACATTTTGGCTAAAAGACTAAAAAAGGTGTTAGTAGAAGAAATCCATAAAGATCAAGCGGGCTTTCTCCCGGGCAGACATTTGTCTGACAATATGAGGAATATAATTAATATCTTAGAAAAACTTCAAGTGAATATTAATAATAAGGCTGTTTTGATATTTGTGGACACGGAGAAAGCCTTTGACAACATTTCTTGGAGCTTTATGAAGAAGAATCTACAGGGGATGGGGGTAGGCCAAGGTTTTGAGAATGGTATAGGTGCAATTTACTCAGAACAAAAGGCAAAATTAATTGTAAATAATGTAGTGACAGAAGAGTTCAAGATTGAGAAAGGGACACGACAAGGTTGCCCAATTTCTCCACTGCTTTTTATATCGGTCCTTGAGGTTTTGCTAAACATGATAAGAAAGGACCAAGAGATTAAAGGTATACAAGTGGGAGTTAAACAGTATAAATTGAAAGCATTTGCTGATGATCTAGTATTGACTCTACAGGAACCAGAATCTAGCACAAAAAGGGTATTGGAATTGATTCAAGAATTTGGGCAAGTAGCAGGTTTTAAGCTGAACAAGATGAAAACTAAGGTATTAGAGAAAAACTTAACTGTAAATGAGAGAGAGAAATTTCAGGAAGAGACAGGATTAACATTGGTTAAGAAAGTGAAATATCTAGGGGTTAATATGACTGCTAAAAATGTAAATTTATTTAAGGGTAATTATGAAAAATGTTGGATTGAAGTGAAAAAAGACTTAGAAATATGGTCAAATTTGAAGTTATCATTACTAGGCCGAATTGCTGTGATAAAAATGAATGTGCTGCCAAGGATGTTGTTCTTGTTTCAAACATTACAAATTTTGGATAAGATGGATTGTTTTAAGAAGTGGCAGAAAGAGATTTCCAGATTTGTCTGGCAGGGCAAGAAGCCTCGAATAAAATTTAAGATATTAACTGATGCTAAAGAGAGAGGTGGATTTGCCCTGCCAGACCTAAAACTCTATTATGAATCAGCTGCTTTTTGTTGGCTGAGAGAATGGCTGCTACTTGAAGACACTGATGTGTTGGACCTAGAAGGTTTTAACAACATATTTGGTTGGCATGCATATTTGTGGTATGATAAGGTAAAAGCACATAAAGCGTTTAAAAATCATATTGTTAGAAAAGCATTGTTTAATGTATGGATAAGATATAAAGATTTGTTAGAAAAGAAAACCCCAAGATGGTTGTCACCAATGGAAGCGAAGGCACAGAAAAAGCTCAATATGGAGGCCAATTGGCCGAAATATTGGGAAATTCTGGAACAAGGGGCAGACAGACTAAAATTGCAGAGCTTTGAAAAATTGAAAAATAAAGTGCGAGATTGGCTCCATTATTATCAAATAATGGAGGCATACAATTTGGACAAAAAAGTTGGTTTCCAGGTGGAAAAATCAAAATTGGAAACAGAATTGTTAGATTCCAAAACTAAGAATTTGTCAAAAATGTATAACCTGCTGTTGAAATGGAACACCCAGGATGAAACGGTGAAATCAGCTATGATTAAATGGGCACAAGATGTTGGACATAATATAATGATGGCTGACTGGGAACAGTTATGGACCACAGGTATGAAATTTACGGCATGTAATGCTTTAAGAGAAAACTTAATGAAAATGATTTATAGGTGGTACATGACACCAGTCAAGCTTGCAAAAATTTACCATTTGCCTGAAAATAAATGTTGGAAATGTAATGAGACTGAAGGTACATTCTTTCACCTTTGGTGGACATGCCCAAGGATTAAGACATTCTGGGAGATGATTTATAATGAAATGAAAAAGGTATTCAAATATACCTTTCTGAAGAAACCAGAGGCCTTTCTCCTGGGCATGGTCGGCCAATTGGTGCCAAAGAAGGATAGAACTTTTTTTATGTATGCTACAACAGCAGCAATAATACTCATTGCGAAGTATTGGAAGACACAAGATTTACCCACCCGGGAAGAATGGCAGATGAAGTTGATGGACTATATGGAATTGGCGGAAATGACTGGCAGAATCCGAGACCAGGGAGAAGAGTCGGTGGAAGAAGATTGGAAAAAGTTTAAAGACTATTTACAGAAATATTGTAAAATTAATGAATGTTAGAAAAATGTTGGAATGAAGTTATATGGCTTCAGCAGAAATGTTATAAGGAATTAAGTATAAATAGATTAATAGAGAATTAAAGGGGAAAATAAGGTCAAAATGTGTTAAGATAATTGTAGGATAGAAAGCAGAGGAAGATGGAAAGGAATTGCTGAAACAACTAATAGAAGTGGAATACAAAAAGGGAGGTGTGAGGAGGTCATGGAAACAAGTGAATGAAAGATCGAAACTATTTGATGTGTTTTAAATTGCTTTTGTTTTGTTTTTTTAGTTTAAATTGTTTTTGTTAGTTTAGTGTTAGGTATTGTTTTTGTATTGTATTATTTTCTTTTTTTAAGTAATGTCTAATTTGTTGGAAAGTAATAAATATTATTTAAAAAAAAGAGAGAAAGCTCTCAAGAGGGTGATCTTCTTCCTCAGGAAAAAAAAAAGGACTTGTCTAATCCTCAAAATTGAAAGTGGATATAAAAAACAAAAGCCTAGACAAATAGGCTTAAAAGGCTCTGGTGTTTAAAAAAGGGTTTTCTAGTGTCCTGAAAAGATCATAAAGATAGTGCATGGCAAGCCTCATTGGAGTGATCATTCCACTACTGAAGCCATTGCTGAAAAGGCCCTCTTCCCTGGTGGTTAATTGCCTCACTTCATTCTTCAGGGTTTTACACAAAGCAGGGCCTATGAACAGGATCTTAAGGTTCAGCTAGATACATATGGGAGAAGCTAGCCTGGTCCCAAGCCATTCAGAGCTTTAAAGGTTATAAGTAGCCTTTAAATTTGGCCTAATAATGGGCTGGGATGGGAAGAAGAGTTTCTGCAACGCTTCCAAAATGAAAAGAGTTTTATTGGCAGAAGCAAATTCAACTCACTCAGTGATTCTTGCCTCATCTGATTAAAACAATGCAGAACATCTGGATTTCCCCTGCCCCGCATCAAATGCTAAATGTAAAACAAAGCAGGAAGTTATTACAAATCACTTACCTAACTGAATAAATTGTGGTTCGCTTTTCACTCCAGCTCCAGCTCCAGTACTTGCTGCCACTTCCACACTGTACCGAATACCAGGCACTAAAGACGGGATTACTACAGAAAATGTGGAACCATCCACTGTCTTATTTATGTGGTATCGACTTTCATTGCCAAGGCACCAGACCTGCAAGGAAAAAAAGCAACTCTCATGTGCACATAGGCTTTGAAATAAATAAATAATGATATAAAATGTGCCATATGGCATTTACTGATTTACATAGCAAGCTGCATTTAGCTAAGTTAATAGCTCTGTTGTAAAAGCTGTTAATAAACTGATATAAACACTATTAAAAACAAGCCATCTGAATAACTATCTGAATAAGGTTACCTGATAATATACAACACTTCTTCTATTTTTGAAATTTCAAAACTGTCCATATGTTAAGTATTAATGCAGCAAAATTCAATAGTCTACAACTGTGGGAAATAATACATGGCTTTCCCCAAGGTCCATTGCATTAGTAAACTGTTATTCTACTCCTTGCCTAGTATGCAGAGAATACAATTTCATCTGTAACACTCTAAACAGACTCAAACAGGAATGAACAACATTCTTTATAAGGATATACCACATTAATTATTGGTGTAGTGCATATGGAAGGCACTGACACATCACTCTTGGCAGGGATAAGTTACCCATGGCTCACTTCCATAAAGTAGTACGCTCAGCATGCAAGTCTGGTAGACCTTCATCTTACATCCTTATACACTGCTGAATAATAGCTGCCCTTCCTTTTTTGGCACATAACGTACTAGTGGCAAATCTTGAAAACAAAAAATTCTGCTGTGGAGACTTCTGGATTTGTGGGCAAAGAATTCTGGAGGAATTTCTAGATAGTTCATTTTTAAAATGTACCCCCTAGAGCAGTGATGGCCAAACCTGGCCCTCCAGCTGTTTGGGGACTACGACTCCCATCATCCCTAGTTAACGGGACCAGTGGTCAGGGAGGATGGGAATTGTAGTCCCAAAACAGCTGGGGGGCCAAGTTTGCCCATCACTGCCCTAGAGTCAAGTCACTTGACTAGTGAAACACTAGCGAGTACGTTGTTACATTCCATTATAGAGGCCTGTACAGTGGTACCTCTGGTTACGTACTTAATTCGTTCCGGAGGTCCGTTCTTAACCTGAAGCTGTTCTTAACCTGAAGCACCACTTTAGCTAATGGGGCCTCCCGCTGCTGCTGCTGCTGCGCCGCCACCACGCGATTTCTGTTCTCATCCTGAAGCAAAGTTCTTAACCTGAGGTACTATTTCTGGGTTAGCGGAGTCTGTAACCTGAAGTGTATGTAACCTGAAGTGTATGTAACCCGAGGTACCACTGTATATGTCTTCATTAGCGTCTCAGGCATTGGTCTGGTTAACACAAAATGCTAAGCCAGAGACGAACAAACCAACCATGGCATTTCTCCAAATAGTGTTTTAATATGCACAAGGTAAAAAACTTTTCTCATGTGCTTGGAAGGCAACCAACTTTTCTTGCTGACTTTATCACTTTTGCTTTCTCTACTAATGATGTTTCTATTACGTTTTCATTTCTAGTTGTGTAATAATGTTTTAAATTATATATATATAATTATGTCCTTATGTGTATATAGTACAGCATTGTTGGCTGCTCCATGTTCCTACTGGGAGGAAGGGCAGGATACAAGTATGAGGAGAGAATACCTGACCTGGGGAAAGGAAGTTGACTAGAAGGGATGGAGGGCAGCAGTGGAAATAAATTGAAAACATTGTAAGATAAAAACAGATTAGAAATATGATAGATTGTTTTATATTATTGCACAGTGGCAAATGTAAAGAATGTAACATGATAGAAATTACTCTTATGTTTTCCTAACAGTGCTTCCAAAAATCTTCACATCAGCCATGTTCTTATCAATAAGAATTTTTTAAAACTAGAAGTAAAATTAGTACATTTCCTATATTCCTAAAATGACAAAATCTTACGCTTGGCTTACTCTTATGTATGTCCATTTCTTATGATAACTTACTGGTGTCATAATATGCTTGTACACAGTCACTATTCTCTTTTAATTTACGCCTGCAGTTCTCTTATAAAGTAAAAGCAGGTGAGCAGTTTAAGAGTGAATTAGCATACTTTATAGGTTTCTGATTGCACATCAATATGTTTATTTACTAGTACAACACAAATGCATATATGAAAATTTTAAACGAACAGACTTAAAAGATACGGGCATATCCTTTTATTATGGTTTGATTTTTACCACCAGATGGAGCCAAGAAACCACAAACAAATTCTCTGTCAATGGCTTGCCAATAATTTGCCAGGTTAGAACTAGATATTACCTTGTATTCCTGAACCATCCCATTCTGCGTCTCCTCTGGGGGAGGTTGCCATGTTATTACAATCGCAGTGCCATTTCCATCGTTCTTAGTTACTGAAACACTTTGTGGAGGAGCACTTGGAGCTGTTTGTGGGAAGAAAGGATGGTTGTGATTAAAGCTGTTTTTTCTGTTTCATTGTCACTGAGCAGTGCTTTTAAAAGGCTACAGCTAAGGACGCAGACAAAACTGATTTGGCGACACGCAGATGTATTTTTCTGTATATAAGACGCCCCCTACTTTTGGGGACCCCAAATTTAGAAAATGGGCATATGCACTATCCATGTATAAGACGCCCCCAGATTTTTAACCTTATTTTAAAGTAAAAAAATCCTAGTTTTATATATGGAAAAATACGGTAATTACAATAAGTGATTGAAGAAGATTCATGAAGAATATTTGTCCCGTGGTATCAGAGAATCTGGTCAAGTGGGCTTTTGAAGATATAATACTAGTTTTGAAAAGTTTCTTCAACAAGATGCCTTGACAATCTTTTTTGAGGGGGAGGGGTATAATTTAAAACAAACTATTTCCCAAAGGTTGATGTGATAAACTGAAGACATGATGATCCAAATACCTCAAATATTAACTGAGTTTCTGTAAATCAAAGAAAGAGTATACAAATCGATTACAATAATAATAATAATAAAACAACAACTCTGGACAACATCTGAGACCTATTTAAAATGTCTATAGCTTTGATCATGCTTTGGAGTTTGTATAAGAAAACAAAACAAACCAAGTGCACAAACAGTGGTTACAGACTTAATGTAATGAACCAGCTACTAATGATCACAAATTGCCCGTGTGCACATGATCTGTACAAGAAAATCCACACTGTTCATCCTTCATATGTTGGTGGTTTGTGTTTGGATACAAAATAAGCTCTCCAATTAAATATTTGAACTGACCCCAAAACAAAGCAAAACAAAACAGGCAGGCAATTTAGCTGTGAGTGCCCATTCTTTTTCTTGGTCTAAGGACAGACCTACAAAAGGAAAGAACAGAAGAACCACAAAATGACTTTGGGCTCATATAGAATGAATATTCCATGATCAATAAGGAAATTGTTCTATTGGCCCCTGGAATTACTAGAAAAAGGTTCAAGTGCAGAAGAATGTACCTTGCAAAGAAATACTACATCAAAAACTGAAGGGGGAGAAGGGTATTGTGTCTTACACAGACCCATTCCACACATCAAACGTTTTGTTTTCCAGATCCATGGGCTCAGAAGACCCATCACAATCAACCACTTTCCACTCAGCACTTAGAATTCTACATACTCTAGCTCTACCTATATCAGGCATTATGTTTAGCATCCACAGAGGTGTAATCACATTTGGTGGGGTGGGGAGAGGGGGTTTGTTGAGCATATTTATATATAACACATACCAATAGGAAGGAGGCTAAGTGTTGCTAATTTAACTCATGCTTATTGTCTTCATTCATGATCTTCAAATCTCTTATCATAACTAGTGAAGATAGGAAGTCCCCTAATAGGTAAACCGCAGCTCTTTCATGGTTACAGCAGCGTCTGCCATCTACTCTAGACAGTGATTTTCAAGTGTCTGAATTTGACACAAAGTCATTTGTGACCAGACCATGAACTCAACAGAAAGAGACGGAGGGGAACATCACAGTTCCTATTATGTCTTTGAGGGGATTTCCCATTCACATGCTTTTGAATATTTACTTCTGTGTCAACAAACAAATCACATAATGATCAGACCTATGCATTGACAGTTCTCTTTCGTGGCAGAGGGCTGAGTTCCAATAAAAAAAACACACTTCAAAGAACATCAAGCCATAAATACATCAGGGGGAAACAGGCAAAAAAGTAATTCAAAAAGATAATATGAAGACAGCCATGCTGCTACTTGCCTTCTTCCAGAGTTTTGGCAAATTTCACTTCACTATCAGCTCCTTGAAACTCGTTAAAAAAAGGTCGAGCTTTGATTTCATAGTTCACTCCTTTTTTGAGCTCAGGAATCACAACACTGTTTTTTGTTGGTGTCCTTACTTCAAAAATCAACCACTCAGATTCTCCTTGAGAACCAGGTGTTGGCCTGTACAAAATTTTATATCCCTGAATATATTGGGATTGTTGGTCAACCTTAAACGTGGAGATAGAACAGCCATATTAATACATTAGTAAGCATCAAGTGTAAACAGTTTTAGGTGCTAATACATGTTAGCAGTCACAGAAAAGCATGGAGCTTGCTCATTTTTGCATTTCCCCTGTTTCTTGGAAGTTTAATACTACTAACCTCAAATGGCAGCACAGCTCTGTTTGACTGTGGTCTAATAGGCTACTTTAAAAACACTGAAGTGATAGCACTTGCCCAGTAGGATTTTATTTATTTTTCTCTGAACATTAGGCCCTCATGACATATTGCAAACTGTTGTTGAAAGTCCCTTTCATTTTTCTTGTTGCACATTGGACAATAGAAATTGAAAGCACCCTGAGACATGGGCAGAGAGTTTGGATTAAACATAAGAGATCCAAGTTAAATAGATATGCATTGTGTATTTTTTTATTCCCAAAGCTTTTATTTTCAATCTTATTGTATGCCCCTCTCACCATACACTTTAAAAACAACAACATATTCCTGGGTTTTTTTTGTTTAAGGCTGCCCTGTTCTGCTCACGTGCAAATTCTAAGAAGAAGAATCCCGCATTCCTGCATTGCAGGGGGTTGGACTAGATGACCCTTTGGTCCTTTCCAACTCTGCAATTCTATTATTATAAGAATCAGCAAAGTCTCTCAAGAAGAAGAAAATATGTGAACTGAAAAATGTAGCAAACTGCAAATGATCCTTCTTTGAACATGACATCAGAATGCAACCCAACGAGTGTATGTGTGCACGTGTGTATAGCCTGCTTATTAATGAATAGCAATTAATGCTACTAATGCCTCCAAGGCAGCTTATCAACATCTGTTCAGAGTTTATCATGAGTATGTTGTTGTATTTTGTATGCTGTTGGGAAAATTCTTTTTATAGGCTACTAGCACTTTTGCTTTACTTACTGTCCAATGAACTTCAATTGAGGAAGAAGAAAGGATTGTAGGATTATGGAGATGTAGAACAACATCACCCAGCTCCCGCTGTACTTGTTTGTGATCCACACCCTGACTTGTAGGTGGAACATCTGTAACAATTTCAACAAACTATTGTTAACCTTAAAAGATACATGACAGAGACTTGAAAAACAGGTTTGATTGTACCACTGAGTGTATATTTTGCATTGCATTCAAAATAGAATGGGGACACAATCAAGAAATAAATCAAGGATCAATAAATTGGGTTGGGAATTATTTTGGATGGCTTTGGTGGCCAATCAAGTTTGTGATTGCCAAGATACTCCCCTCTCTCAAGGTTTGGGGTCTTGCACCTAATTTTCCGCTGCAGCTTTGAAATAAACACAGAGCCAAGGAGGAACTGAAGTGTCTCTATCTGTCATCTTCCTCCAGCTCAGGGCATGCTGTCTTTCTTTGCCTCTGAACCTGCTGGGCAGTTGGAGCTCCAACTACCTAGCAGGCAAAGAGACAAGCTTCTGTGCCTGCAACATTACTCTGCAGTACGCCTACATTTTCCATATTTCCAAGCCATTATAATTGGAGCAGCAATGGATGTGGTTTGAGCATCTGCAGTGGAAAGGGGAATTAATGAAAATTGGGGTGCAACTTGCATGTGTGGAAGTTCTTTTCCACTGTTGCAGGGTCCTGTTGGAGCCAATTGGATAAAATGTTGTTATATACGAAGAGAAGCATTTCAAGTGGGTCAAGTATAGTTCAATTAGTGTAGCACAAAGTTTGGAATAATCTTCTGAATTAATAATAGTAATATTGATTTTTCTTGGTATACCCCCAACAATATCTTTGGCAGACAAAAAAGTAGCTCATCTCAATGTATAACCTTAACACTGTGTCTGTTCTGAAATAATCCATGACTTCTGCCCTTAGTCCTTGGATAGCCAGTGCCCATAAAAATAAAGAATTCTAGGGTAGATGGATTAATGATCTGACTCAGTTTAAAAGCATCTGCTTATATTTTATCTCTCATAAAATGGTACTGAATGCCACACAAATGTATTTTGGCATTGCGGCTTGTTTTCCCCACCCCATTATGCTGGAAGGCAAGTGAATGACTTGATTTCATGACAACTTATGTTTAGTTAGCATAGCACCTAACTTTTAATTGTAATAAACAGATGATTTTTGAAAACTACTAACTCTGCTGGCACATTTTCTCAGAGAAAACTGTGTACCGGTACTTATCCAGATTTTGATTTGATGTGAAGCTACAGAGGCTACTGCCCAGAAATAAACTGTTTAGATTAAAAAGTGGTTTGTTTCTCAGTAGGATCTGCTATAGATGTTTCCTCAGCATTAAGCCCCTTTTTGGTTGACAGCCTTGTTATCTATTGCTGCATACAGAACAAGAGCAGATAGTGTATTAACATTATTTCCTAAAATGGGTGTTTCTTTTCCGTTTCCTTTCAGTGAAGCATATCTAAACAAATGGTTGTCTTTAGTTCAGTCTTAAATACATGTTTTACCTTGTGTTTTCACTGGGTCAGATATTTGGCTGGGATCACTAATTCCATATGCATTGGCTGCCCTCACAAGGAAGAGATAAATTGCATTTGGTTTCAGACCTTTAACTGCAAATGTTTCTGTTTTCACATTTTCTGCTACAGTTTGCCAGCTGCTGCCAGCTGCATGGCTAGGGATAAAGCACACACACAAGCAGAAACAGGTTAGTACATGCCTGTAGTTTAAGAACCTAAAACATAAGCACAACCAGATCACATAAAGACATCATACCTGAACGCCTCTATTATATAAGAGGTTGGAGTTGCACCTGAATTCAAATTAGGCTTCCATGATAGTGTTACTGTATTTTTGCTGACGTCTGTAACTTCAGGTTTTGATGGTGCACTGGGAATCAAGTTAGGGTCAGTGGGTCTTGGTGGCTGCACTGGAACTCCAAATTCTAGTGAACAGTGATAAAAGTTCAAAGACATATGCTCATCAGTGTGCTCACATTAGTATATATCATTTATTACATAATCAGAGAGCCATTAGACTGTAATTACTCATTTTTATAGTTTCTCCTCTATCCAGATTTACCTTGGACTTCAATGTAAGCACTCCATGATGCTTCACCACTTGGGGTGGAGGCAATGCACGTGTACCGACCAGTGTCACCCAGCTGAAGGGGGGGGGGGGAGAGAAAGAAAAATATCTGAAGTAGTCTGAGACACAGAAGATTTGATGTCCCAAATGAATATGCATTAACTCACCCAAAGTTCCCCAAGTGAAAATTTGTTAGAAGAAAGTGATACTCATATACACTAAATTCAAATGCAATAGTTGAGCTCAAATTTTAATTGGGCTTCTGTACTCATCATAGAATACAGGATTAAAATATTTTTTTCCATATGTTCTATGTTGTGGTCCCTGAAGACCTCATTGATTGGGTGGTGGTCTATAGCCCAACTTCTCAGTGCGCATTTGTAGTCCTTTTAAAGAATACACCAGAGGTTGCTAGGAGGAATACCTCTCCACCATCAATCAATGTGACATGGTGTGTTAGCCCACTTTTTCTGTTGATGGGGACAATAACATTTCTGCTTTTCTGGAGTCATGTTGTGGCATCTGCCTAGATACTTTAATGTCCTCAAGCCGTGGACTGATTCTGTCTAATGATTGGACCCTCCTGGACACAAAGAGTTATAAGAGGACTTCCTGTTCCAGGTCAAGTAACAAGGTCTTCTTGAATTCTCACATACTTCTGCTGTATTATTTGGTCCTTATTTTTAGCTCGCTCGTTAATTCTTTCACTTGGTTTGGTCCTAACTATTTGCTCTGCCACACATAGCTACTGCTTCCAGGCTCCCTGCTCACATCAGGCTTCTGCCAGCAGGTGTACTCTTGACAGTAGTCTCAGTTCCTCTCCATGGCTTCTTTCACAAAGACATCAGGGAGATCTCTCTCTCTCTCATTTTCAAAGCTCATACAAGGGCAAGGTTTTTATTGAGGCTTATTTTATCATCCCTTTTTATCTACAACCTATTTCTGGTCTCCTGGCAGATGATATGCCTTCTTTAGATACAGAGATTGAAAAGAACTTTTATGTTTTTCTATATAGATAGCCCATAAACCAGCATGGCCAACAGTCAGAGATTATGGCAACTGTGGTCCAGCAATAGCAGGAGGGCCACAGTTTCCACACCTTTGCTTTAAATATGATCTTTAGAAGTGGGTTAGGGAAAGACCCTACAGATCTAGAAAGTTACCCATAATCATGTTTCCTATATAGCATCTGATATATCCATCTTCATTTCCATTTCCCATGTCCGCTCCAAAGCACTTGGGACAGGGATGGGAAATATCTCTCAGGGAAATTCATCACACTATATTGACGCGTCTGTGTACGTGTCCATGTATGGAAATGTGAGGTGCTCAGTGAGTGTGCATTATCTGGTAGGATATTTGAGACATGTGACTATGTATATGAATGGGTCTTTAGCGATGTGTGGATGAGAGGAACAATATTTTTATGGTGTGTTTGGTGGGGGACGTATGAATGAGATAAAATGATTTATTTCATATAAAATTTATATACAGTTTGATTGCAAAAAGGTATATGTGTGACACTCTGTTTAGTAGAAAAGAGCAGTGCAGGATGGGGGTTTAAAGTAACATAAGAGAATGTCCTCCATAGTTTCATATTAACAGCAGAACCAAGAGATTGGTACAGCTGTGCCAGGTCCAGTGTTTTGAGGGGCGCGATACTGAGAAGCTGCCTGTCTCCAGTGCCTAGGCTTCAGCAGCTGGCCATGACTAGGCAGAGCTATCTTCAGCCCAGCTCCCCTACTGCTTTGGAGTAGACTGCCTGGTCTCAGTGACACAAAGTTGGCTCTCAGCTGTGCTAGATGTGGACATATGATGATCCAAAAGGAAGCTGTTTTGCAGTGCTTCAGCTTTTGGAAAGGAGCTGGAATGATGAAGCAGTAAGGAGTCAGACACCCACCGGTCAAGCATGTTGAAGGAGTGAGCCAGCAAATAGGAAGAAGAAGAAAAACTGCTGGTAGAAGTGCATAGCAAATACATGAAGCTCACAGGTGCCTGATCTGTGGCTGCAGGTGCCTGCTTGGGTTACTGTGTGTGCGTAAAAAGTTGTTTGCTGCAGCCTCTGGAAGAGGGGACGGAAGCACCAGCAATCACCACTGACTCATACTCAGGATAATTATAGAGTTGAGACGCAGGATTTCTGAAGACAGAAGTGGGGGTACTTCAAAATATTTCCTTCATATGATTCCTTTGCTGCTTTGTTGTTTTTAGGAAGTGCTTGTGCTCTGAGTAATTCTGATTGTTTATCAAGGTTGTCAAACTTGGGGGGTTGCTATAAAATATCAGAACTGTACAATTTTGATGTTAAAGCATGGGATATGCTTTCCTGGTTCTGTGCATGTTTATTTCTCTCTGCATAGCCTGTGAATTCTGCATTTTAGCTTTGCAGCAACCCTGTGAGGTAGGTTAGGCTGAGAGGTGGTTCAGTAACCAATGTTGCAAAATTGCACATGCACAGAAAATCTTTCTTTTTGTTGTTTTCAAGGTTGGAAAACTTCTCTTTTATTTTTCTGTGAAATATCAGAAATGTGGAATGTTAAAATTAAAGTAATTGAAGTGGGAAGAGCTGCTTTACTGGCTTTGTATCTCTTTATTTTGCTTTACATGGTCTGTGAATGCTGCATTGTAATTGTATGTTACTTTCTCTCCTAAGAGCTCAAAGCTGTGTACAGAGCTGTCCTTTCACAACAACACTGTGAGGTAGATTAGACTGAGTTCTTGCCAATAAATTGCCAGTGAAGAACTGAGGAGGGCCAATCCATGCACAGCACACCAGGCTCAAAAAATCATTTTGGTGTACCTAATTATATATGTCTCTGAAAACTACGTGCTTCATGCTGTTTTTGTATATTTCCAAGCACTACAGTTAACTTCACAATGCTTACTGGATGTTTACTTAGGAAACTTTAAAGTATTCACTGTCCATGTAGCTTCTCTCTAACATGTGGCCTTTTAACACATAGGTCAGATCCTAAATTGCCTGTAGACAGAAGCTGTATCAGATCTTTAACAAAAATTAATTAGAAAAAATACTTTTCTGGTGATGCAGAGGCAAAATTGCATAGCCTTGTGACTTTCCCGTCCCCCTCTACATCCCATGAGATAGCTTCTGTTTCTATGAGCTCCATTAAGTTATTATTATCATTAGTAAACAGGCAGCAGTTCCCAGAAGAGGGTGTGCACGTGCTATGTTTGCTAGAGGAAACGATAGAGGATTATAATTTCCTAGAGGTTAGGTTCCATTTAGAAAACAATGGTAGAAGTAAATCTTGCCAAGTTTTAAAATGCTGAGTTGTGAAATTTTTTAGGTAAACCCTGCAGAAAAAAACCCTACAGGAATATTAACTATTGCTAAAGAGAGTGTGATATGACTCTACTACAAGGACAGTGCAACAATGCATTTGCATATGAAGTTAAAGGACAAATTATTTGAATGTCATTTTTACTTTCTTTTGTGAATAAAATAATTGCAGTTTCTGGGCATGGAGTGGGCTGGGAGATGACCTCAAGACCCAGAGGCGTAGCATGTGCAGGGTGAGGGGGCCTATTGCCCCGGGTGCAGGTTTTTTCCAGCTTTGTGAGTCCGATCCCACATCCCAGCCTTGCAAAGCAGTGTGGGGCTAGCTGGGCATCAGGAGAACGCAGTAGGCATGCACCCTGCCAATCAGGACATCAGGAGAATGCAACAGGCATGCGGCCTTCTAATCAGACCATTTGGGCTGATTGGAAGGGCATGAGCCTGCTCTGCTGCATCCCCATGTCACCCTTCCAGCCCGTGCTAAACAGACTGACTGGAAGTTTGTGTGCTTGCCCTCTTGCTATGTCCTCATGTCGCCCTCCATGCTCCTTGGCCCCGGCTCGCCCAGGGAAGACTAGTTCCACCGCTGCTCAGGACTGATATTTTAAATTCCATATGATATCCCATCCTTCTTTATTAAAAGGTAAGAAAGATGCTTAATCAATGAAACTGCTTGCAGGAGAATTAGGGGCTTCCTTTTGCCCCCAAAATATCACAGGTTTCTTCAGGGAGAAAAAACACCATTGAGTCACTATGCTAGAAAAGAAACTAAGTGAGGACTTCATCACAGTTCCACCGTAAAATAATAAAAATGTTGATAATAATAATAGATATAATAATATAATAATATGACGTTAGTTTTTGCTCCATTTGCTTGTCCATATGTATTGTAAGATTTTAACGTCCACAGCTGAAGTTGAAAATGTTTTTGGAACTGACTTGGATAACACAGACAGCATATAGTATAATCTGTCAAACACCAGGCACAGCCCACCTGAAACTGCCTCTAAATACACACAACTAAAGATTAAACCACTCTAAAAAGGTCAATCTAAAAGTTAAAAAAACACCACCGCCAAACGGAAGAGTTCAGTAATTCTGTGCTGGCATAAAGTGTTGCTTGGGCAGGTAACTACATGGTTTCAGGTAATGTATTGTATGAAAAGATGTCTTTACATTTGGCCTAACTACATGAACCAAGTTATCCTAAGGCAAAACACCTAGCAAGTAAAAACAGGTGTTCATATTCCTTGGAAAAACGCAAACCATTTTGCTACAACTTGTCTCAAAGGAATAACACATTGACCAAGCATGCTTCCATAAACCCTCCGGAAGCCAGCTCTGTATTCGGTTATTTTAATCTTAATAATCTTTCCTGCATATGTATAGGTAGTAAAAAAGGGGGGGCAGGAAGCACGAGGACAATAGGGATAACTTCTAGTAGAGAAATTATAATAAATGAACTGTAGAGAATATTTTGAAACAATACAATTGTATAGCTTTCATGTTATGCAAAAACACTGGAGCTTGTTTACTGTTCACATGCCTGCCAGCAAGTGAAACAGGGATTCAAAACATTTATGGTTACAACCAGGACTAAAGGGAGAAACGAGCTAATGGGAAGGCACATATGGCAGACCCTCACCGTGATCAATTCCCACCCGGAAACCTATGTCCCCACTGTGGAAGGACGCATGGATCCAGAATTGGCCTCCACAGTCACTTTTGGACTCACTGTTAAGACCTTGTTCATGGAAGACAATCTTACTTGGCTATGAGTGATCACCAAAGAAGAGGATTCCTAAGCATTGCTGCACCACCATCCCATCTTCTATGTTTAAACAGTTTTCTAAATTAATTCTTCTTAGAAGAATCTTACTTATGAAAACTGAAATAACTTGCCAGCGGCTCTGTTATAATCTAAGGTACTTTGGGAATGCAGAATAAGCTATCTCAAGACACGAAGAAGCAAATAAAGATGATATTAATACAGTTATTTAACATTTCATTAATTCTAAAATTAGAGGCTGCAATGTTCAGGGCCTCAAGGCAAGCAAAGTTAAAAAGAATTGTGTGGTTTCAGTTTCAAACTACCTTGGCATATCGAATCTGTAATGCACCAGTTTCCAGCTGCTTGATGCGGGAATCCTGTGTGGATATGAGGGTGCCATCCTTTCTCCAGAGAATTGTTGGCATTAGAGTGCCTGCAGCCACACAGCTGAGTACTAAAGTACCATCCACAGCGACAGTCTGATTCACAGGACCTTGTCGAATGACAGGGGGAGGCCGGTCGGCAATAACTGGCAGAAGAAACAACAGGGAAGGGAAAAAGTTTTATGCAACTGGAAGTGATTTTCTAATCTTCTAAGCAACAGTGGTTGCTTCAGGCTTTACAAGAATCTAAAGATAATTAAATAAGTAATGAAAATAAAGCATGCAATATTCAGGGGACAATAATATGGTGTTCAACTACAGAATATGTGTTAATATCCAGCAATATTTTTTTAAGGAGAAAAGGCAGTTCCCTGCATTTGACTCTTCCAGACATGTGCTTGGCTCCAACAACCTTAGAAGAGAAAACAACTCTGACAAAGTTTCCCACCTTCTTTGAAAGATGCCCCTTTCTCTAGTCCAGCCTCCTTCATCTAGATTCTTCTAATGCCATTAATGAGTTAACTTTTTCAATGATCAGCCAGTTGATTTGTTTCTTGATATGTGTGCAAACCACTATTAGATTTCATCAAAATTATTATGCAACACTATCAGTTGGTGGAATCTAGCTCCACTTAAAAAGCTCTATTATTTTCTGACTGATGCTGCAGCGTTCTTACTGTTTTGGAAGGATACCTTTGAACTGAAATAAATGTCACAATAAAACTTAACAGGTGCAGTTCAGAGGTCACAAATTCAGCCCAATAAACTTTTTTTGGGGACTAGGAAAAGCCACGTCTCACACGTTTCCCATATAGTGAAGATATTCTGTTTTTCAATACCACAATTTCCTGTCATGTCTAATTAACCAGGATCTGATCCTAGTTTTATATCCAGGTTTTCTTATGCTACATTTTACCACCAGATATCATGAGAAATTGTGGTTTAAGAAACCAGATTATCTTTACCAGAAGATGCATAAGGCACATGAAGGGAGACTGAACTGTGAGATGAGGAACACAGCTCATTTCAAGACATCCAGATTCAACACACTATGAGTGCTTGATAATTTGAAAGGTAAATTGAAGTTACAATTGCCTAAGCAAAAACACATTAATCTTATCAAGTAATGTCTCTCCCACATTAAATCATACTTATGTGTAGTGCAATCAAATGCATTTTCACCTTAAAAAACACCTTATATAGTAGAAAGCATATAAACTCAAAATCATGTTGTTACCACGCTAGAGTTACCATTCTGCTACATTATAAGCAAAGTTAAATTAAACACCTTACCATCAGTAACCTCCAAGTATGCTTTTGTCGTGATGCTTCCCGCAACATTTAAAGTCTGGCAAATATAATAGCCAACATCAGATCGCTGGACATTTGTAATAGTGAGGTCACCCGTTTGAGAGACAGAAAACCGGCTGGAAGACTGAGGAGGTTGGTATGAAAAAAGCAAGTTCTGGAATATAAGGAGAAAAAGTGGGAAATCAGCAAGTTAGATGGATTAGCCTTCATAGATATATACAACTTTAAAATTCAGAATAACCTATATTATGAAGGTTATAGGACCATTTTTCAGATACAAAAGTGATGCTGCAACACAGTCCACCACTCAAGATAGATGTGACTAAACACTGAAACTTGGATTCCCATGGGCCACAACAACAAATAATACATTGGTTATAACAACATATCTAAGACTGCAATGCTAACCACACTTATTTGAGAATGTCCCATTGAACTTCTTTTTGATTCAATACTCAAGGATATATGCAGCCCCAGTGCTAATTACCAGATGTTTGCAACGTACAGCTGTGAACATAAACTTAAAAGTGCCAATATATTTAAGGGAAGGATGGTATTAGGTAGAACCAGTCTAGATAGACCATAGCAAGTGCATTATTGCTGCAGTTTGGTAGGGTTTTGATCTAAAGCCATATAATAGTTCTCTTCATGAGCTGGGGGGAGACTGTTATTTTTATATAGGAGAGTGTATCTTATTATACTTTTAGACAATTTTTGTGGAGTAAATGTCCATAATTGTCAGTGCTTTTTTTCCTAAAAGAAAATGTTTAGGGATACTCTCATTTTCCTATCCATATTGAAATACTGCCCCTCAATGAGGCCAAACTTAGATTCACAAAATGTTTAGGGGTATGTGTACCCCTGCGTCCCCCCAGAAAAAAAGCACTGATAATAGTTATATGGAAGCTATTCAGATGGGACAGTATGAGTACTGTGTGCTAGGGAGAATGGCCATCAATTTCATTGACCACTGTTATAAGCAGAATACTGGACTAGAGGAACTGAACCATCTGTCCTGTTTCATGCAAACATGATCAAACATGTCTATCATATACAGGTAACTTGCATCATATGCTAAGTTTACTTATTGTGATTGCACACATAAGGAGGAGAAATAAATAAGTAAATGGGGAAAGGAGGAAACACATTTTCCATTTATTTTTCCTCTCTCTCACTAGCACACTGCTGTGATTGGAAGGCTTTCTGTGCTTTGGAGAGGCAGCAGGAGGGCCAGGTAAGCAGCTTCCACCTTGCGGGCGGAGAATCACCTCTGGAGGTTCCTGACTTTACATGTTATTTGCATTTATGCATAGACCTCTGGAACAAAACCATCACACATGATATGAGTTACAAAACCATCACATACGATACGAGTAAAACCACATGTAATAAGAATGCAAATATATGAATTATAATTTCAAATATATGTCAAGCTCTTTTTTGTAGTATAAACTTACTAAAAACACTAACAAAATGCTGTCTGCTTATTAGTATATGAAATAGTAGACTTCTGGCAGTTGAAAGAGACTACCATTTATTATTATCTTTATTCTCACATTTTAAAAAACCCACCTCTTTGTATTTTTTATTTTTCCCCCCTTCTCTTTGCCTTGACATGTATCTAGCTCTTGATACCCAATGGGGTTTTGGACATTCTTATAGTACAGTACCTCCCTCCCTGTATCCACGACATACACTGTATGACAAACCACAGATGAAACAAAAAAGAAATTGTGCTACTATAATTGATCTGAACAGAATTTCACATACACTTGGAATCAAATGCCAGATTCACTTTTCCGTGTCTAACTAAAATATATTTAAATGCTTCATTTCATAGAGGAGGGCTTTTAGTACTTTTCTCTTCCAATTAAGCTTTATATTCCAAACAAATAGGATACACTGTGTTTCATTTCATGCTAAGCACTAACAGATCCCTATCATGGTTCTTTTCCTTCTCATTTTCTTGCTACCCATTGGCACCTGTTCAACAAAGTTGATTTAAAATCCCCCCTCAGCTTGACTGAAAATTCTGTCTCAGGCCACATGCTATATTTTAAAAAAATTAACTGGAATATCTTGAACTGTACACAGTCCTGAAGCATGTACTACAGCCTACAAAATTCTTGAGAAGCTTCCTGGTTTTTCATCCTGCATGGGACAATTGACAGGGAACAGAGGGGTCAGTGTAAAGCCAGGATGTATGTTGAGTTTGCCAAGGAATTAGACACTTTTTACTAGTCCTGACTTTTTACAACAACCAGGTAACGTAGGCAGAGCTTACACACATATTTTGAAAAAAATCAAACGAGCTTAGCCAGTCATCCAACAGGCACTTGGAGGATGTTGGTTCAGGAGAGCACTGGGCACTAGCAGACAAAAATGGGCCTTGTGTTATCTAGGTGCTTTGGCAAAGCTTCAGAATGTTCGTTTTACCTGACTTCCTTCTCTTCGCCAAAATATTGCTGGTTGAGGGTTTCCAGTTGCTTCACACTGGAAAGTTACAGTTCTGCCCAGTGCAGCCACCTGGTCACGAGGTTTCACAACAAAATGTGGTGGTTCTGAAAGAAGCGAAGTACAACACAATTACACCGATTAATTCGTAGCTGAGGTGAATGGTTTTCTGTTAAGGGTCTTGTGCATCACATCTAACGCACACAGAAAGGTCCTTTTTAAAATAAAGACTATAGTGCTCAGGTTCAACACTGTTTTAACAAGGGCTGATGTTTATAGACACACCTGTTTGTTAAAACCATAAGAGTGTGTGTGTACACTCTCTTTAACTGAAGCATCACACAGCCCTATTGCCTTCAGTAACTCTTCTTGAGAACGTAGTTTGGTGGTAAAGTGCTGGTAGGACAAAAGGTTGAAGGCATTTTTATCAGTCACAGCATAAGAAAAGAAAACTTCCCTCACATCACTGTACTATGTACTCTTAAAGTAAAAACCACAAAATGATTGCAAATTCAGGGGTTAGATACACAAAAGTCATCATCTTTGATTTACTGTAGTTCAGAAGTCATTTAATAGCTTCCATAAGAGGCTTGATTTCTGATGTAGGATGAAATGCTCAGGAAAAAAATTCAATTTAACTCAAAAGCCCTAGGATTGCTACTGAGTAAATTATAACCATTTAAAAATCTTCAATGCAATTACTGAAGAGGAATGAATTTAAAGCAACGGTGAAGCAGAATGCCTCCTTCATTTACATAGGCAAGGGCATGTTCAAACAAAATATATATGTAAATGAAGGCGAATTTGAAACATCTGCTCATCGTGACATTATAAATACTGCCAGCATTGTCCAAACTGTTTGATTTATACAGACTTAAATGGCCACTTCATCTAGCAGTAAATAGAACGTCAAAAATTATGTCAGATGCATTAAGCTATGGCAGTTAAGTATATTAGGCACAGTGACTGAACTAGAGTAGAAAATATTCTTTTTAAAACCCTGTTTCAGCTTACCCTCTTATGCTGCAGAAACAATGGCTTAAATGAGATCTTGCTGATTTATATTTTTCAGATCTTTCACTCCTTTACTATTTAAAAGAAGAATTTTTCTCAACCCTTACTGATTGTGATAAGGCATCTCACAATCAAATGTAGGTTGGGCTTTTAAGACCCACCCCCCGTCATTATTTATCCAAAAACACTTTATATTGTTGGTATTTTGTTATAGTTGCCTGTAGCATGAATGCCAAGGAATCACAAAACTTAAATTCTTTTAGGGAAGATATGGGCAGGGTGTTGTTATTTTTTAAGTGTATAAATATCTTATACTGTGATGAGATTCACAGAAAACCAGGTTGTCTAAAGTTCAGCATTAGGTAAATGGATTCTAGACTATCAGATTTATGTTAACTATTAAAAGTCTGACTTCTGAAGAACAAAATTGCCTTATGAAGTCTTTTGGTTAGTGCAAGCAAATTACCGTATTTTTCGCTCTATTGGACGCAGTTTTTCCTCTCCAAAAATTGAGGGGAAATGTGTGTGCGTCCTATAGAGCGAATGCAGGCTTGTGCCATAGCCGCGCGCAACCCCTCCGGCAGGGAGAGGCTGCACGGGGCTATGGCTTCTTTAGCCCTGCGCAGCGTCTCCCGGCAAGGAGAGGCTGCACGGGGCTAAAGGGGAAGCCAAAACAGCGAGCGGGATGGATCCCGCTCGCTGCCTTGCCTTCTTCCATAGCTGCGCGCAACCCCTCCGGCAAGGAGAGGCTGCACGGGGCTAAAGGGGAAGCCAAAACAGCGAGCGGGATGGATCCCGCTCGCTGCCTTGCCTGCTTCCATAGCTGCGCGCAACCCCTCGGGCAAGGAGAGGCTGCATGGGGCTATGGATTCTTTAGCCTCACGCAGCCTCTCCCAGGAGGTAGAGGCTGCACGGGGCTAAAGGGGAAGCCAAAACAGCGAGCGGGATCCATCCCGCTTGCTGCCTTGCCTTCTTCCATAGCTGCGCGCAACCCCTCCGCAAGGAGAGGCTGCGTGGGGCTAAAGGGGAAGCCAAAACAGCGAGCGGGATGGATCCCGCTCGCTGCCTTGCCTGCTTCCATAGCTGCGCGCAACCCCTCGGGCAAGGAGAGGCTGCACGGGGCTATGGACTTTAGCCTCACGCAGCCTCTCCCAGGAGGTAGAGGCTGCACGGGGCTAAAGGGGAAGCCAAAACAGCGAGCGGGATCCATCCCGCTTGCTGCCTTGCCTTCTTCCATAGCTGCGCGCAACCCCTCCGCAAGGAGAGGCTGCACGGGGCTAAAGGGGAAGCCAAAACAGCGAGCGGGATCCATCCCGCTTGCTGCCTTACCTTCTTCCATAGCTGCGCGCAACCCCTCCGCAAGGAGAGGCTGCACGGGGCTATGGCTTCTAGCCCACGCAGCCTCTCCCGGCAAGGAGAGGCTGCACGGGGCTAAAGGAGAAGCCGAAACAGCGAGCGGGATCCATCCCGCTCGCTGCCTTGCCTTCTTCCATAGCTGCGCACAACCCCACTGGCAGGGAGAGGTTGTGTGCAGCCTGTACGCTGCTCTTTGGGGCTGGGGGGGAAAAATATTTTTTCCCTTGATTTCCCCCCCTAAAAACTGGGTGCGCCCTATGGTCCGGTGCGCCCTATGGTACGAAAAATACGGTAGTTTTCTGTGGATGCCCGAGGAAATTGTGTGGTGGTGGGAAAATATATGATTTTATATTTATAAACTTTTACAAAAGATTATGGAACGTGTACTAACAAGGCAAACAAGGATTAGTAATATTGAGGTTTATTGTTTGTGGAGGGTTTTGGGTGTTAGGAATAGTGATGAAAAGTGATGCTAGTCAGTGGAATTTTTGGTCCACTAAGATAGGAACGATCTACAATGCTCCTCTGTTCACAAAGTTGTACCAGCTTCTCACTAAGAGACTATACACTTTAATGTAGACTACTTTCAAGGCTAAATTGCTGCAATAGTGTCAGTGTAGCAATCCTTCTCTTGATAAATATTTGCACATTTGTGTTACGGAACCATACAAATGAAAGAGGGGACGACCACTGAGATATACAGAACTTTAACTGTCCAAAACTTTTTAAACTAACATCAGGAATTTCTCCTCGTGGAGTGAATCATGTTAGCCTGTAACATCAAAAGGAACAAAGAGGCTTGTGATACTTTAAAGATTAAAAATCTTCTGACAAATTAGATTCTAAAATGGGGGTCAACAACACAGTGACTTTGGGAACCATGGTGCCTGGAACGGTGGCCATTGGCACTTCCAAGTAGGAGGGCAGCCCAGGCTTCAGAGTGCAGGCTGCTATCTGCAAGCCTAGGGAGCCCGGCGGGAACTCCCGCGGGCTCCCAAGGCTTGTGGATAGCTTCCTGAAGCCTGGAGAGCGAGAGGGGTCGGTGCGCACCTTCATTTTTGGAAGGGAAAAGATGCGTCCTATAGGGCGGAAAATACAGTAAGTGATTTCTGTTAAATGAGCTGGCTTGGCTGTTCCCACCTGAGTTTTTATAGCCAATGAATGAAGTCAGAGAATTGATTGATAAGTGATTTTTTTGGACACCAGAAAATACAAATTCCTATGGCCCTAAAGAGCTGCTGTTTTCCCTTCCTTTGTTTTTGTCTTTGGTATCGCCATAGTTTTCCCTTCCTTTATCACTAGCCAGGATGCATCTTTCCTGTGGTGGCTTCATCTGAGATCAGGAGCTCCCTATAAGTTACTTTATGTAAATATTACAGCACAATAAATGTGGGTAAATGTTAAAGAATTCCCTCTCCCCCTCCCACAAAAGGCAAATGTGAAATCTTTGCAAATAGATTTAAGCATGCCTGCTGCTGTGCAGGAGCTGACGTCCTGGCACTCATTAAAAATTCACAGTATTGTTAACAATACAATTGTACGCATGTCTACTCAGAGATACCGTAAGTCACTTTGAAAGTGGATGGAGAGAAGTTTCTCTCTCTCTCTCTCTCTCTCTCTCTCTCTCTCTCTCTCTCTCATAAGCAGAACTCATGAACATCATTTGCTGGATGAAATAAATTGCTTCTTCACACAGCACATAGTTACACCACAGAAGGCAGCAATGGCCACTAACTTGGATGACTTTAAAAGAGAATTTGCCTCTCCATGCACAATTTTTTACACTTATCTTCTGTCATGATGATACTTTCATTTAGCTTATTTCATTAAAGCTTTATGTTTAAGTAGTAGTCCGACAAGCATGCAGATGATCATCAGCAACACTTAATTAGGAGCACATTACTAGTTCTCCAAAGCCTGCACTGAATGTAATTTAAACAACGTGAATCCAGCATACCTCAAAAGAGGTAGGGGTGTGTGGGTGTGTGTATGTTTTCCTCTGTTCATTTTTAGAATGTGGTGGTGCAATAAAAGAATACGGTAGAATTGCAATTTGGATGCACAGTGATGAAACCATACGACCACTTTCATTCATGTCTGAAAGTATGGATTAATATCCACATTCTCAATTCATTAACTTGGCTGCCTTTTCTGTTGATGCAATTGCCAACAAATCCATTTAGCAACTATTTATACTACCGCCAAAGCTCCATTAACATTATCCAACAAGTAATTATATCATAATTCAAAGTGCTTTAGCATTTACTGAATTCTGAAGTGCACAGCAATGTATGCTGCAGCTATTTCCTTAACTTTTGCTATACTTAATGCTGCAGGCACCATAAAGTGGTGGCTATAACTGTTGGAATGGGCCCAGATACACTCTGCTGTTATTGTAAGAGCTGCAAAATAATGAAAAATATTTTATTTCATTAGGCTTTAAATTGATCAATTCATTACATTTCATCAACATAACCAAAACCTTAAAAGATGTACAGATATGCTTCAGCCATTACCCTCAGTTATAGTTCAAGCAACATCACAGTGTTGTCGCTATTAAAAATACAAATTCTTTATTTCTGCTAGATTTCAAGGCAGCTAGAAGATTAGGCAGTTTTCTCCTAGGGATGGTGCAGGGACAATGAATATGGTTTGCCTCTGCAGTCTGCCTTCAAGCTCATGGAACATCTTAAATTCCGATTCAAACTTTAGTCAACTAAACTACAATTTTTAAATTTAATAACCCAAACTGTTGTTGTCAATATTAGCACTAAAAAGAAAGGAATGCAAAGTATTTATTTTTTAAAAAAATCTCTTGAACAGCGGATATGAAAAAATGAAGTGTAAGATTCAAAAACAAAATTTTACTCCTTTGATTCATGTGCAACTTTTTTTTTTACTATCAAAGACTTGCACACCTTAGTGCACTTGGAATGTCTCAGGGTGAGAATGGACCAGACACACAACTTAGAAATAATAAACATAATTAAAACAGATATAAATAAGCAAGCCATTACCTTTGATGCTTGCCACAAAAATTACCCATACTTCATGCAGAATCTGCTCTTTGCAGTCTGTCCAATCAATTATAAGTGAAAGATGGAAGCTGATTTGTTGACGAATATGGAGGGGTATGGATGGAAAGAGGGAGAGATGTTCCATTCACAGGGATAACGATGATTAGAAGATGGCCAATAAAATTTCAACTTACCAGATACAACTACAAACAAAAGAAAAAGAAAAGAAAACATGGAATAAATAAATTGGAACATAAAATGGAACAAAAGTAAAATGAATATGCTTTTAATTCTATACACTGCTTTGTATGGTATTCTTTCAGAAAAGTGGTATAAAAATAATAAAAAATTAAACGTACAGCGATCTTATCGAAATGTAGCGATCTGGAAACACAAAACATATTTAGGATATACAAGAAAACAGCATGAAACAGATGGCTTATTGCATATATTGTTCTTTTTTAGCAATAGAAAAAGCTCAATTCCAAACCTGAAGATGTGAAGTGTAAAGAATGAAGGAGATACAAGAGATGTGCTACAGTGTGAAAAGGATCTATCTGCCTGCTGAGCAGAGTGATGGGATCATATTCAGAGAACCGCCACCCCCAACCTACTCTAACATGTGAGGGGATTGTCCACCACCTACTGCACGCTGGGAAGCAGAATAAAAAGTGAATTATGATGTTCCATTTGCAATGTAATCTAGGAGTAATTTTCATAATCAGCTTCAGTATTCAAGGCGATTATACTCCCTGCAAGCAAAAAGGGATGAACAGCTACTCAATATACCTAGACAGGATTGGTAGGGTAAAAATTACTTAGTTTGCTGGGCAGAGCAAGCCCTTTCCCCTTTCCTCCCTGTTTGAATAGAGCCAAGATAATTCCCTGTCACACATGCATTTGCTATCCAACTGTACCTTTATTTTTATTAACAAAGAGCACTTCTGTAAGCATACGAATGTGGAAAGCTGGAAATGATATCAGTCCAGAGACCAGTAAAAAATGGTGGTTTTTTATTTGTTTATAAAAGCGTATACTACCCTCTAATAAAATTTCAAGGAATATAACATTAAAAAACACCATTCGGTATTGAGTGGCTTCTCCTAAATCAAAATGTAACTTGCTGCACTCTGACTAATTTACCAGAACCACAATGGGACCTAGATGCCCCAGTGTCCCTAATCCAAGCCACAAGTTGCTCCTGCCATATTCATAAGGATATTGATCCAACAGACATTGTTACTTATGCTGCTAAAAAAATACTGTCTACCTTGCAATCTGAATACATTTTTTTAAAAAAAATCTGCAGACTGTGTTTCATTTATTGATAAGGAAAACAGAGATCTTCCTTAATTTAATAACAGAAAATTCTAAACAAGTATGCCCACAATCTATGAGGAAGAGAAGAGAGCTCTCTTGCCTGTCATAAATTTCAATTGCAGGGTAGCAGCGTACAAAGGAACCTATCCAATGTATGTGGGCACTCAAACCTTTTTAGTAGGATAGGAAGGAGTATTGTCTTCCTTAATTTGGAGACAGAAAATTGTAAATATGTATGCCTTTGTTAATCAAAGGGGGGAGTGTGGTCACTGACAGCATAGTTCACATGTGGCCTCTGCACCAGGTCCATATGATTTGGGGCCCTTCAACTAAAGGAATACCTGCTCCTGCATTTAGCTGCCAGGGTACTGTGTTCATCTGATAACAGCTTCTTCTGATTGCCCCCGCCATGTGAAGCCAGGCAGGTGAAGACAAGGGTGACGGCATTTTCAAATGTGGTACCCCAAGGAGACTCACCTCGTGCCTAAGGACTTTCCCTTTCCGATACCAGGCAAAGATGCTTTGATTCCACCATACTTTTGAAAGAACCTTTTGAACTATTTTTCCTTTTAGATGATGTTTTGGAACTTGTATTTAATGTTTTATTACTTTATATGAATACTGCCCTTTCTGCCTTATGTATGGGTGAGGCCTTCATGTTTATTGATTATATTTCATGCAATATGCTTTCCATGTCATGTGGGGGCAGAGGCGAACTTGTGGCTTGCTACCATGCTCATCACACAAAAAAGTCAGAGTTCCATGAGCTCCCAGGGAAACAAATGATATTTAAATATCTATGTATGTTTTTGGACAGCTACTGCTTAATTCAGGGGCAGGGTGGTGGGGGGAAGCTGGGTAAAGTAATGCCTCATCTTTTGTTGGGGTTTGGTTCCAAGGGTTATGTGTATACACACAAATTGTATATAGCCAAACCCCTGGAGTCACTTCACTGTAAGGAATCGCTGTAAGGCGGCTGGTGGAGGAGACACAGAGCACTCCCAGAGTTGGTGTGCTGAGTAGGCCTTGCCCAGTAAGCAAGGGTGAGCTTAAAATCTCTTTTCGCACCAGGTTACCCCAAACAAAACTGCTTCAAAATCCTACTGCAAACCTATAAGCAAATTTACAAAGAATGCTAATGTCACTACAGAAAATGTATATATACACACATACATATTTTGCATTATATAAACATAAAAAACTAATGGCATACATTTTTACACAGCCATCTATTATTTCAGTGACTAATTCGAGTGCAGAATAATTAATGTAACATTTGAGTCATAAGTAGTAAATGTCAAGCATTAAGGTTTTTAAGGGATGTTCTGCATATCTCAAGCCCTATGGTGCTCTCATTTTTGTTTTAGCCTTTTAAATAGAGTAAAATTAACTACTGTTAAGCATGAATACACTTCCATAATTAGCTGGTAAACACCTGCAGTATGCTAGTCTCCAATAAAATGCACTAAAAAGAGTAATAATATTCCATCTGCCAAAATTCATTAGTCCAGGGGGGAATGGGTTTGTGCTCAAGTAAGCATTAGACAGTACAAGCAGCATAAGAACATGAGAAGAGCTTGCTGGATCAGGCCAGTGGCCCATTGAGTTCAGCATCCTGTTCTCACAGTGGCCAACTATATGCCTGTGGGAAAACTAGGAGCAGAGCATGAGCACAGAAGCACTCTTTCCCTTCCTGCAGTTTCCATCAACTGGTATTCAGAAGCATTGTCACCACCACCATGGCTAGTAGACACCGATAGCCCTCTCCTCTGTGAATTTGTCTAACGCTCTTTTAAAGATTCCTGCATTGCAGGGGATTGGACTAGATGACTACATTTCTATGATTCCTAGGCAGTAGTTTTCAATAGCGTATTAATTTAGTTTTTGTGGTTTGGGTTAGAGATCACTGCTCTGAGCTTCTGGAAACACAATATTGAAATAACATAAAAGTCTGGTTATTGATATCATTATCATGTATATGGATATTGTGTTGTCTTATGTTTCTATGTATACAAATTTTCCCCTTAAAATTATTGAGATTGTGTTTAATATGTATTATATACTTGGGTTTTAAAAAAATATAAAGCACTTCAAGTTCTACTATTAGTAAGAGGTCTATTGATGACTTAAATAATTAAATAAATAGGTGTTTTTTCCAGGGGGAGGCAACCATCACTACCCCAAAATCTGCTTAACTTTGCTACAACTGAAGGAAGATTTGTATACTGATGATTTGATCAGTTCATATGTAAGGAATTTGTGAAAGTGCCTGAATGTGGAAAAAACAATTCCACCATGCCAAAATGACCCACAAGAATTAGGCAGGGTTACAGGAGGCAATTATCTGGCCTTCCCCCTCTGAAGGAAGCAGTTGACAATAAAACTAAGTAAAATCCTGCCCTCGTTTGCTGAGCTTGACAATGTTTTCTTTGTGCAGCAGCTGGAGAAGTGGGGCTGGGTAGAAGCATGACTCTTCATTGTCAACTCATGTGCACTAATTTTAACACCAAGGTGATAGCAGGAGAATGGTGAGTTGGATGAGACAAGGAGAGTGAATTTCTGGCACTGTTAATATTTTGTTGACTAACAACCAAAATATTTTGGGTTGCTTATTTAATAAATTTATATCCCATCAAAGGTGGCAAACATAAAACCCATTGGACATCTGTTTTCCTGAAGGTGGTGGGCTATTGAAGTTACAAGTAGCTAGGCTGTTTGCCTGCTCACTTTAGTACCATTTCTTGCTAGGATTCTTATCCCCTCCATTCTCCTTCTCCCTTACTTAAAGACTGTCATCCTGTGCACATTTATGTGGAAGTAATCCAGGATCTAAAAATGCCAAGTTGGTACTAGTCAGCCCTTGGTATTTTGTTTTGCTGATACTCCCTGGAACGCATCATGACAAGAGACACTGAGAAAGGAATATGTTTTGTCACCAGTTTAATGGACCCTTTGGATTTTCGGATTTTCTCACCCTTACAGTGGTACCTCGGATTAAGAACTTAATTCGTTCTGGAGGTCCGTTCTTAACCTGAAACTGTTCTTAACCTAAGGTACCACTTTAGCTAATGGGGCCTCCTGCTGCCGCTGTGCCGCCACTGCACAATTTCTGTTCTAATCCTGAAGCAAAGTTCTTAACCCGAGGTACTATTTCTGGGCTAGTGGAGTCTGTAACCTGAAGTGTCTGTAACTTGAAGTGTCTGTAACCCGAGGTACCACTGTATTCCCTTCAGGCTCTGGAGAAGGGTGTGGAGAATCTCTCCAATTCATACTGAGCCACAGAGAGGCTGAAAATCAGCAATATGTTTAACTGCATTCCAAGGATATCCACAGCTCAGAGTCAAGAGAAATCCCCACCATCCTTACAGAGTTTGTGGAGAAGTTCAAGGGAAATCTGACTCATGCTGAGCCATAAAAGGGATTGCAAAGCACTGAGACATATAATTGGTTTACAAGTTTCTTTGCCACTCGTGTGCAGCTCAGTAAAGCTCCGAGGAAGATAGTGGCCCGTCTTACAATTGGGTTGGGCTTACAGCAGCAACGTACCACTTCCAGACCTCAGCATGACATTATAGGCAAGACTCCACTCACTTAGGGAAGGCAGAGCTTGTGGCCAGCAAAATTGTGTTATTTACTAAGTCCCATTGAACATAGTGGGACAAGATTATAACTAGGATTATGCTGAATGTGATCTTTCACTTGAATTTTAGGATGTGGGGGAAGGAGGGCAAGGTAAGCCTACCGTTTTCATTATTTGCCTCTGCTTTGGCCTTCCACCACTAATTTTGCTACTGTGGTAGGATAAGGCCAATACTATTCCTCCTACATGATTCTAGAACAAGGGGACATTGTCGTATAAGGTGCATTTGTATAAAATGGCAGCCACTGGGAAAAGGGAAAATTTTTACTTCTACATGCTGAAACCACCTCACAAACAAACAACGCTCAAAAAGGTCCAGCAACTGGCCAAATAATGGGGGGGGGGGGGGCTTTTCAGCAAACATATTTTTGCTTTTCTGAGCAAATGTGTGTGAACTCATACTGTATGCCTTTTTTGTGCATAACGGTTATTTTTACATTCCTTCCTTCCTTGAGGGTGGTGGTGGTTGTGTCCTTTCAATGACCCATTTCTCACATTTTCAGGCCCTCCACACAGCAGAGAGAAAAGAGCATACAGTACTGGATAAACCAGACAAATGAAGATTTCCTTTCCCCACAGAAGGCAGTATCTATTAATCTACATCTTTCCCCTGATATTTGTGAAACATTTATTCAGAAACCTTAAATAAGATGGCTCTTTAAGTTTCCTGAGGCAAAATATGTATGCCCATGCCATCTAAATGCGCAATAATTCTTTCAGATTTTAGAAAAGTGACTACCATATTTGATATAGTTTTTCCTAACTGTATGCAACGTCTAGTTTCTAAATAGTTCATTCTCCATTTCCCCCAAAAAGAAGTGTATGTAGACTTTAGATTCCATTGCATTTAGTCTCCTTTTATAAAAAAAGCCTTGCAATTAAGAACAGAGTCAGACTTCAGAGCTGGGTCAGCTTCTCAGGGTACATTTGAATGTGTCATAGCTTTCATTTTATATTACGATTTGTGCTGCTATCCTGCAAAATAGCATAAGTATC